TCCGGAGGACGCAGGTTCGATTCCTGCCCGTGGCATGTTAAATTTTTGTTTTTCGTTAAAATCAGATTTTGTCTTAAATGCTGGTTTTTGAAGTCTTTTTTTTGAAATACTTAAGAAATAATTATTATAAAATCTATTTCTATCGATCGAATAGATACTTATCGATAGACAATAATTGAAATTCTATGGATAAGTATTTTCATGATAAGTCCTTCGCTTGATGTAGAGTGATTTTTAAAAGCAAACAAAGATCTTCAACATATACAATAACTGAATATTCTCAAGCTTCAAATAAAAGCATATCTTCAAAACCAACGGTAAATAATACTTTACTACTATTACATTTTTGCTTAAATTTAGTCTTAGCAGTAAGGTCTTGTCTCAATATTGATAACAGAAATTATCATATGTACGTGTATGTTTATATTAAATAACATTCTTTTGTTTTATTTTAACTAATGAAAATGGTTTGTTAAATTATTTTCAAAAGCCAATTTTCTAACAATGATATAAATCATTTTTCTTATTCTTTTTTTCTCGAAAACAACAATAAGAAGAAGAAGAACGAGATGATTACAAGTTAGCCGGTCATACAAAAACAAAATTGTTATTCGTAATGATGTTAAATATTCTTCTTTTATTGTTGTTTTATAAAATAATTTAACGTTGTCGAACTTCGAAGACTCGAATTTGTTTGTCAGCATAACCAGCAAACAATGTTTGACCATCGGATGACCATGCCAACGATGTACATTGTTTTTCTGATTTAACTTCATCGGCCACGGTTTTTGTTTCCAAATCCCAGATTTTAATTGATGTTCCACTTGCTAAAAACATTTATATATAGTTTTACATAGTTTTTAAACTGATTATTTCAACATACCTGCGCAAAGCCAATAACGATTTGGTGAAAAAGTTAAAGCATTGATAATATCTCCACTGTCAAGTGTATATAAATGTTTTCCATCATTAAGATCCCATAACATAGCTTGACCATCTCGACCACCACTTGCACATAATGATCCATCAGGTGATACTGTTACAGTATTTACATATGAATTATGACCATAATGATTTGTACGTAATTTGCAATTGCTTAAATTCCAAACCTTTTAGAATTTATTTTTATTAAAATCAGTAATATTAAATAAAAATCTTACTTTAACAAGTTTATCCCAACCAGCTGAAACAATAAGTGGATCTTTTTGGTTAGGACTAAAACGTACACATGATACCCAATCGGAATGGTTATCATCGACAATTGTATATTTGCCTAAATAAAAATAATAGTTGTATTTATGTAATTTTTCGAATCAATATGCTTACATTGTCCAACGGTATTCCATAATTTAATTGTTTTATCTCGACTACCACTAACAATTTGTCGATTATCGGCAGAAAAAGCGACACTTAAAACATCTTTTTTATGACTAACAAATTGTCGTGTACTTGTACCAACTGATAAATCCCAAAGACGAAGCGATCCATCCCATGAACCACTGACAGCAAAAAGGCCATCACTTGATATAACAACATCAGAAACAAAATGTGAATGACCACGTAAGGCTTTACTTGGTGCACCACATGATGAATTTTCACCTGTTGGATCGTGTTGATTATTTAATTGCCAAATTATAATTGATTTATCACGTGAAGACGAGAGAAGAATATCGGGAAATTGTGGTGTTGTTGCGATTTGTGTTACCCAGTCGTTGTGACCGACAAGAACGCCTTTTAAAACAAGATGTTCGTTCGACATATTTGTTTTTTTTTTTCTTGTTGAGAAGAAAAATCTAGAAATTATACAATTTTTATTTTAGATAAATTTTCTACTAAATTAAGATTAAAATATATATTACTCAACAGAACAAATAAACAAAATATTTCTTATGTTATTTTACATCTGAAAGACCTGATGGTCATTTCGGCCAATAAACATTTTAAAGAAGTGAGATCAAACGATCGAGTTGAAAATTTTTTTAATAATTTTAAGTTTTAAAAATAAAGATTTTATTTAAAGGATTTTTTCATATTTTTTATTCGATAATATTAAAAAAGAATTTTTATCAAATTTTTTTTTATTTCGTTAGATGTCAGTAATGTATAATCATATTTCGTTTACAAAATATATATAACATAACGTGATGAAGTGATATACCTACACGATAAACGAAAATCTATCTAAGTCAAGAAGAGATTTGTATCATATTTACCGCTTTTTTAGTGAATATTCTTGGGAAAATACAACTAAGAAAATCTTGAATGCTTTAAAGTCTAGACCAGTGGCGGATCTAGGATTTTGGAAGGGGGGGGCGCGATTTTTTTTTTAGTATGAAGGGACGATACCTGGGGAAGAGGGGGGCGACGGGGGTGATCGCCCCCCCCCCCTAAATCCGCCACTGTTGTAGACTATTTCCAGGATATCAATTTCTTGAATTTTCTCTGATTATATTTTCACCCACCATAGTACATGTGAATGTATAAATAAAATGTTTATGAAACTTTAAATAAATAAATTTAACAATTCTTTAAGATTTGAAATAACATTATTTTTCTCAATATTTTGATGTTCATTTAATAATGTTTGCTTGGATTTTTCATCTTTAGTAAGTAATAAAACATGACAATTTGCTGCTCGTGCTGCTTGATAATCAAGTTTGATATCATCACCTATATGACATAAATTATTATTTGATTTAACTTGTGCGAGATTGACAGCATGATGAAAGATTTCTTTTTGTGGTTTATATAATCCACAATTTCGAGGTGTTAAAATAAATTGAAAATATTGTCGAAGATTATGTTGTTCAAGAAGTGATTCAAGACGTTCATCAAAATTTGATATAACACCAAGAATTTTCTTCGTTTTTAATTCTTTTAAAACTTCATCCGCTTCGGGATGTTTTATCCATAGTTCACCCTTAGCAAATTCATCATAAATTATTTGACTTAATTTTTCAATTTTTTCTGATGATAAATGACATTCTTTAAACGTATGTTCAATCAATAATGTCCACCATTGACGAGATGATATATTTGTATTAACACCATATCCTGGATGAGTTGTATTTAATGTTCGAAAAGCTTGCACAAAATTGGATCGAAGTAACGATTCATCGATGGATTGAATACCCAAATGTTGACGAGCTAAACGAGCATATTGATTAGGAGCACCATTTTTAACTGTTAGAAGAACATTATGAACATCAAACGTTAATACTTTAATATGTTTCAGCAAATTCTTAGCAGACATTCAATAATATCTATAAATATCCTTTAAATAGAAAGTTATCTTTGCCGAACTCTAATATTTATTCAATGGTTGTATTAGAATCAATTAGAAAAAATCCTATATCATACAACATTCATAGATGTTTTTAACAAACTATAACTACACATGTATGACTGTCACAATTACACAAGTTTAGTTTAATCTGAATGACGGAAATTTAACGTAAGACCAGTATTAAATTTCCAATTCTAATAAATCAAAAGAATCTAATTAGACAAAGTCTTATAATCTAAAAGCCACTTTTGCTTATACAGGAACGTTGATCCCAACAACAAAAAAGATTTACTTTTACACATACAAGAGAAAAAATAATATATTTATCTAAAGTTTCTCTAAGCGTGTCTCTATCATTGATAAAAAGATCGGCTCGTCTACACGAACTGTAATGGGGATATTCAAATTTCTTATCGGAATGTTATTTATGGCTCACCCTGTACTTAAGTAATACACAAAACTTTTTTTGTCTTCGGATGAAATTATCGCTTATAGATAAAACAAAAAGACAGTTATTTTTTTTTAATTTTATTTATACAGTTTTATAGATTAAATGGAAAAAAAAGTATTTAATTTAAAAATTTCATTGACATTTTTTCATCAACATCAATATTTTCTAATGTTTTACAAAATTCTTCAAATGTTATAGTTAAATCACCATCCGCATCCTAAAAATAAATAAACACAAAACATTATCAAAATATTCCACAAAATATTTTACCAATTCTTCAATCGTATGATCAGCAATTGTTCCTAATTGTTCATCATGAATATTACCACCGACCTGTTAATATATAAATAAAATTTTTGTCAAAGATTATTTCGCTTACCATCAATTTTAAAATGTCTAATAATTCATTTCGATCAATTTCCGAATCATGATTACGATCATACATCTATATATTAAGATACAAGTCAAATTTTGTAATAAAAAATATTTTTCATCAAACAAACACTAAATAAAAATAATAATTTCTTTTCCTTTGCATTTAATTCATTCGTTGGTTTGCCACGACGAAATCGTGCAAGAATAGTAGCAAATTGTCGAAAATCAATTCGATTTGCATTTCCTAGGAAAAGAAACTTATTTTATAAAATATAATTATAGATAATAATCGAACCATGATCTTGTATCATAACATCGACAAGACGTTGTCCTAATGGATTTAATGCTACTTCACGAATTTCTAAAAGATCTTCACGAGTAAGATATCCTGATGGAGGTTTACGTTTGTCAAGTCCTTGAAAACGAGTGTATAATCGTTGAAGTTGTTTAGGTGTAAAGCCTACAATAGATCTTATGGAAAAAGAAAAAAATTTATGAAAATCAACCTGTTTCTGCCGAGATCAAGTGTGCTTGATCATGAGGCAGTAATGTACTATTATTCGTTCCCATAAAAATTATATATATATTTATGACACGAACATTTTTCTTATATAGCTGAGATCCATTGCTCTTTTCTCTTTTTATTCTTTCTCTGATAGAGAAAAAGAGAACTCGATTATAATGCTGCTAATGTAATTCACTTACGCAGGTGTATAGAGCGATAACACAGCCCAGCATTATTATTATCATCGATCAACATAAGAAGTTTTTCAAGTAACAAAAGAGAAAAAAAAGCGAACGAACAAATGTTTTACAACTTATATATATATTTATGTTTATTTTGATTTTCGTTTTTGTCATATAATCACATACGCGCATATACGAAAGAAATTAAAGTATAGCGCTAAATGATTTCTGTATATATATATCACAATACATGACCTTGGATATCGTATTATCCAATCTGACAAAAAAAGAAAAAAGCTTATTTTGGACGGTGAAGAAATATAAGATTCAATGTTATGAATTTGACTAGATTTTATCGAGAAAAAACCTAAATCTTATTAGTAGTTTCAGTCCGATGTGTACATTGTTTGAAATATTTAGCAATTCGTACGAATGGTATAGAACCACAATTACCAACTGGACCAATAGTTGCGCAGAGTGGTAAGAAGAAAAATGTTGCAAAAATCCATGATGTTGACACTAAAATTGAACAATGTTTTAAATTTTATATATAATTGTTTTACTGAAAAACATACTTATTGTCATTAAGAATTGTCCCATTTGTCGAAAAGCACTAAGTGATGAAAGTGTCATTGAAAATCCAGCAGCAAATGTAGTAAAAGCAGCCATAAATACAGCTGAACCAACACGAGATACAGATTCTTTTACACGTGCTTCACGTTCAGCTTGTTGTTCTTTATACAATAAACAACAAGTATTGATTTCTAAAGCAAAAGAAAATATTTCCTGTTTTTTTCCGATTATATTTAAACAATCTTACTATAATCATTTTCATTATTATTATCATCATTAGATTCTGATGTTGCTGATAAATAACGATTTTGTACTTTTTTTCTTTCATTATCTATATCAACTGGATTTGTATGAATATAACCAACACCAAAATGAACAACAAAATCAACTGATAAACCAACAGCCATAATAACAATAATAGCTTCAACGATACCTAATTCCCATTCTAGTATAGCAAATATCGCAACACCATCAGCTAAAAACGAATAAATTTGGTTCTTCATAAAAATTCAACAAAATATGTATTTACCAATAGCAAAAGTAATCGTAAGTAGAGCATATAAAGCAATGAATAGATTGCCTGATGTAAGAAATAATATCAATAGAGCAATACCAAGTGATGCTACGAGAGAATAAAACGACCCAACTAGTAGTTCACGTTGAATACCATAGAATGCAAAACCCGGCGAAGAAAACCAAGCATGTTGTAAATGTTCAGGAGCATGTTGTTTTATATATGGATCAAAAAAGTTTTTTACTTTCATATAGTAAGTATTGTAAGATTCATAATTTGTACGATTGTGAGTACCTATAATAAATTTAACAAATGAGTTTAGTTTCGAAAGTTCTGATTTATCTGTTAATATCTCTCTTACCGCGTATTGTAATAATAACTGCAAATGGTCGAACACTACCATCAATAGGTGATGGTTTATCTGGTAAAACAGCCCAGTTAATTGATCGTTGTTGAGTAAGTTGTCTATCACAAAAATCTGCCGGCATATTACTTGCACCAGCTGCACCTGTTAGACACTGCATAGCCGTTTTTAATGCTAAACGATGATAATCTTCCGTTAGTTTATCACGTACTGAACCATTTAAATAATTTCGAATTTCATTCACATTATAACTACGTTCAATCTACGAATAATAACAGAATAAATAAGAAAACAATACTCTTCTCTTTGTTTCAAAACAAACTTGTTCTTTATAAACTTTTTCTAAAGTTTTATTAAATATTTTTCGATAATTGGAATAATCAATTATTGGATTTAATGCGTTTTTCAATTGATAATTACTTATTCTATAAATAGTCATATTGATTTTTTCTGTTTTCCTATCAAAATAATCATCTTGATCAGATTTATCATTTTCAATGTTATAACCAATTGTTTGTACTGTATCAGATAATAAATTTCCTATTAATTTAGTATCTGTTTTTCTTATATATTTAATCATATCTATATGGCTTGTTTTTGATGCATTTAATCGTGTTCGTTCATCAACAATTTTTGTTATTAGAATATTATCCGTTGTCAACTAAATAGAAACGAAATTTTAATATGTATCAATAGAAAAAAAGAACAGAATTTACTTGATAAAATGCTTCGAAATCTTTTTCTAAATCGGTATTTGTAGTAAATAAATCGCGTCGTGTTCCTAAATCTGCGATAAATTTTTTGAAAAATTCTTGTGTATTTTTTTGATGTAAATAAACAGGCATTAAATGAAGATTACCACGATCATTCATATCAAATAAATATCCATCATCAATATCACGTATACCAAACATAAATGAAACCTGTGGATAAGCAAACATACGACTTTCATCTTTTGAATAACCATTAAATTGACTTTTCATTGAAAATTCATAAAGCTCCATTGGATTATCTTTTAGAAAGAAACTAACTTTTTGTGTTGATGGAACTTGTAATTTTGGATAATAAAAAACACCAACAAGACCTATGTAAATCAATAAATGAATCGAATAATGAAAAAAGTTTATACGAAAAAAAATAATAAATCTAACCTAAGATACCCATAACAAAAAAGAGTAACACAAAAATATAACGAAGCTTGATAACCGCTCGTGGAATAAGGTAACCAAAAATATAATTTCGAAAATCTTTACAAACTAATATAAAACGATGATATAATGTTGGTGATGAATTAGTTGGTGGAAGATTAGAATTTTTGGTAAAACATATTGAGAATAAACGAGATGTGAAATTGATTATATACTTTTCGTAAATTACCTTCAATAGAAAACAATTCATCAATAGTTATAAAAAATGTGTATACGAAAGATGCGCGTCTTTCGAGATTCCATAAAAATATCTATATACAATCACTTTTGTAAGACAATTAACCCTCAGGCGCTTTTCGGGGGTCCAATCGGACCCACAACGCTGATTTTTGTTTTCCGGATCGATCCCTTCTCTAATCGTTATTCTTCTAACAATGCACGAAGACCATATGAAATTTCTCCGATGCTTCTTAAAGGGAAAAAATCAAGGGGTGGGTCCACACGAATCCCGTGACACCTTTGGTGTTATATATGCAGTGGCGTAAATAGGGAGCGCGGAACCCCCCTCCCTGCTTCTAAAAAGTTAATTTTTTTTTACCATTGAAATAGAAAAACTAGGACTACGCCCCCCTGCACTGACACCTGACTTACGCCACTGTATATATATGATTTTGTTTCTTGTTCAATCTACCCTCTGTTACCTCGAAGAGTGTGGGTGTGAGTAACTTTTCTATACCCAACACCCACCCACCCTCACGATTACTCTGACGTGGTTGTAGGTGGGTCCAGTTGGACCCACATGACGTCTTTCGTGCACAAAAAATGAGGAGAGCGCCCGAGGGTTAATAAAAGAATCATCTAACGTTCTTTTTTTTGTTCCTCTTAAAAGAAAATGATTCAACTTACAGCAAATGCAGCAATTGCGGTAACTGTAATAAAAAAGTAAAGTAGAATACATGTTCCAGTGAAAACTCCAAATACTTGAACAAATGAAATATTTGTTAACATATTTGTAAAAAATGCAGCTGATGTAGTAAATGATGTTACAAACATGGATGATGCAGCATGTTTTAATGTTTTCGACATGATTTCAACTAATGCATCTTCATTTAATAATACTTTCCGAATCATTTCCGAATCATAAGGTGGTAAAGAGGAACGTTTACGAGATTGAAATATACTTGATGGTTTTTTTATTTTCACTTTGTCATTCGAAGATTGAATTTCATGATTATTCATAATATTTAGTGGAATATCTGCATCTAAATAAATCAACTATTTAAAAAAGAAAATATGAAAAAAAACGAAATAAATTTACTATCAGCTTGTTGTTTCTCTTGATATTTTTTAAGCCATTCTGTCTTTTCTTGATCCCATGTATCAAAAAATACGAATATATCATCACAGCCAATACCGATTAATATAAATGCTGACATTAAATTCATATATGGAAATATTGGTATACGATAAATAACACGATAAATAAAATAACTGACACCAAATGATAATGCAGCACCAACAACAATCATAAAAGCGATTGCAATACTACGTAAATAAAGTACTGTAATACCAACAATTAATGCAGCAGCCATCAGAATAAGAAACATATCTAAATTAGCAAAAAAAAATAATCGATTATCGAAATTTATCGATTATAAATATTAACCTTTTTGTATTTGTGCCATAGCTGCTTTTTCTCGAACATTAGCTAGATTAAATGCAATAAGTTTTATAAATTCATCTTTATATGTTGACAATTGTTTTTTTCCAAGAAAATATTTTCCAAAAAATCCAACTAATTCTTTTTCTTTTAAATTTGGTGTTAATAAAATAACTTGTTCGGTTTCATTTAAACATTGATATTTACAATGACAATATTTTTCACAATTTCCTTTAGGTGGTCCTTCAGTAAGACATGATTGCTCAATAAAATTATTTCTAAAATCATCAACACAACCACGTTCTTGACAATATTTTCTTGAATACGGTTGTCGTCTTAAACACATTGTTTGATCTCGTGTACGATTATATTTTATTATTTTATAATTTGATATATATATCATTGATATTGATACTTTCGAATTAGTTTTCGAATGTTGAAGTTCATTTATAAAATGTTCATCAACAAAATGATCAAATATAAAACGTGTTATATTCTTATAAAAACATGTATGACGTAATGCGGGATAAATAGCTTTGATTTGTTCTTGATATGTATGATAATCTGAATGATGTTCTAATACAACACGATTAAGAAATTGATCACTTAATGGTATATCCATATAACCATTGATATAATATGGTACACATGTATGAAGTATAGTACGAAAATGTTCAATATCATCAGAATTAATTAATTCACAATCATTTTTTGATGAATATAAAGCGACAAATGTTGCTAATGAAAGACTTGGAACATGTTCAACTGATAGAAGTTGTTTAAATTTTTTTTCCCATGTACAAATAGAACGTAAATGATTAAGTGATAATATATCATCATTTGATTGTGTACGTTCCATATAAAACTCTATCATTCCATCACGACCTAGAAAGAAAAATTAAATTTTATATGGCTGTATTTTTTCATTAGCAGTGGCGGATCTAGGGTTCTGGAAGGGGGAGGAGCGATTTCGGCTAAAACCTATTTTTTGAGCCCAATCGAAGTAGTGTAAACCTATTTTTTCGTTCATTTTTGCTGAAAAAAATCAAAAAAAACTTCTGAAGGAGGGGGGTATTGAACTGCAGAGTAGCCCCGGTCTCAGTCTTAGCGAGACCGGAACCAAGATTAAAATTGTCAGCTAGTTCCTCAATGTTTTTATCGAGTATGAGACCAGAAATTCTCTTATTTCTTTTGTTTTCTTTAATTAAGAATTGACAAATGTGTTATTTTATAGTTCAAGAAAAACCGTACTGATTGAATTTACAATCAAAAAAGCGAGAATTTTTGTGAACTCCATATTTTTTTCCATAGATGCAGACAACACCAGAATTATTCTTAAGCATTTATCAAGACCGGGATCGAGACCAAAAAAAGTGATTTTGCAGTTCCCTAGGGTGGGGGCGATCATCTCCTCTCAATCCGCTACTGTTCATTAGATAAATATTACCTGCTCGGCCTCGATATTTTTCTTCAAGTAGATAAGCATATGGTCGAAAAAGATCAAATGGTAATCGTGCTGATTGATAATTAGTTTTATTAAATTGTGGTAAATTTTTAACAAAATCATATACCGATATATTAATTCTAAATGTAAATAAATTATTAAACTAAAACAAATTATATTTATATGACATTACACTTTATCATCAACATATTTCAATATTCTATTTTTAAGATCAAAATGTTGATTTCGATGCCATTTATAGATTGATAATGATTGTGAATTTTCATCATCATCATCATCATTATAATCTGGTATTTCATCTTCATCTGTATCATGATCATAAAATGTGTCATTTATATTTTGATAATCAAATAATTCATTATAAGGTTTATTTGTATTTTTCTTTTGCCATAAATCATATTTAGCAAGTAAATCAGATCGATAAGTATTTTCATCAAGATTATCAACAGTTACATTGAAAAATTGAGCAAATGCACCAAATAATTCATTCGTATCTAATGGTAATTCATAAGCTGAACGAAATTTTTCCGATGCATGACGTAAAACCATTAATTGAGAAAATATTGTTCCTTTTCCACGTGCTCCCCATCCCTAGAAAAAAACATGTATAGAAAGAATATATGTACATATATATATATCGTTAGTTTACTATTCTTGGATCAGAAAAATCAGGAAATTGTGTAAAAGCAAATCCAATACTTGTTAATATCATACAAATGCATATTACAAAAGCAAGTACAAACCAATGATGACGAACAAGTAAACGTGAATAACTTAAAAAGAACAAATATTTTATTGATTATTCAAGTAAAAATTCATAGATTTCGTTAATATAACCAATCCTTTTTAAAGACGGATAGAGTTCGCTTACGTACAAAGTATTGATGTTGAAGGACATTTAATGAATATTTTTCAATGATAAGATAATATATTGATACAATGATAAAAAGTTATATTTTATAACAAAAAAGTAATGAGAATAAAAATTCTTGATTGCTATTTTTTTTTATTCGTTTGCTATATAACAACTGTTTTCATAGATCGATTCGATCTTATTCATATAATTTATATTTAACGACAAAAAAATGTCCTTTTACATAACAACGCCTATTTGAAGAGTCTGTCAATGAGAGATGTACCGTAGCATATCATGACTGTCTAAAATGTTGCAACCACAAGAAAGCAGTTAGACGTCAGTCACTTTTGTTGATGAATAGAATTGACATGGTCTGCTAGCTATGTTTTTTTCTTGGGTGTGCGTTTGAACATTTGCACGCTTATTTTTTTTCTAAACTAAGACATTATATTTGTTTTCTCTCTGTCTATTTAATATTGATTTAGTACTTTATATTTCAGTCATAAATACTCTAATTTGTTGATTTAGACATGTAACATAAATGATGGGTACTTTTCTTACCACATTGATTGCTAGACGAATAATAACGACCGACGACACAATATAAACTTTGTTTAATTTCTTTTGCGTAAAAAATGCAGTTATAGTAAGAAACAAAAAAAAGAAAATAGAAAAAGAAAGCTTATCTTTCTTCTATTTTATATATTCTGTTTGTTGCTACGATTGTCCGGAATGAAAATATACGTGTAAAACAAATAAACAACAATTATAAAAGCTAAAGAGTCGCATAAGCAGAAAAAAATAAATGCATAAAGTTAATTTATAAAAAGTTTTCAAAAATTCAACTCGTTTTCATATGCCAGTCTGTAGTTTTTCTTGTTATTCCGATACATTGACTTTGTCGGATTTTTTCTTTCTTCTTCCTTAGAAAACCTTATCGTGCCCACGACAACGTTTTGTGTATGACATCACTATGGCTTTTGATTAAATAGGATCGGGACAGATTTATTCTTTCTCAATTTCTTTGCAACCCTTTGAAAAATCAATTAAAGTACTGTCTACAATATTAAGAAAACCTATTTGCTTTACTCTATTTCCGTTTAAAATGATTTATTGTTTTACTATGAAAGAAAAAAAGCAACAACATTCATTTCTTATACATAATAAAAATAATATATTATTAAGGGGCACACATGCGAAATCTATTAAAATAATGTAAAGAACTTACCATAACATGTTATGTGTGATAGAAGATATTATTATATACTCTCAACAAAATGACATGTCTATTAAGTATTCAAATTGAAAAATGAAGCGTCATCGATATGTTCTCAAGAGTACTGCTATTATGTAAAATGATATATATATATTTTACCACTGAACAACAAAAAACAATTATGATTTTAGTAGAGATAATGAATTGTTGCCGGTTGGAATGAATTTTTTTATACTTCGTAACTGTTCTCTTCTCAATCCTCCTACTCGTAAATGCCGTAAGAAAAATATTTGGATGACCTTAAGCAAAAATCTTTTTTCTTTTTCTGCTTTCGTCGTTTTACACATTGTATTTATATGTCTTAGTTCGTAATAAAATTTCTTTTTTTGTTGAATAACGTGAGAAAAGAAAAATCTGAAGTTACTAGCAATCGACAAGCATATGTACTATATAAAACGCAATTACAAGGTCAAACGTACGATTGTAATTTCAAATGGAATTTTTATAACAAGTCATAGAGAGTAGAAACTATTATTTTATGTCATAATGATTTTTTTTAAGTATTAATCAATGAATTGATAATCAACAAAAAGAATAAAAATGACAGATTCTTTTTGTTTTTCTCGAACTAAAATCTAAACAACAAATTAAATATAATTTTTTATGATGAATTTCCGATCGATAAAGTTTCAATTTGTTAAGTGATATCCGTCATACATTATTATAGTGAATTAGTAGTTTGTGTTAGCTGCTTATGCAGGATACATACCAAAGAAACATTATGTGGTCGATATCTGGTTGATATATCTTCCACTCAGTAGAATTTGATTAATGATGAGTACGAAACGTAACGTCTAGTTTGATTTTATATGTAGCATCATTTGCGTTCTTTTTCACCAATGATTAAATAATCCGTCAGAATGATATGTCACGGTTGAATGAAGAAAAAGAAAAAAAGTACATGTACAAAACAGGTTTTAGGTAATAAAAACCGCATGATTCATATTGAAACAGATACAAATTATATCGTCCTAGTTTTAACATGAAGATCGAACCAGCACCCACACCACTACGACTTATTCCATCAACTCGTTTTCTTTTAGCTTTACTTGTTTGTTTTGCATTTGTAGTTCAATATGCTCAACGAATTAATTTATCTATTGCTATTGTTTGTATGGTTAATAAAACAAAATCAAATTTTGAATTAGAACCAAAAACTAATATGATTCAAAATCATACTATATCTACTGTCAAACGTACATCTTTATTTTTTAATGAAAAACAATTTTTCTGGAATGAATGGGATCAACAAATCATTCTTGGTTCTTATTGGGCTGGTTATCTATTAACACTTATACCAAGTATAAAGAACAAAAATATTTCATAGATTAAAATAAATGTATTTTTTTTTTCTGTTTCGTAGGTGGTTGGCTATCGATGACAATGGGAGCAAAACGAATGTGTGCAATGGCTATATGTATTAGTTCTTTAGCTACAATAGCTCTTACGAGTATTTATTTTCTAAAAAATAACTCTCTAATAATTGTTGTTAGTCTACGAATACTTATCGGTGCTGCTCATGGTACTTTATTCCCAGTTACATATACTCTATGGTCACAATGGGCAGTACCAAATGAACGGGGTACTTTAACATCAATTGGTTTTTGTGGTACTAATATAGGCACATGTACAACTAAATTTCATATTTATTGAAATCTTATTTTTATCATTTAAATAGCTTTCATTGTACTTGTTGGTGGAGTTTTATGTCGTTATATGAATTCCGGTTGGATACATATCTTTCTTTTATCTGGTATTCTTGGATTTATATGGCTACCATTATGGATGTGGCAAGTATCCGATACACCTGAACATCATCGAAGTATTAGTAATACTGAACGTGATTATATTCAAAATATCATTGGAAAAAATACGCAAAATAAAAATCGTCGACCAATATCAATAGGTTCATTACCATGGAAAAATATTATTCGTTCAAAAGCAGTTATTGCATTAATTATATCTGAATTATGTAATCTTTTTGGATTATTTTTCTTTCTAAGTAATTTCGGTAAAATACTTACAGAAATTCATCGTATCCCCACTCAATATACTGGTTATATATTAGCATGTGGATTTATGTTTATGATGGCAGGTAGTCTGTCAGCTGGTATCACAGCTGATAATCTCGTTCGAAAAAATCTAATATCATTAAATAATGTACGAAAACTTTTTAATGCATTAACTACATTTATACCTTGTTTATGCATGATTGCATTTTGTTTTTGTGATGAAAAACATCAGATATTAGGTGTTCTTACTGTAATTGTTTTTCTTTTAGGTTCAGGTAAAAAAACAATTTCAGATAATTTTTCAATTTTTTCGCTATTTAAATTATTATGTAGGTTTTGCTTATGGTTCTGGTTACATAGTGATTTTTTCTGATATTGTACCAGCTTATTCGGCATTAATATTTGGTATAGCAACAACAATTTCTTCTTTTAATGCTGTCATTGGAAATCTTATAGCAGGAATTTTAATTAAAAATTCAACACTTCATGATTGGAGAAAATTATTTATTCTCTTCTTTATTGTTTATTTAGTTGGTGGTATTATATTTTTAATATTTGGTTCAGCGCTTCCTGAACCATGGGGAACATTTAAAGCACAACAACAAGTACAAGAAGAACAAGAAGCTAAACAATCTGAGGAAGAAATGTTACCGATACAAAAACAACAAGAAACAAATGAAAAAGATGTTAAAACTGATGAAAATCTTTATGTTAATGCATAAATATTCATTTACATAATAAAATTAGTAGATTGAGATAAAAGTAATACTCCTTTATTGAATGTAATTAACGATATTTTAGTTGTGACATGTATCATATCATTCGAAAACAAGAGATTTAACCGAGCTGATCTATTTTAGTAATAGAACTAAGTTTTACGAATATTTTCTAGTGATCTCACTTATCGTATAAACGCCTTTCACTTGAATTATTCCTCTCTATCTTTATACTAGCGTTCAGTAGTATCTCGCTTTTTAAATGTTAATTATAATAATTTTTACCGTGACTTTCTTATATAGACTAAGATCATATTTGATTTAATTTTCAGAATTAATAGTACACCACTTTAATGTCGTTGTCTATACATATTTTTGTATCAGAACTGAAAAACAGATTTAATGAATTTTAACCTTCGTTGTTTCCTCTAAATAATAAATTACTTTTTCATAATTGTCTTAAATAATCGCAGATGTTATGAAGATAATTAGAAATATCATGCAACATATATATCCTATACGAGTGCATCTATGAAATACAAGATAGCATAAAGAAACTTGAGAGACATGAAAAGTTTTGTTAATAATTATTATAACCTAGAACTTAAATACTTCTTTCTATATGATATATATCGATCCTCTTATGTCGTTAGATGTCGCACGATAACAACATTGTGAGGCATTGGTAATGTCTCAATGGTTTTGTGTACATTGTATTATAATCTTAGTATTTATTTCTTCGTTGTGTTGTGATGTTACCATTAATGTCATTTAAATTTTCTTTCTATATATTTTATTGATCTTTAGATCTAATCATTTCTAAAAAAAAGGAAAATGGCGTCGGGAGATGTTCAATCTGATGAAAGTCTTTATCCAATTGCTGTTTTAATCGATGAACTACGCAATGAAGATGTCCAGGTAAATGTTTTATTTGCATAAATTATATTTTTTTTCTATTCTTTTTTTATTTTCAGTTACGTTTGAATAGTATTAAAAAATTATCAACTATTGCATTAGCACTTGGCGTGGAACGTACACGATCTGAACTTATACCATTTCTTACTGGTTAGATTCTTATATTTATTTATTTATATCTATTCTTAAACTAAACTTTTTCTAGACACAATTTATGACGAAGATGAAGTACTTTTGGCATTAGCAGAACAATTAGGTACATTTACACAACTTGTTGGTGGTGAAAGTTATGTTCATGTTTTATTAGTATGAATAAAAACTAGAATTTTTCATATTTATATATTGATTATTTTTTTTGTAGCCTCCATTGGAAAGTTTAGCTCAAGTTGAAGAGACAATTGTACGTGATAAAGCTGTTGATTCCTTACGTATATTAGCACCACAACATTCAGCAACTGATTTAGAAACATATTTTATACCAACAGTTAAACGTTTAGCACAAGGTGATTGGTTTACATCACGTACATCAGCATCAGGTCTTATATCTGTTTGTTATGCACGTGTTTCAAATCATGTTAAAGGCGAATTACGACAGTAAATAGTTTTATTTTTCTTTGTTCATAAAATTTCTATTTTTGAATTTTAAAGATTATTTAAAAGTCTTTGTCAAGATGATACACCTATGGTTCGTCGTGCTGCAGCATCGAAATTAGGAGAATTTGCTAAAGTTGTTGAACCCGAATATTTACGTCAAGAACTTGTGACATTATTTACAAATTTAGCAAATGATGAACAAGATAGTGTACGACTTTTAGCTATTGAAGCTGGTATTGCTATGGCTGGTTTATTACGACATGAAGATCTTGAACAACAAATGATGCAAACATTACGTTCAGCAACAGAAGATAAATCATGGCGTGTACGTTATGTTGTTGCTGATAAACTTGTTGATGTAAGTTACAATTAAAAGATGAATATAAATAAAAATTCTATTTTGAAAAATATTTAGCTTCAAAAAGCGGTTGGTCCCGAAATAACAAAGAATGATTTAGTTGGCGCCTATTGTTCTTTATTAAAAGATCCTGAAGCTGAAGTACGTGCAGCAGCAGCATCAAAATTAAAAGATTTTTGTAATAGTTTACCAACGGATACACGTGAACAAATTATTATGTCACAAATTTTACCATGTGTCAAAGATATGGTTGGAGATATGAATCAACATGTGAAATCAGCCTTAGCTTCAGTTATTATGGGTCTCTCACCTATACTTGGAAAGGATAAGTATGCATCTTTTTTTTCTATAAACTTTAATCAATAGAAAATGTATATTTTTGATGTTTTATAGTACTCTCGAACATCTTTTACCACTTTTTCTCAATCAATTGAAAGATGATTATCCAGAAGTTCGACTTAATATCATTTCAAATCTTGAATGTATTAATGAGGTAAGATTTTAATCTTTATTTGAAATAAAATATAGATTAGATATCTACTGAAACTATTTGAGTCGAAAAGTAGTAATATGAATATCATAAAATGTTTCAAGTCTAATAAATTTGAATTTTTGTCATCTTTTGTGTAAGGTCTACACTTGTACATAGTTATTATGATATAAAGTATACTTTACAAATTTCTCAAAGAAGATAAAAGATGATCTTAGAAGAATTAGATTACGCTTAGTCTTTTTGATAGGAGTGAAGTTTAAAATTCGTACAAAGACAAACTTTTTCAGATACATATTTACAGCAGACCGAAGTCATTATATATCGATACAGTTCATTACTATTTGTACTGCATAGTTTCCCAACGAGGTATTTGTTAACTTTATAACTTCTTGCGACACCTATCGATTTTTTCTTGAGTTATTAAAAACTTCGATAAAACTAGATAAAGACGCACGAGATTAACTTTCGAAAGTTAAGATTATAGTAGTAGATACCTTGCATATGAGATCGAATTTATTGACATATAGTCAATTCTTGTTAATTATACAAAGATTTTCACTTAAACAAAAACTAGAAGCCATAAATAAACTCATTTTTCGAATTATTTCACTATTCATTATTTAAAGGTTATCGGTGTTCGTCAATTATCTCAAAGTCTTCTTCCAGCTATTGTTGAATTAGCTAATGATGCTAAATGGCGTGTTCGTCTTGGTATTATTGAATACATGCCACTTTTAGCAGGCCAACTTGTAAGTTATTGATTCGATTTCAATTTTATTTATTAAAAACACATTTTATTTTAAAAGGGTCCCGAATTTTTTGATGAAAAACTCAGCAGTCTATGTATGAGTTGGCTCACTGATCATGTCTTCGCTATTCGTGAAGCAGCAACCAACAACTTAAAAAAATTAGTTGAAAAATTCGGTCGTGATTGGGCACAAAACACAGTCATACCAAAAGTTATTCAATTAGCTCGCGATCAAAATTATTTATATCGAATGACTTGTCTCTTTGCTATTAATGTACGTCAATGAATTTTTGTTTTTCATATAAAAATATTTTTATTTGATATATTTATAGGTCTTAGGTGAACCTTGTGGTCAAGAAGTCACACAACGAATGATGTTACCAACAGTAATCACTCTTGCTAGTGATCCTGTAGCTAATGTACGATTTAATGTAGCTAAAACATTACAACGCATTTATCCAGTACTCGATTCAAGGTAGAAAAAAGATGAGTGTTTTGTTTAAATTCTACTATATATATATTTAGTGCATTGGCTTCACACGTTAAACCTGCTCTGGAAAAATTGAGTCAAGATGCTGATCATGATGTTCAATACTTTGCAAATGAAGCTCTTGAAAGTAAGTTAAAAGACAATTTGTTTTTCTGACATCTGAAAAATATATCAAGTTCATTGAGTTTATATATCTGATAAATACAAAGCAAATATTTTTCTTCTTATAGAAGTTATTGAAGCTTTATGAAAAAAAAATTGAATAGAAAAATTTGAATGGTCTGTTATTTTTTTGTGTTTCAGTTTGACTAATAACTTTTCTTGCTTTTATAATCATAATTTTAAATACTAGCAAATTATTAGGTTTAATTTTAGAAAATTAATTTCTTTTTCTTTATTTTAGTGTTGCCTAAAGCTTAATGAAATGAAACATCGGACATATTCTTCTCTTATTTTATTTGTAATTCTGGTTTTTTTCTTTTTTTGTGCCACCCTTTAATGTTGTCATATTTCTCGTATTCTCTTTTTTTTTGGCGTCAAAAGTTCGATTTAAAATTAGTTTTCTATAAGAAAACATTTATCATACTTTATTTTCTCTTTCTTTTTTTTTCATAAAACAAAACAAAATAGTGTACTTTTCTTTTCGTCTGGTTGAACAACACGTAAATATATTAAATAAAGAACATCAAAAAAAGCAGGGTCTAATTTTGGGAAAGTATCTATTGATATATCTTAAACATTGATTGAACTATATGTTCAGTTAGAACGTCTATCAATAATTTATTCATGAAAGACAATATGTCATCAATTGGAATTTATACAAGAAAATAAAGTTTTTCATTTATATAAATAAACCACAGGTGTTTAAAGTGAAAAACTATCTAGTCTATTATTAATTTCGAGTATCGTTTTCTATCTTTTCTTCATAATAAATTTAAATCGATATTTAATAATATCATATATACAAATGCAGTATAGTGGAAATGAAAATATCTAGCAATTCTACTCTGAAAATCAACGGAATAAAGTCATTTTCATTAGCATCTATTATCTTTCACCATTATGTTACTAAAACAGCAACGACATCTCGTCCCTATGGATATTTGAAATGATTTATTCGTTAGATATATTCACTATAACGGTTATTTCTTGTGTTATACATTTTTCTTTTCTATTCTATCACTACAACACATAAATAACTACACTATTTGTACTCTATAAACTCCGTAATATTTTGCACTAACGAATCGTCCATTAACATGCGCGATAAAACAATCATACGAACTGAAGAAAACGGCAACTGTTCATATGCAGGGACATGTCCCAATATACCAACAGAAGCTCTTCTTTCTCTAGGTCCAGAGAACCGTTTTAGCCTCACACCACCAACCATTCGACTTTTTATTGGTAAATATCGTACATATCCATCTACTTTGGCGTGCGGTACTGATGATGATGCTCTTTCGTTTCATGCCACAACCATTCTCAATTATCTTCGTGATGAATTACATCATGACAGTAACAAAGATTGTGTTACACGAAAATATGATCGAAAAATAAAAAAACATTATGTTCAATCACGCCTTTGTGACTTAGGTAATGGTATTATGATTTCTATGGACTCATCTTTGAATGCTGACGTACAAAATCCAAACAAACTTTTAAGTGATTATCCAGACAATTACTTTCTACTTGTATCAGAAATGGAAATACACTATTTACCTGAACATGATACATTCGTACAAGATTTAGCAAGTCAATTTACCAAAATGACCATTTTTACATCAAAATCATGCACTTTACAAATGGTCTGTAAAAGTCAATGTGAATATTATTTGAGTGGAATTAAAATTAAAAAACCATTGATTACTGATCTTGCTCTTCATTATGGTTCTAATTTTGTATCAACACATGACAAAATTATCAAAAACTTAAATACAAAAGAATCTAAAGGTATTGTTCTTCTTCATGGCATTCCAGGTTCAGGTAAATACACTACTATAATACTACCTCTAGAAATATTTATTATTATTTAGGAAAAACACATTATATTCGATATTTAATTCAAGAAATTCAAGATAAAACATTGATATATGTTCCACCAGATATGGCAAAAGAAATTTCATCACCTGCATTCCTTCCTTTTCTCATGGAACAACAAGATGCTATTCTTATCATTGAAGATGCAGAAAATATTATTAGAGATCGAAATGACTCATCAACACCATCTCAAGCAGTTGCTAATCTTCTTAATTTGTAAGTTGATTTGATTATGTTTTCAACATTGATTAAGGTTGATTTTCGCCATTTGCAGATCTGATGGTTTGTTAGGTGATGCAATGCATCAACAAATCATTGCCACATTTAATTGTGACTTAACAACCATTGATCCAGCTCTGTTACGCAAAGGAAGATTAATTGCTCGTTATGAATTTAACAAATTAGATGTGGAAAGCTCAAAGATTCTGTCTGATAAATTAGGTTTTGGTAGTGAAAGTATAAGTGAACCAATGACTCTTGCAGAGATCTATAATCAAGGTGGCAATGAAAAAGAAGAACTCATCGATTAAATTATAACAGTCAGATTTATGTTTTTATTTTTAACGTTTTAACTGAATAAAAATACAACGCCGAGAAAACTCTCTATATTTTTGTTGTTGTATTGTCTAACATACTCAAATCGGCAAATATATAAATATGTATATCCATTAAAGAAGAAGAGAAAAGAAAATGTGATGAGGGCGATATAAATATTTACGTTCCCTTGATATGCCATAGATATGAGCAGGTCAATTAAATAAGACAATTGAGAGTATTTCAGAAAAGAAGGAAAATGCATAGGATATATTTAATTTCGTCACTGTTGAATCTATGATCTTATGAACTGTTTCATTTACATATTATTCTATATAATTAAAGTAAAAGATGTAACAGAAAATGGCGATAGCATTTGTAGTGAGTTTCCTTGATATTTTAGCTTATAATTTTATTTATTGAAACTTATAAATAAATTTATTAGTTTCTCAGTGAAAGTGATTATTTGGCCGGAACATGGTCAGTCAACTCGCTCATCAGAACACATCCTCCCATTGTTAGTTTGAAATTTTAATATAATTTTGATATCATTCAATTTTATTGATATGTGAAATTTTATAATAAATGTAAGAAAAACAAAAAGTATACATCTTACAATTATGTACGACCAGAATTATTTTTTATAAATCGTAATGAAAGATATGCAAAAAACCGAAAGACAACAAACATTGCAAAAAGTACTAAAAAGTTTAGACCAATATTGAGACCTACATCAAAATATTCTAATGCATCTTCACTAACAAATGTACCATTAGGATTATTTCGACATGAAGATACATATGTTCCATCTACACATCTATAATCATGTCCACCTTTAAATTGTAATTGAAGACATGCATCATAAGCATATTTGAAAAATGATAACCATTTTCCCCATACACCTAACCAATGTGGTAAATTTCGAACATAAAATCCGCCGAGTAACATTAAACTCATAACAAGTAGCGTAGCTGCTGTCATTCCATGTTGTAAATTTTTTAATGTTGCACCCAAAAAAAGACCAAGTGATTCAGCAACAAGAACTGATAAAAGTTGAAATATAAGAACAGCAAGAAATATACCAACATTATTATTAATATTTGCCATCCAATAAGCAATTAAAAGATATAATATTGGTAAGATAAGTTTTAATGGAGCTTCAGCTAATGATTTAGCAAGAAAATAAGATGATAAACGGTATGAACCACTTGCACGTTCTTTTTCAATAACAGCACGTTCTAATGGAAATGATAACAAACTATTGTATAATGTATGTAATGGCCAGAATACCATTATGAAAAAAATAAATGATGATCGATCAGGTATCGTATCTTCAGCCAAATCCATTCTTAACCAACATAAACCAGTTACTACAGCTAAACCTAATGCTTGTATAAAATTAAGACGCGTAAATTGAGCTTTTCCAGATAATCGAAATGCACGTGAAAAAAGAATTAGTAATTGAGGTAAAAATCCTATTGGCCATTTATTTTCCTGTTTAGTTGAAATTAAATTAACATTATCTGGATTAGTTAGATCTGCGACATTTCCAGATGGTTCAGCTAATAGATATTGTCTGCCAGCTGTTGAATATTGATTAGATATAGTTTTGTCATTTGTATTTATTTTATTTTGAAGATATGCTTCTTTAAGTTCTTCTCGAATTTTCATATCTTGATTAACAAGATCCATAACATAATCAGCTGGATTATATTGTGGTGGTGACTGATGTCCTAATGTAGCAAAATAAGGAAGAGCATCCAATGGTTTACCCTATAGAAAAAAATAAATTTTCATAGAATAAAATAGATTATAATAATTACCATAAAAATAGTTTTTCCATCAGCTAAAAGAATAAGTTGATCAAATGATTGAAAAATTTGTGATGAAGGTTGATGTATAGAAGTAATAATTGTTTTACCCTGCATAGCTAATTCACGAAGAACATCTATTAATGCTACGGCTGATGTACTATCCAAACCAGACGTAGGTTCTGTATGTATAAGAAAAATATAGAATTAATTATAATCAATAGTACAGTTATTACACTTACCATCAAGAAAAATAACACTTGGATTTGTTAATAATTCTGTTCCTATATTAACACGTTTTTTTTCACCACCAGATATTAACGTAATAGGAGTATTTGCACATTTTCGAATACGTAATTGATCAATAATTTGTTCAACTTGAGCTAATTTATCGTTTTTAGATAAATGACTGGGTAATCGAAGTAAACCTGTATATGTTAGTTGTTGTTTAACAGTAAGTTGTTCAAAAAATAAATCTTGTTGAAGAACATAAGCTAGTTTTCGTTTCATACTTCTATCATAACTTTGATCATTAAACCATATATTACCAGTAACACCATTCAATGCTCGACCAGCTAAAGTATTAAGTAATGTAGTTTTTCCACAACCTGATGGACCCATAAGTGCAACTATTTGTCCTGGTTGAATTTGTCCAGAAACTTGATCAAGTAGTTTTCGTTCAATAAATCGTTCTTTTGATGATGAATCAATCATTTTAGCTGGAACATTGATAACTTTAGAGACATTATGAAATGTAACTGTAATATGTGATGATAATGCTGCTAATGTTCGAGCTCCATCATCAGACACTTGAGTTTGCAATGTATCAACCTCACGCATTTCTATATAATGTTCTTTTCGTGAATGAGAAGCAGTTTTTTGTTCTGTATCGTTGAATCCTTCATTAATAAATGACATATTGATTTGTATTAAAGATTCGTTTATATTTAGATTTAATGAAAAAAATAAAGAAATAAAGTTGTTGTTATACTATCATGAGAGCATACTTCAAAGTAACAAAACATATAGTCATGTCATGATCATTTCTATAGTTCCTACTTGTCTTATCTAATCTTTTTTCTATTCTTTCAGATAAAAGCACAGATGACTCAGAACGTAAAGTATGCTCGACGACGTTTGGATCTTTACGATCATTTTCTGAATGCGTACCACAGAATACATCATCTTGAGGGTAGGTGTGGGTGCGTATTATCCTCTACAGAGAGCAAACTCACACCCACCCTCAAGATTTTTCTGATCTTAGAAAAAAATGAGAGAAAGTCGTATGATATATCATTCGATATGTATAGTACATTATTTTTAAATTTTAATATCAGAAGCGATTATTTTTGATTATTTATAACCTCAAAAACCTGACATTTTCGTCTGTTTTTACGGGAAAACTCAATAATAAAAGATAAAATACATGAATAAAAGGCTTTTGACATGTGAAAACTATTATCATCGTGTTGTTGTGTATGTCTAATACTATTTGTGGGTGGGGGTGCTAGGTGAATACATTATCCACATCTATGCTGTTATTCAGTTTACCCTGGGTAAGTTTTATCAATATGTACGTATTAATAAAAATATATTCCTACTGCAGAAATGAATGATGCGTACAATTACAGGTGAATGATTTACATGTACAAGGATTATACAGATGAAAACTTTGTGAATAAGATAAAACTGAAAGATATAACGTGAGAGTATTATAGTATTAAAAAAAAGTACCATTTTTGTAGTCTTGATATCTATACAAATATAACCTTTGAAATGATCGATGATTAACAGATGATGACATTTTGGATTTATCAGCGTTTTATGATCAGTTTTTTTATTTTTGCTAAGAATTATGCTTGAGAATTGCTGATATGTCTAATATTGTATCTGAAGAAAAGGTATAATTTGAACAGAGCAACAGAATTTATTTTTTATGACTTTACCTGTTTGAATGAGTTTATACGATATATTATTTGAAAGCAAATATATCTACTGATTCATCGATATATTACAAGACTTCTGAAATACAAATAGTAATATTTCATAATTATAAGAGCATATTTTTGATGCAAAATTAAGCCAAGAATTCTTTGGACTATCTATGAAAGGAAGATATACGTCTGTCTAAAGGACAATGCTACTAAAGATGTTACATTTTTCAGTCATCATGTATGCGCTTGTGTGTGTATCAGCAGCTATAAAGTTGAGTAGTGTGAATACATGAATTCACAGTGAGAAAATTCCGGTAGTAACTATATAGAAGTAGTTTTAGAAGTTTTGGCAGTTGTGATTTAACCCCTTAACGGTTATCGACGTATATATACGTCAGAACAAAAGTTGAAGACTGCAATTCCTTAACTCTGTTTTCTTGTATTCTCTGTGTTGATTTTAACATCCTGCATTGACTGGAGCTCTCTCTACCGATTCTTAAGATTCATATCAGCTATGTACCTCTGTGTCAACTGTATTATAACTTACATTCAGCGTGGATCTATTTTTTAAATGATATCTGTGCATTGAATATTATTGCTCTATTAAGCATGCCATCCTTTGATTAGTTGCTACTCCATCTTTAGTCAACCGCAATAGATAGTGAACATGAGTTTAGTTTATTCGGAAACTGATTAGTTACGACATATAGGATAAAAACGAATAGTTTCAATAAAAAAGGAGACAACAAAAAAACGAAAATAATAATACGAAACAATAACAGAATAAGTATATGCCACATGCTTCTATATAAGTAATACGTACACGAGGGAAGAAAAAAATATCAAAATTATATCACGTAACTCATAAGGATTGTTCCCATTATGAAAACCTACACATATAAAATAAATTCTTGTCATATTACTTCTTTTTTTCTATACATAACAATAAACCATATATATCCTCAAAAGCCTTGACTATCCTTCAATATCTGTGAGTTTAAAAAAGCTATTTTTTAAAAATTTTATTAGTTAGTTTCAAAAAAGAAAATTAACGCTAAAGGGGTTAATTTAGTAGTTTATTGTTCAATTATTTTGCTCAGAGTTCGTTTTGTGCAAAATTAAAAGACTGACGATAATAGTTATGTGTCAAAAACATACTTTGGAGAATTTTTTAATTATGATGCCTAATTTACAAAGAAACAAATTCTCAAAGATGAAATAGTTTACAATAGCACTATGTATATTATCAAATTACAAAAGGGTTCCTAATATGGATCTAAACACATCCTTGGTTCACTCATACCAACGATTTCTCTTGATGTCACTGTTGTGAATAAGCTCTAAACTGAAACTGAATTTATGATGAAATCATATGTAATTAACTGTAAGACACAAATGCTATTTATGGTAAAATTGATCTATGAAAAGAATATTTCCGATATTATCGTAAATCGAATTCAACATGAATAAATAAAACTTTTATTTTAATATTTCAGTCAAAGTCTCTCTTCTTGAAACTATTGTAATTTATTGAATTCGATATAAAAAAGATCTTTTTTTGATCAACTATTGAATTGAGCCTTAGATTTCACTGATATAAATAACAAACCAAATAATAATCTACTTCAGAAAATCATTCTTTCGTTTGTTGTATAGAAAATAATTAAGAACTAGTGATAAAATTAATAAACAAATTAAACGTTTTATCAAATAAATGGGATGCTAATAATTTCGACTAAAATCTACAATCCAAGTATTAGTGACAATAATGATTCATTAAAACAAGCAGTACTAAGCGATAAAATGATTCTATCATATTTCTTTGCTTAAAAATAATAAAATGTCAAATGACAACATTTGTATATTTATGAATATAGCTAGACAACACTTAGAGTTAAAAATAATGATTTCTAAATACAGCTGTATTGTTATTGCACATGATATTTATGTTTGTCAGCATGAGACATAGCATGCACAGTACTATTGTCTGAGTAATCCCAAAGAACTATGAGAACAGAAATGAATACCACAGAAATTGATTAACTAAAGATGATAAGTGGATTTATAATAAATCTCTAGAAAAAAAGATTTGTGTGGTTAAATACATCATTAGTAATGAGAGAAACCTAGAAATCTGATTATTTATCCTTAAGAAAAATAATACTGAAAATGAGTTTGTCAATGACCATACTGTGCAACTCAAGACAAAATGCTTATCGTCGGATAATATTGTCGCACAATTAAAGTGCTTTATTCAATATCTGACAATGAATCTAGCACATTATAAAATTAATTCGAATTTCAAAAATAGACTGGATTAGAGAAAATTTATTCCCGAGTCATCCATCAATATGATATGGAATATAAATGGTTTGAACTTGATGTATATCTACTTTTTATGCATGATGAATAATTCAAAAACAAAAATATATGAAAATTCTAATCTAAAATTAACCGAACGAAGTCATTATCATCAACATCTATTATCTTTCACCATTATGTTGTCACAAAATAAACTGATTCATGTTTCTAAAACATCAAGGACATCTCTTATTTATAAATATTTGAATTGACTCATTTGTCAAATATATTCACCATATTACTCATATATTGTGTAACAAATGTTTTTTTTCTTTTCTGTTCTTTCATAACAACAGACAAATAACTACAATATTTTTACACTATAAATACTGTAATATTTTGTAGTAACAAATCGTTCATTAACATGCACGATAAAATAGATACACAAACTGAAGAAAACGGCGATTGTTCATGCGCAGGGACATGTCCCAATGTACCAACAGAAGCTCTTCTTTCTCTAGGCCCAGTAAATTATCAGAGTGTCATACCAGTAATACGAATTTTTGTTGGTAAATATCGTACATATCCATCCACGCTGGAGGCTACTACTGATGATGATGCTCTTTCGTTTCATGCCACAACGATTCTCAATTATCTTCGTGATGAATTACATCATGACATCAATAAAGATTGTATTATACGAACATATGATCGAAAAATCAAAAAACATTACGCTCGATTACGTGTATGTGATTTAGGTAATGGTATCATGATTTCTATGGACTCATCTTTGAATGCTGACACACAAAATCCAAATAAACTTCTATGTGATTATCCAAAGGATTATTTCTTGCTTGTATCAGACATGCAAATATATTATTTACCTGAACATGATACATTTGTACAAGAGTTAGCAAGTCAATTTTCTAAAATGACTATTTTTTCGTCAAAATCGAGCACTTTACAAATGGTCTGTAAAAATCAATGTGGTTATTATTTAAGTGGCATTAAAATCAAAAAACCATTGATCACCGATCTTGCTCTTCATTATGGTTCAAACTTTGTCTCAACACATGACAAAATTATCAAAAACTTAAATACAAAAGAATCTAAAGGTATTGTTCTTCTTCATGGCATTCCAGGTTCAGGTAAATACACTATTATAATACTACCTCTAGAAATATTTATTATTATATAGGAAAAACACATTATATTCGATATCTAATTCAAGAAATTCAAGATAAAACATTGATATATGTTCCACCAGATATGGCAAAAGAAATTTCATCACCTGCATTTCTTCCTTTTCTCATGGAACAACAAGATGCAGTTCTTATCATTGAAGATGCAGAAAATATTATCAAAGATCGAAATGAATCATCAACACCATCTCAAGCAGTTGCTAATCTTCTTAATTTGTAAGTTTATTTGATTATGTTTTCAACATTGATTAAGGTTGATTTTTGTCATTTGTAGATCTGATGGTTTATTAGGTGATGCAATGCATCAACAAATCATTGCCACATTTAATTGTGACTTAACAACAATCGATCCAGCACTTTTACGCAAAGGACGACTAATCGCTAATTATGAATTTAACAAATTAGATGTGGAAAGTTCAAAGATTCTGTCTGATAAATTAGGTTTTGGTAGTGAAGGTATAACTGAACCAATGACTCTTGCAGAGATCTATAATCAAGGTGACAATAAAAATGAAGAATCAAATAATTAAATCGTACGAGTCAGATTTATGTTTTTATTTCTAATGTTTTAACTGAATGAAAACACAATGTTCGAGAAAACTCTCTATAATTTTTGTTGTTGTAATGTCTGACATACTTATATCGACAAATATATAAATATATATATATACATATTCTTTTTTTGGTATTATCGGCAGAGTATGGTTTTGCGATTGTAAAAAATAAGATATTGTCGTAGTAACATCCATTAAAGAAGAAGAGGAAAGAAAATGTGACGATGGCGATATACATGTTTATGTTCCCTTGACATGCCATAGGTATCGCCATCATTTAACCAGCAAAAAGACATTTGGCATACCATAGAATTTATTATTGGTGGTAGGAAAAGAAAAACAACAACAAGAACCAAAACGGCAGAGGAAAAAAAAATCATCGTGTTATGTCTCTGATTTAGTACGTAACAGACTAGAAAAAAATCTTCTATAAAACAAGCGTTTCTAACCATCATATTGTAGAAAGGTTATATATCCTAAGATCGAATAATCATCTATCTAGGTTTCTTCAAACCAGAAACAAGAATTTTAATAAAAGGTATCTATCTTTATTTATAATAGGATGTCAATCAAATAAATACGTGTGTAGAACTATGTAAAGCATGTGTCAGACGATAAAGGTGTCTTTATATCTAAAAATACATAGACGTTGTATTTTGTTTTTCCTATCTAAATATTTTTTTTTGCAAATTTGTAAGGATATATACATCCAGATGATGGGTCGTTCTAGACATTATATTATATCTCTGTATAGATCACAGGAGACCTACATACTATTGATGTACTTTTCTATTGTTGATATATATTAAGATCTTTAGTACTAATTAAAATAACAATGCCGTCTTATACAAATCTTCAAGTTAAAATGCAACGTGATTCAAACAGTATACCATGGGGCTTTCGAATGCATGGTAATTTATTGTTACGAGAAAAAAAATTGATATGTAATTTGAATTTATTAGGTGGAAGAGATTATGGCTGTCCTTTGCAAATTCAAAAAGTGAATCCAAATAGTTTAGCTGAACGTTGTGGAATTCAAGGTGATGATTATATTCTTAAAATTGGTACAGTATCTACTGAACATCTTCAACATAATGACGCTCAAGAACAGATTAAACGACATCCTAATGTATTAGAATTTGTTTTACAACGGTTAGTATGAATAATAAAATAATTCTTAACAATGTTGTACATTATAGAGGTGCTCCACCTACTAGTGCTGATTATAATAGTCGTTTGGATTTCGCAGCTCAGCAACCAATACAACCTAATTTTCTACCCCAATCTCTTTATCAATCACCGCCTCAATCGCCATTACCAGGCCCGCAGGTATTTACACAACTACAAGACATAATTTATGTCTTATTTCAGCAATGTTTAACTATAATAGTTAACACAATATCTAATTATATAAACGATGAGAAATTTTTAAGAAGTATTTTAAAATTCATATTATGAGTTTGTTTTATTTTATTAGATTGTTATGCCAATATCAAATAATCGAACTATATCTAGTCAATCTTACAATACTCCGATCGGTCTTTATTCTGCTGATAATATAACAGACACAATATCACGTACACTTAAAAGGTATTTAAAAGAAAAATATTCTCATATTATTTACAATTCTACATCACTTATAATCAATGAAGATGTTGATTGTAAATAAAAAGAAATCATGCATACGATTATTTTTGCGCTTCTTTACTTCTTTAACAATGATCTGAGAGTTGTTTTTTTGTTTTTTTTTTATCAAGTATAAATGTAGCTTCTGATTATCAAGTTGAAGAACCACCAAAAACGTAAGTGAATACAAATATATAGATAATTCGTCTAAACATATACATTTAAGTGCCAATGAATTTAAACCATCATCAGCTAAGTCAATGCCCAAACCAGCACCTCATAATAATGCGCCAAGAGGACCACCACCACCACCGCAACACCAACAACAACAACAACAACAACAGCAACAACAACAGCCATATTCAGCTCCGTATGCTGCACCTCCCAAACCGGCTGGTTAATCTTTAGACAATAAATTTATGTTAATTCTATCTTTTTTTATCTTCAGGAGGAAATAAACCTTCGTTTAATGTTAATGTACAAGGAACACCAGGATCAGGCAATCGTATACTTAAAAAAGGTGGCAAAGGTAGTGCTTTATTAAATCAGAATGATAATGCAAATCAAGTAGCTGTTTGTCATGCATGTGGAATTAAAATACGGTAAATTTGCATATAAATATTTGATTTATTTTTTAATTAAAATATTGATTAGGGGTCCATTTATTTCGGCAGTTGGTCATTGCTTTTGTGTAAATCATTTTACATGTTCACAATGTTCAAGAGATCTTGTCGATTGTGGTTTTATTGAAGAAAATGGAAAATTATATTGTGAACAAGATTTTGAACAATTTCTTGCACCACATTGTGCTAAATGTTCACAAAAAATATTAAAAGTAACGATTAAACGAAATTATATTGCATTTCATTAATATTTCATAAATAGGAATGTGTTCATGCACTTGAACAAACATGGCATCCGGAATGTTTTCTATGCACAGCATGTAAAAAATCGATTGGTACAGGTTCATTTCATGTTGAAGAAGGTCAACCTTATTGTACTGAAGGTATTTCTAGTTATTATTTGTTAACATAATATGATATATATGTTCGAATTGATATAGATTATCGACGAATGTTTCAAGCAAAATGTACTTCTTGTGAATTTCCTATTGAACCAGGAGATAAATATCTTGAAGCACTTGGTGGTACATATCATGTTGAATGTTTTAATTGTTCTGTATGTTTACAGTTTCATTATAATTAAAAAGAAACTATATAAATTTCTTTTTATTTATAGTCATGTCAAACTAGTTTAGATGGTCAACCATTCGTAGTGAAGAATAATAAACCTTATTGTCGTCAACATGGTCGTCCAGCAGCTTCTATCTTTAATAATTAACTAAATTTTTCTTTTACGATTTTTGAATAAAAAAACAGAAAGCTCATAATTACATATATATAATATATACGTATATATGGAATTGATCTTTAATAAATAGAATAATATTATTTTATGTATACGATTTTCTTTATATCAACGACAGAAAGAAAAAAAATCAATTTAAAATGTATTACAATAAATTTTATCTTCATCATTTTATTTTTGATTTTAATTCATTTTTAAAAGTACATAAATATAAATTTACGTACTAAGATGTATTTTTTCCATTATTATCAACAACAACAATAAAAAAACGAATGTTTGTTGCTTTTTACTTTCATTTTCTTCTTTAAAAAACAAAAAAAGAAGAAGAAGAAGAAGAAGAGAAAAAGAAATCGTTTAACATAAACATTTTACTCATACTTTTCCGATGTTATTTTTCATATATGGCATCTTCTAAAGAACATTCTTATTCTATAATGCCATCTCCTGCTGGTCGATTACATATGAATAATGGTAATTTATCAGCAGATATTCATCAACAAGGAATATATACATCTGATTATCGAACAAAATATGTAACAAATGCCGTTTCACCTATGTTAGCTTTACCAACTACTACGTTTACAACAACAACAACAACAACAACGGCTAATGATAGTCAACATAATAATATACAATATCAAAAAATAGAAAATATCGATTTATCAAAAAAAGTTTTTATTGATAGACAAATTAAAAAAGCGAAATCATTATCTGGATTAATCAAGTAAGTAAAAAAAAAATTTTTTCGTTGATGTGACTACAGTTAGACAATTAGAATATACTTTAATGAAATCATCATATTCATATCGTTATTTTTTGTACGGACTTATAAGATTTGACTATATTAAAAGTCAATATGAATGTCCTTGAATTACGTTATTTTGTAATACTAGATAAGAATAAGTCGAAAGAAAGAATTTCAAAGTTGATTACAAAAACATCTACATACAATTTATGAATAGAAGGATTAATAGTGTTCTAAGTTATCCAGATTCTATCAAATATTAATATACTTATATAGTTTCTTATATAAAATTAGAATTGGTTATACAACTAGGTCAAGATTCAATATCTCTATGATGAATAATGTCATCGAAATACACCAAATGAGTAAACTTATTCAATATACGGTTTTGCTCGATAATTCTTTTAGGGTTTCTCGAGTTATTCGACTGTCTATATCTAAGCATAATATTTTATAAACATAGTTTGTTCTGATACAGAACGATGTTAAAATATCGTAACAATAACAGTCGTGTTTGAAAAAAATCTATTAATAATAAAATGACATGAAATTGTTTTTCAAAAGCAAACTCTCAAATCATAATAAATTTTCGTTTTCTTTTAAATACATGTTACAAACAACATTTCTTTCATCAGGCAACTTGCATTTTACAAATCGAAAAAAGGTATTTGTTGACATAAAAAACAATTCGAATGTCCTTCAAGTTTCAATCTCCTCAATACATTACTCTTAGGAACTAAACATACAAACAAATTTTGAATTTTATTTTGTAAAATAAAAGATATTTCTTTCCTATTTGAAGAGGTACTGTTTTATCTCGTCATGCACCTCTTCACCCATCACCAAATACAGATTCAACAACTTCCAATGGTTCAACAAATAATCTTCATGATAATCTACCTACGTCTACTGTAACAAATAATGAAGAAGATTCTACTACAACACATCAACAACATGAACAAAATAATGAAACTCGTCGTCCTCGAGTTTCTTTTTCTCAATTTCATAAAGTACAATATTTTGAAGATAACACTCGACAGCATCGTCATCGATATCGTTCAGCAAGAAAAGCAAGTGCTGTTATTGGTAATAATCATATATCACCAGTATCAACTCAACATTCTGAATTATCTAATCCTTCTTATCGTCCATTGTCACGTCAACAATTATTCGGACAAGAAACTACTATTAAAAAACAACAACTGACTGCTTCACCACGTGGATATTCATCTCGTACAACACATTTACCAGATATAATAAATGAAACTCCAATACATGAAAAATATGTTTTACAACGTGAAAAACCTTTACTTGAAATACCTGAACCAGCAGCAGAAATTCCAATCAATTCTGGTCCGGATGGATCTCGTGAGAGTAGTCGAGCAGGTACTATTCGTCCATCAGTAATGCAAAGTTATACAGATCAAAATTATAAACAAGAAACAAATGATAGAGGTCTTAAAACATCACTTAGTAATAGTTCAACTACTTCTCTATTAGGTAATCGACAACGTTTACCTCTTCATACATTATCTCTTCGACAACAATTTACTTCACCTACTACTAGAGCAAAAACAACAAATGTTTCAAATAATCATCAAACATTAACAAGTTCACGTCGATCAGAGTCACTTAAATATTCATCAACAAATTTGCATTCAAATGATGATAATTCTAATGAAATAAATGATACGGAATTATTATCAGCGTTTGGACATCGTCCCATGACAGGAATAAGTTCGTCAAAACATTTAAAACGTAATTATATTATACATTTTGATTCAAAAAATTCATCTAATGAATATTCAACAACAAATGATTCAACAACACCAGCACGTTTTCATAATGTTTTAAAATTTGTTCGATCACCTTATTTAACAAGTATACTTAATCCTAATCATGATTCAAACTTACAAACTACTATGAATAATGCAAATGGTACTATTCGTTCAGCACATATAAACAATGACCATGGATCATCTGAATTTCATAGTATATCAAATACAATTGTTGTATAATTTATCCAATAATGAAATATATATATACATTGACAATACTAAATATTTTTTAATGGAAAAAAAAGATATTTTTATGTCATGTAATAAATATTTCGTTCATTATTCATAGTACAGCTATTTGTTATTTTGTTAGATCTGAACCAACGATGTCATATATATAAACATACGCTACTAAGTGAAAATATAGAATTAATATCGATAAAAATTATTCCTACCCGATAATAAAAGCAATCGACATATATCACTCTCCTCTTATTTGATTTCAGAATCATATCTGATTTTTAACTGAAATTTAATGAGTAATATAATCTTTTATACTTCATATCAAATAACTATTTGATTAGTTGAAATGTTCTGTGATTTGAAACTAATACATTTTTTTAACCCTAGAAGTCCTAAGTGGATCATTTCTGACCCAGTCTTCGTCAAATTTTCATACAATGAAGATATTTTATTGTTTTGTATCTTTCGAAAACAGGATGTGAGATGAGTATAGGATGACCTTAAAACGCAAAAAAGGTTTCGGACTCGTAGGGTTAATATACAATCATGTTGTTTTGAAATATAAAATAGATTTTGTTATGTTCTTATTAGAAAAGAGAAAAAGAAATACTAAACACTTGATAATTAATCTTCTGTTAAAATATGAGAGCTTATTTAGTATTCAGATAGATGTACTATCTTAATTGTCACTGATCCCCATTACTAAATTAATATTCATTATTCAATTAAATTTACTAGTATAATACTTTAAGTGTTCACTTTTCTCAAGAGGAAATCCATTACAACATCTCAATTTGTACGTAATGCCTTTTTTTAAAATGTACAAAAAAATCATGCTACATATAGATGTTTTTTTGCTCTTTTGTAGTAAAAATACCACTACAAATCAAAGACTTGCATCTATAAAAACCATATATACAGTAAATTAGATAATTCTACTAATGTAAAAAATGTTTCGAAATTCTTCACAGTTGAATAATCTAATGTTTTATCCTGTAAGATCCTTTATTAAAGAATAACATTTATTGTGATATCCTATTCTGTAATAAAGTAATTCTTTTTTTATTATTCATGAAGTAGAACATTTGCTTATGTAATCATTAAAACTTATTCAAGAAAATTCTCTAATGACAATTCATTTCTAACATTAAAAAAGATGAACATGTGTGATAAAATGATTAACGATTCGTCTTTGATCATCTAACACTGTATGATATTCAAGTAAACATATGATTGTGTTGTTAATTGTAATGTATAATCTTCGTACGAGAAATTCAAATAATTTGACATGTTGAATTAAGAACCAGATCATTATTTAACATATAACTAATGTCATTCTTGTATCTGCAATGCTGAGTCTAATCATTATTCTTAAATAATGATTGATCATTTTTTATCATATAATGCATGTTCTTCTTGTGCAACAGATTTTGACCCTTTTTATTCTTCTTACATGAATAGTGATAGTAAATGAATAAGTATAAATGTCTGATTACATACACAACAGATTGTAGTAATGATTTGTTTCTATTTAATTGGTACAAAAAAATTATGACAAAAACATTGTTGTTGACAATGTAATCTTTCTAATGAAGTATTTTGACAAATAATTTCTGATGGTGATGATATAGATGTATAGTAACATGGTAATACTTGTTCTGAAGTAGGAATATGTTGCCGTTGTTGCTGTTGATAGTATGCTAGAGCACATGAACAGCAAGAACAATGTTGATGGTTTGTTGATAATCGAATTTTGTCATAGATATTTATTGAAAGATTATGATAAATTGATTGACTATCAGAGTTTAGATGTTTATCTAAAGTCAATTTATTTGCTAAGGTTAATGATGGAGATCGATTTGTCATCATTGTCAATGGTGTTAAAGAATAATATGGTACTGGAAGAATCTTAAACAACAGACAAAGATTTTTAGATTCATTTTAAGACAATATTTTATTCTTACATTTGAAAAAGATGTAGATTGTATAGTATTATCTATAGTTTTTATTTGATGATTATCTTGTCGTAATTTCTGATAAAATCCATATCTATCAATAGAAAAATTATTTGAAAGAAAAACTTTGATTTAATCTTTGTTACTTGAAAATAAGTAAAACTAAAAGAAGAAAAGTAGTTATTAAACCAATAAATATACCAAGAATAAAACATAAATCTGTATGTTTCGGAAGATTTTCGAATGTAGAAGATAAATTATTGAGTATTACTTGTGGAAATATGGGTAACGATGGTGGTGGAGTAAGAAGATAACATTGTGATTGTTGTCGACATATTGCATACTTTCGAGAAAGATCGAAATCTGATAAAGATTGATTCATAATTTGATACTATTCAATCTATAATAGGAGAAAAGTAGCTTATATTTTCTTTTCTTCCTGTTTCATATGTAACATCATTCAAAGAAGGATGATTTCTCTTCTCAATATAGAGAAGAAACATTCTTTTGTTAATTTTCTTTTCTCTTTTTCTTCTTTATTTCATGCCACAATAAGTGTGCTTGGAGATGCAATACACGAGATAGAATAGTTTAATATAAAAGTATTTCTCCTTGAATTAATCTACTATCAGACATACACCAGCAAATAGGGAGAAAAAGAAGAAGATTATTATTGCTTGTATAGACATAGTACCTGGGGAGAAATTAGAATGTTTTTTAATAAATTTTTCTTATTCGATTTATTAAGAATCGATTAATGACCTTGTAAATAATGTGTAATAATCTCTTGTGGTTCAAGAATTATAGATAATGAATATTAACATGAAAAATATCTAGTCTCTCAATAATCGACTAGAGTTTAGTGTTCGTAAATTCCATAAAGATTACTATCACGAACATCTGTACTAATGATGATCTTGCATGATAGATTCTATGCACGTATTGATTGTATATAGCGGAAATGATACTATAGAGAAACTGTCTAGACTTTACTATATATAGAAAGATTTGTTAAGTTTTCTATCTTCACAATTCTATTCTACAATATCTTTGTCATGCTTATATTACAATGTATTGTTCTATATTCAACTATTCTTACTTGATACTATTTATATATTATGATAATTATTATTCTTTTCCTAGACTATACATATGAAAGAATCATATTCAAAGAGTTTTATGATTAGATGATTGTTTATAAGAATATGGAAAAAAGGAAGTTCAAAGCTCTGACTCATTACTAATGATAGATCTATTCAATATTCTTTTCTTTTACTTAACTGCTCAAATATTTATCTTGATCTAATTTTCTTCATCTCAATAAATCGTGTGAAAAGAAATTTTTAATTTGATATGATTTTGAATAGTAGTTTACTCAACAGAATATAATTATAGGCATCAACAAAGACAAAAAAGATCGAATCTTTATCTGTCTATTTCTAAGATATATTATGCGCAAATGATTTGCCTACATTTTCTCATTTGATTGTTAAACAATCACTCTTCATTTAATGAAACAGCGGCATGTGTATGTGTTCTTTCATTTAAAAGAGATCATTTATTAACTTGACAGATTGTATAATTTTGTTTTTTCTTCCTTTCAAAAGTTAAACGAATATTTAATGATTCTATCTTCATGGATGATCAATAAAAGTGTTAAATTCCTTAATATGATATTATTCATACGCACTCTGCTTACATACCTTTACTGTTTACATATTTATTCTACAAGCTATTTGTTGGAGAAGATGGTGATGGGTCAACTTACTCTTCGTTATCCTTGGCGATGAACAAGTCAAGTGAACTGACTCACGCAATCGAATGATTCTTTTTTTTCCTACTAACATGTAAATGAACAGAATTGACCTAGTCTATATTGAATAGGTTACGTATAGAACAGTATTAGGTAATCTATATATGTACAATGTTCTGATTAATGATGGAGGTCAGTAGGACTCTTTTGTTTCGTCAATGCCTCGAGAGACAGTTACCATCAAGACTACTCATGTGGACAATACCGATGCTTTCCGTATTGTTAATCAACAGTGAAAAAGTTAAAAACGGAAGTACACCTTGAACAATAGACAGTAACAAATATAGATTAATGAAATTTACTTGTATTGAATTGAAAGATGATGATTTTTCTCACAAGCTAATTTAATCTTATCCCTCCAAGATAATATATACTTCCGTTCTTCCTAATCTAATTGAATTGAAATTAAAAAAAAATAAAATACCTTGATGTTAGATCTTTGAATTGTTAACTGTTTATTCAAGAATACACTCTTATATATACATATTTCTTTGCACTGGCTATTAAAAGTGACAATATGTTGCCTGTATTGTATTCGTATCAATGAAATGACCTCGGTAACATTGTCAGGAGTGATTGTGTGCATGGCATTTCAATAAATGACGATGATGATGATGATAGAAGCGGTACTCACATGTATAACGCGAACTGTTAATACGATTATTTCTAATCAATTTTATCTACGTGTGAAGTTGTTTAATGTTGTGTATACTGAACGGATAACGATCAAATATTTTATGAACGTGTGCGTGAACGTATTATTGATTGTGTTGGAAACATATTTTAAAAGAAATTATATGTCACACAAACTTGATTCATTCTGTCAAAGCTAATAAAATTTTAATTTTAACTTCTGATTAAAAAAAAGTATATACTTTTATATAATGAAATTAAAATATTGCCGAAAAATATAATCATATCTTATCAACAATTAATTAAGATATATGCGAAATATTCTAAGATGTTAACTAGAAATTAAGATTAGACGGATATTTCTGTTTACAACATTTGTAAAAGTTAATGATATGTCGTATGAGATATGAAAAGGTTTTATTTATTAACAAATACATTTATCATAATAATAGAAGTAGATATTAACTAGCTTTTATAATTGTGTGATTTGACAGCTGCATGGGACACATGATTAGACATTGACTATCTCTATATCCCGTGTGATATAGTTCTCTGACCTTGCTAAACCAATTTATTATATGTCTAGAATATATAGCATGTGTGATTTATATTCCAAGGTAAATAATATGATTATAAGAAGTTACCGCTGTGAGATTCCAAAATTATTTTTCATTTGATTTTCCTAGAATAACGAATCTAATAGGTTTCCCTAGGAAAAAAAGACTAGGATATTGGTTAAAATAACATAAATGAAGATAATATCATTTTTCCATTATTTACAAGAACGATGAGTAATATAAATGATTACCATATTTTGCAAAGAAAAATTTATTTGTATAAACTCAACAATAATTACACCCGGAGAGTCTTTTAATAGGAAAATAAATAGTTAGATAACTTCATATACAAAATTTCACCTTGGTCACTAAAAAATCCAGCTGTTTTTTTTGTAGTATTTTTATACTAATATAAAAATAATGATTAGTATTAGAATCAAAATGTAATTTAGATGAACAGTCAAACATTTTGTTCTTATTTATTGTTCTTTAATGACACTTGTTTTTATAATTGAATTAATAATAATCAGTCTGATCATTGATCAAGATAAAGTTTAGTATTTTACTGCTGTACGATGACTTTATTAGTATTTCAGAAAAAATATAAGAAAGAATAGAATAACTTGTCATCAATCCTTTGGGAATAGACAGCCGGTGAATTTTTTTCATTCCATTATATCCTCCTTTTTGGGTTCTTCAGTAGGAAGAAGAAGAAGAAGAAGAAACTCTATTTACAGAAATAAATAATACATAATATTTCAGTATAGAAATTATAACTAATAAAAAAAATTCTTAGAGAGATATCTTGATACGAATAGACATTATTTTTATGTCGTAAAAGATAAACTATTCTGCTTGCACCTGTCCGTACACTGATGATATTTATACCATAAATGACCTTGACGTTACTGCACGTCTCGACAATCTTCATCATATATCTATCATAATTATTCATTTTTCTACTACGATTTTTTGTACGTAGGATTAGTCCTTCTCACATAATAATAAAACAATGACAAACACCTGCACGCACAAGACTACGTGAGTAAATAAAAATAATGTATGAACAATCAAGTGAGATGGGTAGAATTACCTGTTTATAAAAGAGAAAAATCAAGGTCATTGTCATTTTCTCATAAGTTAGCTTTCGTATGAATAAGATTGTCACCATCTGCTCATGATTCAAACCATCTAGAAATATGCTCATATAAAGGAAGAAGTGAAAGAAGAAGGAGAAGAAGATGATAATCATTATTTGCATTGCGCGTCCGGGGTGTCTATATGTGCCAAGGAGACTGATGTTACTACTATTAACACAACGGATAATAGTTAGATGTCAAGATCTCTTCATTTTGTCAAATAACTCTCGTTCTTCTCTTCTCCTATGTAATCTGACAGTAAGAATAAAAAATGATTATAAGACTTTTATAGTTCCGTAGCAGACATAAGTTGTTTAGTTTCTGTTGACATCAATTACTTGTTATGTGTGAGATACTAGTTTTGTAAGAAAAATTTTATGCTTCTTAATAATTTCATCAGTTCGATAAGTTTATTTATTGATTCTCTTGCATGATATTATTAATAGTCATGAAAATAAATAAATCCAGTATTCCGATCACAAATTCTGACTATGTAAGGAAAGATTTGATTAATGTTAATCTTTCGTCCATTTTAGATAACTTTATCTATTCTAAAATGTCATATTATTCAAATAGTTATGATATCCAAATTTTAGAATAGGACAATGATCAATAATTATCAATACTGAATTCAACATGAACAATGATGCATGGCGAAAATAGATTACAAAACAATATTTATATTTTTATATACAATTTTTCTACAGATAATTACTGTGAATACTCATCACACGTATATTATCTATTGGAATCAGACATCGTTCAAGTAAGTCTCTCTAGTATTGAATAATAGAAGGAAGAATTTCTTTATATAGATTTATAATCTATAAGTTTTGTTTTTGATCCATCAATTTTTCAGGTGTAAAAGCTATTAATCACTGACGTAATAAAACAAAATAACCAACGCCATACAGGCGTGGTTTATTACCTCATCAGACATGTTCAAACATTCATGCGCTCATGATCAAAGTGACCTTTCGTTTATAGAACGAGTGAAGAGATGCATTTTACAGATTGTATAAAGGCTAACGCATAACACATACGATTGCTCATCAACAAACATATAGCGTTGTGTTTCGATAATGTGTTTTTTTTTAATTATTGAAAGTTCAACGTAATCGAATTTTGAACAAATACATATAAAAATACAAGCATAAAATCTAGTTTATTAAGTTTTTCTTTTACGTTTATTGAGATAATCATATAAATAAGAATATTGCACTTGTAGCTTTATCACAATTAAATAAGCTCATTTTACTGTCTATATAGCTTAAGGGTAAAAATCAATGTTTAATGAATCTTTTGCATGTTCTTTTCTTTTTTCTAAAAATCAACTCTTTCACATAGATACTTTGTAAAAAAACTTTGAATATACTACTCGATATGAAAATCGTCATGTCAGTATATATGTATATATATATAAATCATTCTAATGTATTAAAAATGAGACGAAATTGTAAATGCAATTTTTATTTCAATTTTTTTTATTCACTAATCCCTTGTTCACCTGCATTTGTAAACGCATACGTTCTCAATTGTTCATTTGAGTGATATATACGCATATTAATACACTTTGATCATTCATATACTTTCAATGATTAGTATGCTCACTAGACTCACTTATAAACACACTAAAAAATTACGTGCATCAATGAACAGAATATCATCAATTATTTCATTGATGGTTATAAAGAAAAAATGTTGTACATTATACTGAATTGTCAATATAAAAAAACATGTTTTTTTCCTGTTAGAAGACAATGATACTTATATATTACATGGTAATTAACTGGCGATCTAGAGAGATGATGCCTCGATACAACAAGTACATGAAAAGTTCTTTTGTATTACCATCAACTAGTCGTTTTTTTTTCTTTCTTTACTCTTCTTCGCCGCTTGTTGAGATCAAGAGAGACGAACGAAAGGATAATTGGACTATTTCTTTTCCTCATTGTAGAGTAGAGAAGAGAAAGAGAGAGAGAGGAAGAGAGAGAGCGGTCAGTTGAATAGAATAGTGTGTATATTTAGTCGATGCAGCGACAGAAGGACTATGTTCATCAACGAACTAGTTGTCGTATCAACTATTTTACTCATCTTTCTAATTAGACAACAAATTCATTCAGTAATTCTTCAGCCATTCTATTGGAATCAAACAACATACAGGTAATTGAAAAAGATCTTCTTCTCAATACTATTAATAATCAATTGATCAAATATATCTGGCATAACCATGACATATCCTATTATATATATGTATATGTATACGTAATGTTCTTTTAAGTTTACAGAAGTTGTTCTTGAGTCAATTGTATTAATTACTATGCGTCTCTCTATTTGTTTGATAATGCTCAAGACATAGACGTGTCAGATCAATAATAAAAGCGTAAAGAATGTTATCGATGGGCAATAAACAATAATATCTCATTCAAGGATGATCAGATAACAGAAGATATAATATCAATGTCTATTGATATTTTTTTTGTTTAAGAAGATGATAGATCTGATTTTCTAAAGAAGATACTTATATAGATAATACCACTTTTCAAATGTTCATACTGTGTTTTATCCAGAGTTTTTCCCAAAATAAATTTTCAATAGAAATTGATTCATTTAAATAAAGATGATTATTTAAAAAAAAACGTCATCCGAACTACATAGGAAATTGATTAGATCATTGAAAGAACACCGGATATTCATGGATATGTGGTAAATTAGAAATTGAATATACTAAACTAAATTATCTATTTGTTGTTTCGATGTCTTCCGTTTAGTATTCATCTAGATTATAAATATAAAATTTTTTTCTAATATTCGCATTTTTTTTCTTCTTTTAATGTGTTTACATCTTTATAGTTGAGCGCTTATGGCATTGTGACCGTTATAAAAAAAAGACTGACCTTGATTACAGTATTCTTTTTAATTAGACATCTTGATTGTTTTCTTATTCAAGTATCAAAAGAACACTTGAAAATCAGAAAGGAAATAAAAAAATCAAACGAATTATGCTATGTCTCTTTATATCTATAGGCCATATCAAGACGTTTCCTTGATCTTTGAAGTACGTTTGGGTGATGTTATGGATCTTATATGTCCATTTTATGATGAACATGAATCATATATGTTAAATGAATTCGAACAATATGATATCTATCGTGTATGTAATCTTACTTTTTCTTTTCTCTTAATTTTAATTTTTTTTTCTTATTTATTAATTGATAGGTAGCTAAAAGTGAATATGATATGTGTAGTATAGATCAATTGAATACAGATCCAATGACTCGTGCTTTGATCACATGCAACAGTCCGTATGATGTGATGAAATATACACTTAATTTTCGTTCATATTTACCAATACCGAATGGATTGGAATTTCATTCGAATCAAACGTATTATTTCTTGTCAACATCATTATCTCAGCAACCATGCTATAAATTGAAAATAATTGTACATGACTATCGTAAGTAAAGTATTGATTTTCAACTAGACGATGAAATATAATGTCAGTGTTGCACTTCATTGCATTAAGAAGTGATATGCTTGTGCAATGCAATCGACATTTCGTATTTAAAGATAATAAATTTTACATTGAACTATATTTATTTTGAACAAGATTTAGCCGATGCATTAGTTCATCCATTGAATTTGATTTTAATTCAACATATCTATTCTCCTTTTATGATGACTTTATAGATCACTGAGATAGTAATGACTTTCTTTTGTTATTTAATTTCACTATGCGTATGTTCTAGGTATGATTATTATCCAAACTAAAATATTTCTCATTATTTTTACTAGTATTCAGCACTATCTTTACCGACCTTGTATGTGTGTAGATGTACCATTAGTATCTGTATTCAATTCACAATGTGAAATGATTGTCGATACTGATATACGCTTAATAATGAACCTGTTGTATGAACCAACTCGGTTCAAAATACAAATCTACATTATATTACTAGTGATAATTCTATATTAGTAAATTAGGCTGATATTCGAACTTTCTTGATTGTTTTACATCTTCGCACTATAGAACAATATAAGATTAGAAATAATCTAAATAAAAAATACATTATCTTTTTTAGAACGGATATTACCATCAACAAGTACAGCATCACCTAGTAATGAACAAGATCAAAATTTTCTAATATCTTCCTATTATTCTAATTCTCAACATGAATTACCGACTATAGATAAAAATACTAATTATAATGACAATCATCAATTGTTTTCGCATATTATGAAAGCTCAACGTCATAGTGATCCATATTCAATAAAATGGATTACAGACGGACCGCATCATCTAAGAAATTTCGGTACGTATATACTTTTCAAATAAAATTTCTATTAAAATCCCTTGTATTTTTTCATTTGATAGATAAATCTTATCGGACAACAGACTCAACATCTTCATCTAATACACTTAGTCTCGCTTTAAATTCATTATCATTAAAAATATCTCCACCGTATATTACTATACTTCTTATTGTTCTATTTTCTTTAATATAAGATAAAAATATTATGTTTTTATCTTATTACCGGTGTTCTGTATGTCTTTTTCTTTGTTGTTATTAAAAGACAATCGAAAGATGATGATTTATACAATAACAGCAAAACAATATGTGTTTCTGTTTCTTCGTTTTTGTTTTATTTTTTAAAGAGTGTTTCATCGTCAAAATAAACATAAAAAAATAAAACAATATCCAAATACGATTCTTTGGTAGAAATCATTATTTACACCCACCCTGAATATCTTTCAAATTTGTATATACAAATGATTATTCATAATATTAGAAATATTTGTCTTACGTTATTAATTGACTCAATAAAAAAAGATGATGAGGATATGTTTTAATTATAATATAGGAAGCACTTATGATATCACTATATATATTTATAAGTAAAATAGTCTTAGTACAAACAGAAAATGTTTTAAGAAGAGCTGAAGTTTCTTCGGAATGCTGAAAGTAAATATATCGTCCCACTTGTGGAAGGAGAAATTCAATTTTATTTAGTTATCATTGAAAACAGATACTGTTATTCACTGTTACTTGACTGTGATTGAATATCAGGACGAAGAACATAATCTGAAAGTTTTTGATATAATTAGACAAACAATTTTTATCACACATGCTTTGATTGGATTCAAACAGATACATCAGTATTGTTATGAGCTGAATATTACTGATACCTTTCTCGATACCATCATTCATCAGTGACAATATTAATATATCGATCATTATACTTAAAAGTAAGAAATTTAATAACAAAAGAAATATTGCACTAAATACTCACAAACCAAGCGTGCGAAGTAAATTGTTGTAAATTTCAGTGAGAAAAAAGAGTGAAAATTAATCTTTTCAGTCTACACATAAAAATCATGAATTTTAGATGTAAAAGTATACAGATAAATGTTAGGAAATGAGTCTATTAACTAGGGGTAGGACAGTTCATAGTTCCAAGTTCGGATGAACTGGTCAAAAGAACTACCAGTTCAGTTCTTCTGAAAGGAACTGAATTGAACCAACAGTTCTTTGAATAGAACTGAGCTCTACCAAACAGTTCTTTGAAAGGAACTGAACTGTATCAACAGTTCTTTCAGAAGAACTGGTCTGTTTCAACAGTTCTTTTAAAAGAACTGTTTTGTTTCAAATTTGTTTTTATTTCCAAAAAAATAGTTTTCACAACAGTTCTCTGAAAAGAACTGAACTGAAGTAACAGTTCTTTGAAAGGAACTGAACTTGTCGGTACAGTTCAGTTCTATTCAAAGAACTGTTGGTTCAGTTCAGTTCTATTCAAAAGAACTGTTAATACAGTTCCTAAGAACGGAACTAATATGGAACTGTCCTACCCCTAACTATTAACCAATAAAACTTATAGAGTCATTGGCAATATGTATTTTTCTTATAGCTATATATTTTGTTGGCAGTTGATATAGTATCAATCAAGAAAGCAGCTGCCAAACTAATGAATTTTGTTGAATATGACAATGAAAGTGGACGGATACTTTGTCAGAATAACACAATAGCATATATTCTTTAATTCTAATTTATGAATAAAAATATAATAAATACTAGTTTACGTTACAATTTCTTTCATCATTAATTAGTCTATAAAAACTCATCTTTTTTCGAAATTCCAGTATTAGTTTATGCACACTATTATAGTTTGAGGAGTGACAAGAAAAACTTGTTAAGCTTCTGTAATTGCGAATTAATTGTAAAGGTTTGTTGATGCTTATGTTACACATGCAATTTTCGGAGTTTGCATCACTTAACAAAGAACTGTATGAGTTGTTCGATACACGCTTTCTTGACCACTTCAGTTGTTTTGTTTGGTGTGCTTAGTTTTTTTGCATAGCTGACTTGTATAATGATGGTACTTAGAAAGATACATATTAAATATAATGTTAATGCGGTCATTTGGTAACTAAGTATATGACAAATATATCCTTCAGGTTTATGTCGTTGATACTTTAAGAGTATGATTAAATTAATTCAGATATCTTTGATTGTTTATGAGACTTCAGTCATTATTGTTGTTGCTTATTGCTTTTGAACCTTTACTTTTGCTAGTAATATAACATTGCCCAGTATTATTCTTGAAAAATTTTCTTGATAATGTATACATGTCTTGCCCATTGAAATTGCATTTTTAGAATTATTCAGTTATTTTCAGCTGATTGATCCCTAACGGTTTTGAGCCGATATGATTTGTTCTTATCAAGAAGTCATCATAATTAATTTTCTTATATTTCACATGCATATGTATGTAAACGGTTCAGTTGAAAGTATTTGGTTAAGAATAGATTTATGCGGGGAATCGGTAATGTTGATTATGTCCATATTATTTATTATTTATGAGTTGGTGCCATTTTTTTATAACTTCCGACTGATTCGTATCCAGAATAGTTTTGGAATACTTTTGTCATAACGTCTACCCGTAGCAACTTATTGGACTTCTTCAACAATTGTATTTCGGCATAGATTTAAATGTTTGTAACGCCTAACGATCTCATTATTGAGCTTTACACATGTAGATCGTTTTAATTTATTATTATAAGCATATCAAATGAACGATTCCAACATATTTTAGTGAATGTTTGTAATGAAATACCTAAGTCCATGTTATTTTATACATATTATTCTGTTGAGAAAATACCCATTTTTTAATGATCTTGCTTCTTGTTTCTTGTTTAGCGTTATTCAGTCAGAAGCGTCTTTACTTGGGAAAAAATTTATAGTATGTATATCCGAATATTATTTTACTATATAAATAGACACGTGTGAATTATTATATTTCTTTTCTTTTTCTTCTGTTGCATTTTTACAAACGTGTAAAGACTATCTATCTATCTATCTATATATATATTTGTGTTGATCAATTTGTAAACAAAAAGCTTATTGAAATTTTTCAAGGCGGTAAATAAAAAGATAGATTTATGTACTAGTGACTCATGTTTTAATCAAATAATTGCATTAGTTCGATTCAGTGGTTGATTATTTCTATATGCTGTACAATCTGACAGAATTGTTGTCAAGTACTTGTATACACTTCTTCAATCATTATACTTCTATTCAATTACATGACATGCATACATTATTCATCCAGATGTTTCAATTATTTTCGACAGGTTTTTAGTTTTCCTGTGTCACATAACTATTAGCTGATATTAATATGATAATATGTGTGGACAATTTTTTTTGTAACCAATGTCATTATGACCCTCACTAGGCTCAAAAGAATATTTTATCATCTATATATATATACCATTTCTGTTCTATGACCTATGATTATTGTGCTTTGAACTCGTTTATGATATTTAAAACGCAAAACTCGATATTTTTCATACTAATTCAGTCATTTATATATAAATTTTCGAGTAAACTTTTAAATCTTATATTTTCGAATAGTTATTTTTGAATGTATATTCGGATAATATAAATTGTTGTTGTTGTTGTTGTCGTAATATGCTTTCTAAATGTAAAATGTACCATGAAATCTAATATATACTGATGAATGAACAATAAAAATGCATGTTAATGGAAAAATAATCTATTTTGTATAGATGGTTGATAATTGGATGCACAACATAAAATTATTTTTAAGAAAAAATATTCATAAGATGTTCGAATTCTTTCTTTATTCATATCATTCTACATTTCAATAAGAGGTAAGATCAAGTTAGGTACATTCTGATAAACAGCACTAATGTTTGATACTAAATAAATCGAAATATAAGCGATATTTTCCATTGTTGCTCATAATTTTATTTCATATTTGTATGATTGTCAATAATAACAACTATATATTATTCTTACTCACTTGATCTTCACAATCGTTAGATAGACATTGTTTAAATTATTATTATATTTAGTATAATATGAGCTGTCAGACTCAGATAATATTTAAATTATCAATTATGAATAATCTTTGACGAGAAGGTAGTATATGTTAACGATATACAGACATGCATCTCGGTGCATTTAATACTTTATATCATTGTTATAAATTTTAATAATGTCATAATTACATTTTATTCAACATTATGAGTAATGACAGCAACAACAAAAAAATATATTTTTATTAACTAGAAAGCATTTTATATACATCAATAGATTCTTTTACTTTAAAATTGATTGCAATATTTTCTTTTACTACAATATGAGATTGTCATCGCTATTGATTAAAATTTGCAAAAGAATCTAAAAATCTTAGATTTCGAGATTGTTGAATTCAAATTGGTAAAATCTTGAAGATGAACGGATCTGACGTCAGTATTATCATTAAGTGAAATCATATGTAACTATGTCATAAGTACTTGTAGATAGTTAACAGAACAGTTGAATAAAATATGAATATTGCAGGTATGTTTGCTTTAAAAAAACATAGGTTGAATATATTTATATTTGCTTATCATCATTTCTTCTTCCACTAAGAAAATTGTATTAAAACCCAACTTCTTTCATTTTAAACAGTCGTAAGCTCTTATTATTTCTTTAACTATGACATCTTTAGAAATTCTCATCGGAGAACATCTGGTATTGTAATAACCGATGATATAGAGTCACTGATAGTTAAAGGCTAAGAAGAAATAAAAGCCCTAGAGAAAAAAAAACCATTGATTAATGATCAGTGTTATAAATTAACAGTGTCAGTTCGATTCATAACCTTTGTGTTACATTCTGAGTGCATCAATCATATATGTGACAATAGCAGATGATATTCTACTGAAAACAATATATATATATATATATTACTTCAAACATAAACATCATCAATAATATATTCAGTTACAGATCGAGTCAATGCTGATTCTATGAAAGTATGTACCAGAACGAAAGTCCTTTAAATTTAACAGAGTGCATCAATATGAGTTCAGATAGTATTTCCTATTGACTTCTCAAAACTATTCATATTCTACCAATCATACAAATAAGATATCATAGTAGTTTAATGTAAAGAAAAAGAATCAAAGTTTGTTTGAAAAAACCAACAATGACATTTTTCGTATTCTTCATTTATAAAAAAAAATGTCTTGATGGAACGAGAAAAAATTACATCTCAATAATGTTCATGTTGTCATGTTATTTTCCTATTATCTATTTCATCGTCTTGTTTTATATGAGCAATGAGTATAACATAAATAGACTGTATATAATTAACTTACATAGTTAACTATTAAATTTTTATAAATACATCATTCGTCATCATAATAAATATTATCCTTTGTTAGATATGATGAAAAGTATTTTCTTGTTTATATAATTGACTAGTTTCTGCATGATGAAATCAAAACTTTTTTTTTGAAAACTAACACAATTACCTCGTTATAATTCCATTTCTGATTTACTTATTTTGTTAAATTCAGATGTACTTCTACAACTCTTGAGACAAAATGTTCTCATTCATACTATGTAAGTATTTTTCTAGGATTGTCATTAAGATGAAACATTTGAATAGAACATGTCAAAATTATGACAATAGGATTTTTATTTTTTTGAAAAGATAAGCAATTTATTCGTGACTGCTTACATTTGTGACATGTGACGTGAAGAGACTTTGATAAATTAAATTTTATATACAAACTAAATCATGTTCATTGACAAACGCAATCATTTTGACTTATTTACTTCTATTTATAATTATCTACATTGATTACTCATATATACAATCGATTTTTTCTCGCCTGCTGATATAAAAGATTTATATTTTGTGATTTTGAAAGAATTAGAGAAAGTATTTCTTTCCGTAATGAGGTTGATTCGATATAATGATACTTTGTTTTTTAGTTTTTTTTCTTATATTCAAGGCTACTTCGACTGTGTTCTAGAGTGCTTTCTAATAATAGTATGTAAATTGATCAGGTTTAGCAAGAAGCTTGTCGAACATTAGTTGTATTTAGATGACAAAAGCCGCCTGGCTCTCTCTCTTATCGTATTTTCCTGTTTTTTCTCTTCGCCTTTTTTTCTTTTCTTAAAATGCTTTTATTTCTTTTCTATAACCTTGAGATGTTCGACTGCTGTTAATACTATTATTACTTCTTTTTATTCTTAGTTGAATGAGTTTCACTGTATAATTCTGATCCTTCAAGGTATGCATCTTTTATTGACAATAATATATACGTGAATCATCATAAGGAAGGATAGAACAAGTTTTCTTTTTCTATTCTTAGATAAAGTATAGGCGATAGTTTCAGGATAGATATGATTTGCGTATGTTATCACGGTCAATGAAAAGTAAGAGTCAGCAATAATACGTAGACTTATAATAGATTCTATAGTACAAAATCAAAGGGCATTAAAAGACTTAAAATAGTAATTAACTGGCGGCTATATTACGAAAGAGCATACAGATGTTATTTAATAGAAGACATTCTCATATATATATATATATATACTCCCATTTAATGCAGCGACAAGCCTTGACCTAAAACATAATAGCTAGTTCAATTAGCAGATTCGTTTGATGTACAAATTATCTTATATTAAAATTCTCTAAGGAGTGTTTTTATTGTTCATATATATATGATTAGTATTTATCAAAAAAAAATAAAAAAATTTCAAAATAAATTTAATTGATATTAATCTAAATTAAATTTATACAAAATGTATGAATTTTGATCACGTAAATCTTATTATCTAAAGATAAGGTTGAGAAACAGGTAATTATTGTAATTGAGTGTGAATTAGAAGATTTAGATAAAGATAAGAGTATCGATTAGTACAACAAAGTAGGCAATACATGTCGAATGATAAAACAAGACAGATTGATTGATAGCATGTGTCTTATACATCTATTCTCTGCTTAATAAATTTTTCCGATCAAATTCCTATCAAAATATCGAAGTGTATAACTGGCACTCAATAATAACTATACTATTTCTTAATAAATAAAAAAAAAGTCATGTAGTTTTCGAATATATATATATATATTAGATATTAGATATTAGATTTATAAAAAAATAAGTACAGCATATGTTACGATTTATTTTGACGTCATCATCTTGTTATTATTGTTTTTGTTCGTCAAAATGACACATAAAATAAAGCGTATATCTCCTTATAGTTGTTTGTTCGGCCATGAGCAGTCAAGAAACTGTTATAAACATTCTAACCATTTACAGACGACAAAGACAAATAGCATGCTTAGTGGAAAAAATAACCTTGTATTTAACACTACACAAAGTGACATATAATATTTCCTATCATTTATGAAACAAACATGTTGATCGAAATTATCATCATTATTTTCTCACTTTTCAATTGATATCTTTTTTATTTCATAATTAAGCACACTTCTTGTCATCTTAATATCTGAAGTTGAGTAATTCAAGATGAATATAATACAATACAATAGACTTGTTAGATGTTTTATTCGTGGTCATTTTTTTTTCTCTCTCTCTTTCTCTCTTATTGTAATAGGTACATTCATACTTTCATTTTCATATAAATCTATGAAAGAAACTATATATCTATTTCTTTTATTCTCACTATAGAATACTTGAAAGGTAAGTAGTACATAAAATTACTAGACGATAGATAGAATGTTACAAAATATTGGTAGATGTTACAATCATCATCATCATTGATTATATATCTGGCGGAAGTAGACAAGAATATTAAGAGGAAGAAAAAAATATAGAGGAACATCATGAAGAAGTAGTCCTTGTTTCATAAGCAATGATTGAGATAGTATTACTCTGATATTTCCCTTGTTCTTCTTATTCATCCATCCATTTACCATTAACACGCAAGCTGATAAGAATTGTATATATGATGCATGAGGTAAGGCAATTGATCTTTTTTAGTATTTCTATATTTCATTCAAATAGACAATCGGGAAAGTAGATTAATTAGATGTTATATAAAAAGAAAAATATCTTCAAAGCTATGAACATTTGATTGATTCAATTTTTATAACATTTTGACATCGATCAGTTATTTTACTTAATAATGAACGACCATATGAAGTTAGACAGTTGTTTATAAAAACTTCTGTACATACAAATAAATTATTAAAACTCGGTCTCTTAGATTCATAGAAAGCTAAGAATTGTACTTAACTTAGTTCATTCTATGAGTGGGCTAAAAAGAGATGATATTATTATATTTTCTTTCTAGTAGAATGACATCGGCATTTATTGTTTTGTAAAAATGTACGACGTAGAACATTGGGTCAAGCGAGTCCACATGTATCGATTGCCTATCGATATCATCACAGAAGTATGTAATTATAGGAATAAATGAGAGGATATATACATCAACAAATAGATAGAATGCTAATTTCTTCCAGTAATTTTTTATGTATTCATATGAATGAATGAATCGTTCTATTTTAGATTAAAATAATATCTATCAAAAAGTTCTTAAGCTTAATCTATACGATGAATGTATGCACAATTTATTATTCAAAACGAAAAGAATATATACTCGAGATCAATAAAGAAATTGTGCTTGAAGAAAAGAAAGGACCTTCACAATATCCGGTAGTATTTCTTTTCCGTAGGTGTTAGTTCTTAGAACTATTTCGTAGTCTTTATTTTGCTACTTTTTTTATATTAACCTTGTCAATGTTACTTTTATCTCATCGTCTGTGATAATACTTCCCTCAAAGCATAATGTATTCAGGTCAATAAGATAGATATTTATGTGTGTAAGTTTTCTGCATAAAAACGGAATGATGTGTACTTATTTGATGAATTAGTAATAGCCATTGAGTATGTTTATCTTATCATAAATCATATTGTTCATTGTTATATACATTTGTTTCGATCATAAATTACCAACGAGCAAAAAAGAAAATATACAAACAAAGAAATTATCAATACTCAATTCTTTAGACATCAGACAACTGGAAAATAGAGTAGTTTTCCTTCTTCTTCTTCTTCTTCTACAAATGAACATTCTTGTTATCTGATGTTATATAATAATTTAATTGCATAAAATCCTTGTAGATATCATCAACATACTTATTCAACTTTTTTGCTTCAGTTTATTTAATCTCAGTCGTCTGTCGATGGTATCCAATATAATTAACGTTTCCTTCTTTATCTCATTTTTACTTATTAATCCGATGATATAAATAATAAAAAAATTAATGAATTATTAAATTATTAAAATACTAATTATTATTATCATGAACAATATTATTTTACGAAACATATTTGTATTTACTAGTGCTGCAATATTTTTAGGAACTATTATACTTAATCTATTGGCTATTGTTTATATTCGTTCAAGACGAGATAGAACATCAATTGCTATTCTTGTCGTTAATTTAGCTATTGCTGATATAATTCACGCTAGTATGTATAATAATAAATAAATTTAACTATTAGACAAAAATTTTCTTTGTTTTTTTTAGTGGGAATTATTTTCTTTAGTAGTAATTTATTTACACCTAGTTGGGTATTTGGAGAATTTGGTTGTAAATTTAGTTTATCTATTGATGTACTTTGTACTGTGGTAAGTTGAGAATCTATTTTTGTCTGTATATAGTTTAATGTTTTTTCTTTCTATTCATAATTTATTTCTTTTATCAATTTTCAAAAGAGAGAAATACTTTCATTTAAAAATATCAGATATTTTCGTAATCATTAATTATTGAACTTTAGTTATAAATTACAGATCAAAATGTTTAGATTTAATTCTATAGTGTAAGTATAAAATTCCGGTACTTTGGGATCTGGATAAAGAATAATGAGATGTCTGGATTTTTTCCTTAATATTCATATGTTTTTTTGAAGAAAAAAATACAAAAACTTTTCAAGTATAGGTACATATATGAATAGCCCTGAACTGAAAAACTAGTTGTTGTGTTATTATAGAGAAATTATAAGGTTGAAGTAATAATTATATATGTGTTATGAGAAAATAGAACAATATAATTGCCAAGTGTTTATTAATACTTGAATATTACTTATTGTTTATAAATATATACAAAAAAACATGACAGTGAAAAACAACTAATCAAGGTCGAACGTATTATTATAAACATAATAATAACAATACTAAATGAGTAAATGAATATCTTCTAAAATGAATTAGGCATAAACTTTCTACAATAACAATTTCCATTTTCATATATAAGTAAAAGATTCTTATAATTATTATATTATATATATCTTTCTAAAGTCTTCAATTATACATTTTGTAAATAAATACAATATTTTATCTCGTCTTTCATTGCATAGATTTTCATAATCGATAATGTCTTATCATAAATACACAGTAATTTATATTCTGTTAATAGAATGCTTTTGTATAAAAAAAGAAAAGACTATTACTCAAACTAAGAGCACTTATAAAAAATGAAATAATGTTCCGGTTTCTGTTCTTTAAAATTTCCTGTATATCATACTTCATGTTGTGTTGTTGAGAATTACAATAAAGTAATTTGAATACTCTCAATTACTATCATTCATATATATATATAATTGAATATTACATTTAATATCTAGGTAATTGTCTACACAGTAGCTGCATTAAGTGTTGAACGATATATAGATGCTCGATCTAAATTAACAGCAAAATTTCGTTTAATTATAACGTTTATATCATTAATTATTATTTGGACAGTTGGTTTACTTTTACCATATCCATTTATATTTTATACATTTCTTTATGATCAAACAAGAACTGTAAATACAAATATAACAACAACAACAACATCAATATTAACATGTCGTTCAGTTTTATCTGAACGTGCATTACTTATCTATGAAATAGTTTTATATGTAATGGCTTTTATTATACCTTATTCAATAATTGTTTTATTTTCATTAAAATTACTTCGATTTTTACGTCAATGGTTAAATCGTAAACAAAAATTAACACGTTTAAATGTTGTTAAAAGACGAACACGTGGTGTTAAACTTGTTCTATGTATTGTTTTATCATTTTTGATATGTTATACACCATTTTGGATATTTAAATTTTATACAAGTTTTCTTGTGGATGAAACTATACGACGTCGACCATTATTAAGACGTTTTCTTACATATGCACATCAACTTGTTGTTTTACTTAGTCATATTGAAGGCATACTTAATCCATTATTTTTTATTGTTTTAACAGAACATTTTTGTCGAACATTTTCAAAACATCGAAGAAAAACTTTGGATTTTTTTGGTACAAAATCATCATTAATCTCACGAAATGGTGAACGTAAATCATCAATTATAAATAGAAAAAATTCAATACGAAAAATAGTAACAACTGCTGGAAATACAGAAATAAATGGTCTTTTATCATCACATCCAACTCTTTGTGATGATATTGATAAGATAACTGTTGCTGTTCTATCTCATTGATTGTAAAATTATTTATAAACGAAATAAAAAGAATAAATATATATATCTATATATTGTAATAAATGTAAATCATACGTTATTATTGAAATGAGAAAAACTAGTAAAAGCGAATGTTTGTACAATTCAAACGGACAGTGAGAACATGAGAAATTCAATAAAGTCGCTTCGAAATACATCAATATTACTAGTCAGTCTATATAGTAGATTTCATACGTATATTGACAATAAATAGAAATCGTCTGAATTCTTCTGACTGAGAAAGAACCTTGACGAGTTTACTAATTTGAAATAATACAGAATTCTATAGTACAAACTATAGACAAATTTTCCTGCTGATTATGAAAAAGATTTGTTACATACAAAACTAATATTATGGTTAGAAATATCATATGACAAAATTGAATAAGATTGTCGCGTTAATATTTTTTTATTATATACAATATGCTTTTATATGTATGGAGAATATTTCATCCAAAAACTATATGAAGATGATGTAATAGTTGAGTATCCTAATCAATGAGTCTATTCTAAATGTTTGCTATTCAAAATGAAGGCAGCAGATAGTATTCTAACTATTTATGATGTTAAATAATTTCCTAGTTTGAATAAGAGAAGGTAAAACTTTTTAAAACTGCTCAAAATTCTTTCAAGTCTCTCAGTTTCATATTTACAATAGTGTGACATACTAAACTCAATCTATGTTGCCGTTCATTTTTTTTTCGAGATATATAAATAAATACTTTGTATCAATGTATAATCCAAGTATAATAAAATAAACAAAGCAAGTAGTATATGATTAATAAATTAAAAGTATGAGTTTGTCAAATACATAAAATATATAGTAAAGAACTTTATTCAATTTCTAATATGATTGATTATCTTTATTTTTGGATGTACTAAGCTAATTTTAGATGTCTCATTATACATTAGGCTAGACGATTCATATATCTTGATAGAAGATTGATATCTGCACTTATGGCAATGTCACAATTGTCTACAAGACTTTCGAATGTTTGGAAAAGAAATAAACCTCTTTAATCATACTCCTGGTACATTCTCGATAAAAATAGCAGTATAATTATATTCTTTATCATCTACATAAAGTATATTAATATCTACTGGCTAAATGTTTTTTTTGACCAATAATCAAACTGCGGAATATTTCACCATGGTATCTCTATGTGGAGCGCAGTTAAATTTATTACATTGTATCAAAGCATACGAAATCATCGAAGCGTATTAAGAGTAATGTGCTTATTGCAAAAAAAAAATATCGTTGTATGCATCTGTAGTCAAGTATAACACATTATTGTGATCATCCTTTTATTTTGTAAAATCAAATATACAGGCGTACTTTGCTCCTATTCTGTTCTAATAAAGAATACATTTTGTTACTATAAACAATGATTTAGAATCATCGAGAATATCATAGCAAGAAGGTATTTTGTTTTTTTCTTTCTACTCTCTGATCTAACAAAATATAAAACTAATACGGAAATCTAATTTCGATAAATTATGTTTTTTTCTTTAATATTAATACAAACGTGTTTTGTTTTATACGATTAGATAAACTTATTATTATTTAACATGGGTGCTACGCATGGAAAAGATCGGCCTTTTAAGTTTCTAGATAGCCATAGTTTATCATCTAAATGTAGTAACAATCAAAGTACAAATGATGATGAAACAGCCGATCGTGCATTTATCGTTGTTTGGTGTGATGCAACAATTGGTGCGAGTTCCAATGATGATGTAAATACTTTAATACAACTTGCACGTATTGTAAATAGAAAACGACAACTTATTCATACATTTAGTGAAATAAATGCCTGTAAAGATTTTATAACACATGCTAATAATATATGTCTTATTGTATCTGGTCAAATGGGTACAGATCTTATACCATTAGTTCATAATCTTAAACAAATTCATTCAATATATATATTCTGTTTTAATAAAGCAAAATATGATCCATTAGTAAAACAATATGAAAAAGTTCGTGGATCATATACAGAAATCAGTGAAATATGTGATTATTTAAAAAAATATTTTATTTCACAATCAACAACATCTGATTATGAACAATTACAATTAGATGTTTTAAAATCTAATTTAACATTACCAACAGTTGATCAACAAGAAGTTGTATTTCTTTATCCAATATTAAGTAAAATGATTTTATGTAATATGAATTTAATTAAAAAAGATGATATGATAAATTATTGTCGAACAGAATATACAAGTGATTATCAAAAACAATTAATAGATGAATTTGAAAAGACATATTCACAACATGATCCAATATGGTGGTTTACACGTGATAATTTCTTTCAAAAAATTATTAATCGAGCATTACAAATACATGATTATTTTACATTATGTATGATGAGTCCATTCATACAAGATCTTATTAAACAACTTGCACAATTACATGGACAACAAATAAATCCATCAATGAAAAACTTTGATCTTCATTCATGTCAATCAATATCAACAGAAGATTTTGAAAAAATTAAATTTAATCAAGGTGGATATATGTGTATAAATCAATTTTTATTTGCAAATTCTGAACAAGCTATACCAATGTTGTTTCTTCAACATCAAACAACTTCATCAATAAATACAAAAAATCTTGATATACTTTTTCGAATCTCCATATCCGAAACAAATCAGGCAAATGTTTCATATGCTAATATTGGTGTTAAATGTCAATTTGTTCATGAAAAAGAATATCTATTATCAATGTCAAGTATATTTCGTATAGAAAAAGTTGAACCACTTGTAGAAATTCCATCAGCATGGTTTGTTCATTTAATATTAGTTGATAAAAATGATGCTGAAATAACTAAACTTACAAAATCTATTAATATAGATCAATTAGTAGAAAAAAATAATTTATCGGAATTAGGCTCAACTGTAACTAATAAATTATATCAATTTAAATCAACAAGAAAATTATTTGAACAAGTATTAAATTTTAAAACAAAACAAGTTCGATCAAGTCTTTTACATTATAATATGGGTGTTATATATGATTGTTTAAGTGAATATGAAAAAGCAGTAAACTCATATAAATATGCAATAGATTTAACTCGACAAAATCTAGTTAATGGTTTTCAAAAAGATGATTTATGTCTTGTACCATTATATTCAAATATGGGATTAAGTTATCAACGATTAAATAGATTTACGCATGCATTTGATCATGCATTTCGTGCATTAAATATACTATCAAAAGATCAAGACAGTTCATTCTTCAAAAAAGAATTATTTGCTTCAACTTATTTTAATCTTGGTTTAATACATGATTTAGAAAAAAAATCTTCCGAAGCAAAAACTTATTATGATCAAGCATTAAAAAGTCGATGTGAATATCTATCAAAAGATCATCCAGATGTAATTAGTTTACAAAATACTCTTCAATCATTAGCTTCACAATAAGACAATATTATACATTAAATCAAACTGTATATGTTTTTTTTCTTTAGTAGATAAAAGTTTAGAAGAAAAAAATACAATTTAATTGTTTGTCCTTTTCTTAAAAAAAAACAGTAAAAACCGTCTGAAAATTTTCTCAAAGGTTAATCTTCATGTTTGAATAGTTAATCAATCTAACTTTGTCAAAATAGGATTGTATTTGTATAGTAAGTTTTAGATAAACGCAATTGATGATTGACAACGTGCAAAATATTGTAAAGATAAAATACGAGGTTTTGCACTAATGAAAAGGACATCTACATTTAGATAAATTGTAATGTTTATAAGTAGTCGAAATTCGTAACGAATGATAAATAAAATTTGTTTTCTTATCTTATAATTTACAATCAAAGTAACCTTATTTTGGGGATGTCGTTTACTAATCATCTATCGGATATTAGTAGTCTTCGTAATAAATACTTTTCTGTACGTCATGGTGAATCTGAAGCAAATGTAGCTCAGATTATTAGTAGTAATCCACAAGTAGGCACTGAAATTCATGGACTTTCATCAAATGGTCGATCTCAAGTCGCTGAAAATACGAAATTATTTCTTCAAAATTATCCATCAAATAATTCCTATGTAATTATTTCAAGTGATTTTCGTCGTGCACGCGAAACAGCTGATAATCTTGCTTCAAATCTAACAGATTCTCACGGGAATAAACCATCTATTCAATTAGATAAACGTCTGCGTGAACGTTTCTTTGGTATATATGATGGTACAAGTGATAAAAGTTATGATATAATATGGAAAACTGATGAAGAAAATCCAATAAAAAATCTTAATGAACAAGTAGAACCAGTTGATAGTGTTCGAGAACGTACAACAGCATTAATTAAAGAACTTGAAGATAAATATGAAAATCAAATTATTTTTCTTGTTAGTCATGGTGATGCATTACAAATCTTACAAACGGCTTTTGAACGAATACCAAATGCAAATCAACAACGATATTTAAAACATTTAGAAAGAGCAGAATTTCGTCCCTTGTTACTTAAATAAATTTTATTCTATAATAAAAATAATGATTGATTTAAGAAAGAAACAAAAGTTGTCATTAGTGACATGCAAGTAATTCTTTTTATTTCTCAATAAAGCATTCATATTACCATAATAGCTAATTTTTATTGAGGGTGGGTGTACTCAAAAAATAGCAATCAGTAATGTTTTCCAGATATCATTTTTGTATAAAACTAGATTTACCCTTATTTGTTCATTTCTGTTTATCTAAGATCGTAGAACAGAAGAAATAAGGAGAAATGGAAAATATCATTTATAAATGAATCACACCATAATAAGCATATTAGAATTTCGTAATAAACAGTGTTAGTTAATTAAAGCACTATTCATTTGATCAGAAAATAAAATCATCCATTTTTTACTTTCATTTTCATATGAAACAGAGTATGAACTAACTAATCACACATTGTTGTGTTATCAAATCGATTCTATTTCACTGTTGTTGGCTTCAAATAGAAAAAATTCAACTAATTACTCTATTAATTGTTATATATTAAATTTTTTTTAGTAAAATATTCCAAGAAAAAATTTTCGTTTCATCAAATAATTTTCCTATAAACATTACGTAGCATAACAAGGACAACAAAGTTAAGAAGTATGACATTAGTCTTCGGAGACAGTACTGAACGTACGTAGATTTTATAATTGCTACTAGTCACGATTCAACATAGCTGGATTGCTTGCAAAATATTACCAAGAAAAAAAAAAGTCGGATGCCATTCTATTATCAACTAACAGATCTGATAGACTTCTTTTGTTCGTCTATGACCTAGAGGAATTTGTAAAGTCAATCATTTTTTTCTATATTTATTAACTAATTGTTAGATAATTCTTGTGTCAAAAGCACACTGTCTGGATCAACGCAACTGAATATCTATTTTTTGAAGTGTAAAAAATATTTTATTTGCTGACGCTTCGCTGATTTTCAATTACTTATTCTATATATATAGTATTAAAAACAAGTGAAATATCCAAGTTTATGATGCAATCGAAGCTTTTTTTTTAAGTAAAATCAAAGAATTTATTCTTTTCTTGTTTTGTTGTCTTTATTTATTATCAAAGTGTTCATATGATTATAGTTCTTTTTATTTATATGAAGAAAAATCGAATAAATTAATTTAACCGAATCTTAAAAATTCTCCTTTTCTACCAAAGCGAAGAAAATTGCTCGATGCTGCTTGTTGAGGTTCTCGACCAAAACGAAGAAAGTTGCTTGAAGCTGGTTGTTGAGCTTCTCGGCCAAAACGAAGGAAATTGTTAGAAGCTGGTTGTTGAGCTTCTCGACCAAAACGAAGAAAATTGCTTGATGCTAATTGTGGATTTTCTCGTCCAAAACGAAGGAAATTGTTAGAAGCTGGTTGTTGAGCTTCTCGACCAAAACGAAGAAAATTGCTTGATGCTAATTGTGGGTTTTCTCGTCCAAAACGAAGAAATGCTCCTGCATTTGGACCATTACGACCAAATCGAAGAAATTGTGGTTGTGAACGACCAAAACGAAGAAAAGCTGATGATGTTGATGGAGCTTGACGACCGAATCTTAAAAATTCTGCTGCTCGAGGAACATTAACATATTCTTCATCACTATCAAAATTATCATTTAAAATTTCTTCATTATCTAATATTGCTGCAGGTTGAATTAAAGTATTCGATGGAGAACTATGACTTGCATCGCTTGTATCTGAATACAAAAAGAAAAAATTTAATTAAAAGAACATCAACAGGAATAAAAAAAAAAGCTAATACATACCACTTATGACTGATGATATTAGTTGAATACAAATAAGGGAAGATAAAATGGTGAATAGATACATGCTTGATGAAAACGTATCTGAATATATTAAAAAATAAAATGTTATGAATTATGAAGCTTTTATTTCACTATTTATAATGTCAAAAGCAAACGACAATTTTTATCATGATAATTATTGCACGTCATATGAACCTTATCAGATCGTTGAACTAGTTCTACTAATCTATAAAACAGACCTTTACGCAGGCGGAAAACAATAAAAAAAAAGAAAAGAAAAAGTCAATTAATAAATCGTAAGCATAAGAAAGTCATAATTATCATCGTCAAGGCGTTTTTCCATTTCCGGACTACACCTGTATCGTGATCAGAGATTGTCTAGTTAGTAATTTAACTAATGTCCTTTTCTTTTTAGATATTTTAAAAGGGGCAATATGTGATGATTGAATTATATGTTTAGCCTACGTATATTTTGAAAAAATAAAATATTTAGGCGTGATTATATAGCAATTGAAATGCTTTTTATATAAGAAAATGTATTTTTAATTTCTCCCTAAATTACATTTAACTATCCGGTAACAAATATTTCTTTCAATTTTTTTTTGGATAAATTATCTACTTCAATCGACGTACACATAGATGAATAACATCAGACAAACAAAAATTTAATATTCAGTTTTACAATACACATTCGTTATCAAACATCTTTAAGAAAAAAAGACAACATAAATCTCAATAGAAAATAATTTTTATATTAACTTGCATATATTTTATTTAAAATGTATTTAAATGAATTCTAATAAAAAAAAGTTTGTAATTGAATATCCATAGAAATATCGGCAAAGGCTTTCTACAGCATCATTCAATGATTTCTCATATTTTTAAATGATATTTGACGATTCGAAATTTATTGCATGCATTTCGATCCATATCAACAGAATATCGATCTTTGGTAACAAAACGCAGAAATAATCGAACTCATCTTTTGATAATCCTCATACTAACAAAAGTATATTGTATCTCATAATTCAGTAAATAAGGAGATTGTGTTCATTTGAGATAGTAGGAAAAGAGTTGAAATTAAATTAAATTAGGAAATATAGTTAAAAAACATTCTTTTAACTATTTGAAATATATAATAAATTAATTTTTCTAAATATTTATTAATTATTTTCTATTTAGTTTATTGAAGATCGTAAAAGGAAATGATATATAAGTGAAATCATGAATTGCACACAAATGGAATTAATTCTTGTACACATTTTTATTTCTATTCAACAAAGAAAGTATTAAAAAAATATTATGGCTATTTAGCTTAATGTAAAATAGTTCAGAATGGATATAGATGATTGTTTCATCAAAGCGTCTGTCAAATAATCAAGACAATTCGTAATAAATATAATGTAACAATACATAGAAAGATAGTAAATATATAGACAATATTTAAATTTTAAAACAGAGCTTTAGATGCTATAGTCATGATAGATTGCAGTATTACAAGAACAATTGGTCGAAATCGTATTAAAAAAAGTGCTACAGTGAAAATTGTCAAATTATACCTCATTATGCAAGATTATAATCGAATTTTTGTGCAACAAAATCAGGATTATAACCGGTTGAAATCCTTCAAATCAACAATAATTCGATTCTTAATAAAAATAAACTTCTAAATCAAATACGATTTTGATTAAAATTATACAAACTTGATTTACTTTATTTTTAGTCAGAACAACATGATCTTAATCGAAATAATATTTGATTTAGAAGTTTATATTTAGATTAAAAATCGAATTATTATTGATTTGAAGGATTTCAACCGGTTATAATTCTGATTTTGTTGCACAAAAACTCGATCATAATCTTATATAAGGCGGTATAATTTGACAATTTTTCACTGAGTATTTGCTTATTGACGAGTGAGTTATTTTTTGTTATCTCTCAACTGTAAGTAATCATTTTCAAGGAAAAACGAATTATATCTCGTTATCATCGATTGAATCACAACCTTTGGACTCAAATATAAAATTATGTAATTGAAAAAACAATAGAATCTAGTTATGAAAAGGAGAAAATGAATCATTATGCTTTGTTTTTGTTGTTTTTAATAGTAGTATTAATCGATAAAAACAAGAAGTATGTAGGAAGCTAGTTGATCGATTGTAATTCAACAAATGACTGTTTCAGTTAAATATTGTCAAAAAACATAAACATATTGTTTGTTATTTGAATATTTACTGCATTCCTAACCATTATCTAGTTATATGATAAATAAGACGAATTGACGTGATTTATGTCAATATGCCTTTTGATTTCTTCACAATAAAAAATAATGACAACTGTCTATTTAAATTAAAAGTAAAATCTAGAATATGTCAGCAGCAGTGTTAGCAACCATTATACAAACAGTTTCTACATATACTATGACCCGAACTTAGATCAAATCAAAATTTGTATACCTTGCCATTATAAATACGTAATTTTGTACACTAATGTATAAACACGCCTTTTTCTGTGAATCGTTAATTATTCATTCACCACTAAATATAAATATCTCTCTATAATAGTACATGAGGTAAAAACAAGTTATTATATGATTTTATCTAATATAAAATATTAAAAATCACTTAGTCTAAATATAAATTCCGTCTTTACATGTGCTAGCTGTTGATTCGCTTGATTTTATGTAATACGTATTATACTTGTTAAAAATGCAAAAACGTAAATATGTACATGTGAGGTAAAAAATGATAAATAACGCATGTGCCTATTATGGGTATCTTACAGGTGATCAACATTCATCGCATTTTCTTTGTTTTCTATATAGTCTTTGATGCGTCGCCAATCGTTTTACTTAACTACCTGTTCTATTAGCGAACGACAGAGCCTATGATGAGTGTACATATACAACGTTAGCATGTGAATACGCACACTTCATCCATATCATATGACGAACATTATTTAAAAAAATAATCGTTTTATTTTTTTAGAAGCATTTTTTCATCGATGGCAAAGGTAACGCTTTTCGAAGATCCACACGCCTCGGCTTTGGCAACGTTTTTGATGCAAGTTTTTATAACATTGGTTGTATGTAAAGTTCTTGCTAAAATACTTTCATATATTCGACAACCGCAAGTAATTGGTCAAATTATTGCTGGTATTATTTTTGGTCCTTCGATTCTTGGTTTGAAAAAGAAAAAATCTTCTTTTGTTTTAAATAAAAATTTATTTGTATTTCTATTTTATAAAGGTCAGCTTAGCGGATGGACGGAAGCAATCTGGCCAGCAGCAAGTCTTCCAATATTTCAACTTGTTGCTAATTTAGGTTTGATATTTTTTATGTTTTACTTGGGACTTGAACTTGATTTACAACAAATTAAAAAAAGTTGGAAAACAACAATACCAATTGTCTCCGCGAGTATTATATTCCCTGGTAAAGACTTTTCTTAATATAAGAAAGAAAAAATATATTGACAAATATATATTTATTCTTAGTGGGAATTGGTTGTGCAGTAGCATTATGGTTCTGGGATATGAATACTGGTATTCATACAAGTAAAATAGCCTTTATTTTATTTGTTGGTAAGTGTAGAAATAAATAATAAATAAATAAATAAAATATTTATTACATCTAGCTTCTGGTTTTGGTTTTTCTGCTTTTCCTGTTCTTGCTACATTACTTAATGCAATGGGTTTATTGAATAAACCAATTGGTGTTCAAACAATTTCACTAGCTGCTGTAGAAGATATTGCTGTTTGGGTAGTCTTAGCTATTGCTAGTGCATTTTCATCTGGAGGTTCAGCACTTCAAGGTCTTTATACATTGTTACTTACATTAGGATTTCTTCTTATTATGTTTCTTATTGTTCGACCGATTCTTAAGTGGATCCATAAATATTATCTAAAACGTGGTGATGATACAAATGTTTATTTAGTAGTTATATGTTTTTTATTACTTGTTGTTTGTGCATTTACTACTGAAGTGATGAGTAAGTGACAGAAAATTAATCTTGATTTCATATCAGAATGAAAATTTTCTGATTTTTTTATAGCTGTTCATGCATTTTTTGGCGCTTTCATCAGCGGTTTGTGTATTCCACGCGACGGAGAATTAGCAGAGTTTTTAGGTCTACGTATTCAACTTATTGTTGTTGAATTTTTTTTACCGTAAGTAAATTTAATTTAAATCTCTTTGTTTAACTGAAATAATTCATTGTTAATTTTTTTAGTCTTTACTTTGCTAATAGCGGTCTTAATACACATCTGAATTTGCTTACTACAGGAAAAGTATGGTGGACACTTGTTGTTCTTCTACTTCTTGCTTCAGCTGCTAAAATAATCCCTGTTACATTAATGTCGAAACTTTGTTTAAGAAAACCATGGAATTATTGTTTATCAATAGGTGTACTTATGAATACACGAGGTATTGTACAATTAGTTGTTTTAAATATCGGTGTTCAACTTGGAGTTTTATCACCAATTATTTTTGCATTATTCGTATTAATGGCGACGATTTTAACATTTATAACATCACCAGTATTGTATTTACTTTATCGAAAAGATTTCGATATAAAAAAATTATCGAATCCAAATTTAGTAGTTGAAGATCGGAATCTTATTAGACAAGAAAATATAAGTATGGATGAATTAAGTGATCCAATTCAAATAATTTCCGATGGTGATATCGGAGATGGTGACTCAAGACGCGGTTCATCGAAATTAAGTAGAGAATCATCAACGAATATACATCACTTTCATGGACTTGGGACAATAGAAGAAGGAATAAACTATTCTCAAATGGATCCAGATCCAAATATGCAACATACATCAGTTCTTAATCATATTGTACATATGCCTATAAATCCTAGACGATCGGCTCATATGATACATTTTTAGCTGCATATTTTTATAACAGAGTATATATAATTAAGTTATGTTTTCAAATTTTTTTTCATGTATAAATTAAAATGAAAACAATAAATATCTTTTTAAGATTTGATAAAGTCCAATTGTATCGATACTATCGATCTTTTTATTTGAATAGAAGTAGATATCTTTGTCATTGAAATCGGAGAGAATCATAATAGGAAGTCATTTTCTTCTATCGAAGTGAACTATAATATAATATTAATCAATAGATATAGTGATATTATAACTGATGCAGATGTATGTCATAGTAATATCGAAGTAAGCTAAAAATGCATCGATATCAATTGCTTAGAAAGTATCGATTGACAAATATTTTTATGTTAGACAGGTTGATGATTAAAACGAATAAAAATACTGTTTTCGAAATTTATAGAAAATATTTAACCGAAGAAATAAAGGAGCAATGGTTCTAAATTCCTGAAAACTTTTACTTTATTATTTCTCATCAATATTAGTAATAATTGAGCTAATAATATACTGAAAGCGTTTATATTTGTTTATTATTATTATTTCTATTCATATCAAATTCAATCGTCTCGCTTTTCTTATTGTAGATCTCTCTCTTTTGATTGCTTCAAAGGACCTAACCAATAAAAATACAGACAAAATTTATAGCGTATCACTTAGAAATATATGATGTTCTTTTGATTCATTCTTCCGAGATCGTTAATTACTATGACTAAAGCATTTTTCATACTATCTCTTCAACCCTAAAAATTCGGTTTTTTTACTATTTGCATTGTTACAAACTATATATAATTATATATTCATATTTTCGTTAAATTATGGATGATTTTCGATCAAAACAAAATCGAAATCAAGCCACTGAATCATCATCCAAAACAACAGCAGCTGCTGCTTCTTCTTCTTTTTCGTCTATTACTAATGATGAAAATCAATCTGGCAATGGATTGACTATTGAATATTTTCAAATACAATTAATTTTGGATTGTCTATTAAGAATAGAATATAATTCAAATGATCATGAAGAACTTATTGCTATGTGTTATGAACAATTCAACGATAACCGCAATGAATTACGTATGTTAAGTGAATTTAAAAATAAATATTCATCTAATCGAGCTCTATGGTGGTATCTTCAAGAATGTTTTCTATATAAAATATTAAATTATTCTCTTGAAAGTCAAGATATTCGTAATTTATTTTTATTTCGTGGGATACTTCATGATATTCAACAACAAATGCAACAACATAAATGTACAACACCACTTCATGTTTATCGAAGTCAATTGATACCAACTGAATTACTTGATAAATGGATAAGTTCAGTTGGACAATGTATTGTTATAAATTCATTTCTTTCAGCAACAACAAATAATGAAGTAGCTCTTACTTTTCTTAATAATGATCAATTATCAAAACAAAATTATGAACGTGTTTTACTTGAAATCGATGCTGATCCTCGAATACCGGACTCGAAACCATTCATTCAAATTAATTCACTTAATTATTCTAGTGATAAAGATGAAGTACTTTTTATGTATGGTTCAATTTTTTTAATTAATAATATTACTTGTGGAAATAATGGGTTCTATACAATTGAAATGACACTGTATAATGATAATGATCATGAATTTAAACAAATTTTTGATGATATGAAAATGAAATATAATGATAAACAAATGAATCTTTTAATATTCGCTCAAATATTATATGATTTAGATAGATTCGACGAAGCTGAAGAGTATGTTAATCTTTATCTTGAAAAATTACCTTCAAATCATGAAGATGTTATTCAATGTTATAATTTACTTGGTTTAATCTCTTTAATTCGAATAGATTTTAATACAAGTCTAATGTGGTATAATAAAGCACTTGAATTTCGAATACAAAAATCACCGAAAATTACTGATCCAAATATTGCAGATAGTCATGAAAATATTGGTGATGTCTATTGGAAACAAGGTAATTTATTAAATTTATCTCTATCCTTATTTTTAATATATATATATATAGGTTCGTATGATCTGGCGCTTAAATCATATACAAGTTCATTAGATATTAAAACAAAACTTCTATCATCGAATCATCCATCAATTGCAGCAACCCTTGAAAATTTAGCTCGCATTTATGAATCGAAAAAAGACTTTTCACAAGCACTTTCTTGTTTTCAGAAAGCTAGTACTATATATCGTCGAACGCTTCCATTAACTCAAGATAAAATTACACAAATTGATGAACATATACGACGTATTTCACATATTTTAAAATAACTTTGTATTTTTTTGAAATATGTATTTGTATAATAGTATTTATAGTGGTTTTTTTTAAAAACGCTTCGCAATATATTCCCGATGTCTATGGCAACCGAAATAAATTTACAATTCATCCGATAATTAAAAGAGAAACTCAACTTGTAACTTTTAATTTTGATCTAAAATAGATATGAGCAACATTACTATCAACAGATGTCAGTTTCGTACAATTATAGATGATTAATAATTTAACCCAAATAAATAGATTTCAACGTACGACTTCGATCAGAATTTGTTTTTTTCTCGCTAAACTAAATCATAACAAAGATGTATTAAATAATCATTAGTACAAGTTTATGTCAAATTAATTATATATGTCTTGAAAAGAAAGTATGACTCATCAGTCACTAACGCGATTCGCGAGTAATTTGTCGTTGCTCTGTTATTGAAAACACATCGTATATATTTATTTTTTTAAATTTTTGTTTAAAAACAATGACTGATCAACAAGATATTGTTGAATTACCAGCTATACCAGCAGATGCACCTGAATGGGTTCGTAATCTGCCATCAAATGGCCATTTTGTTGATCGAAGTAAATTATATGATATAACGGGTCATCTTCTATTTGATTCATTATTAAATTCAAATGGTATTCGACATTTTTACTATTTTATGGGTAATGAAAAACAAGTTGAACGTGCCATAAAAGCATTTCATGGTCAAGCTACTAGTCCACCAAAACATGCTGATTCGATAGATCAAATTAAAGAAGAAGTTCGCGTTGCTTTTCATCTCGGTGCAAGTATTTGTGGACATAAAGGCATTGTGTAAGTGGACCATATAGAATGTATATATATATTACATTGTTATGATTGAATTTATTTTCATTAGACACGGAGGACTTACTGCTACAATGATTGATGAAGTAAGCGGTGCTGCTGCGTAAGTGAATTTATTTTTCTTGAAGAAAAAACAAAATCTAATAATATATTTATAATAGATTTTCAGCTATTGGTCCTTGTTTTACAGCTAATCTTAATATTGATTATAAGAAACCATTATTAGTACCATCATGGGTATTAGTTCGAGCTCATGTTGATCGTGTTGAAGGTAGAAAAGCATATATAAATGCAACAGTTGAAAATGGCGAAGGCGAAATCTATGCTCAAGCTGTTGTTTTATTTATCGAGCCAAAGAAACCAATTCTAAAACCTACTGAACAAAATTAATTGCTAGTTTTTATTTTATTGCCGGTGTATGTGTTTAGCCTAATTTGTTTATTTTCGATGTCTAGGAAAATATTCTCACAAAATTTTACGATAAAATTTTTATTGGAATAGAAGTAAATCAAAGATAAGAGTTTATTTTCTACATGATTCATTTCGATGAACGATATCTTCTATTCAATAATTATATTTTTATCTTAAAATTCTAATAACAAAATCTCGGCATTTTAATGTATACATTCATTCCTTTAATTTAATTTTCTTTTGTCTTGTGTTTTATTTTTACAATTAAATGTCAGACAATTATTTATTTGCTTGCTTATATTCTTTAGATAAATAAATTTCTTCAATGATGGGACATTTATCGAATGTAAATAGTGTCTATATTAGATATTAATTCTCTATAAAAATTTATATGAAGGCAATTCATGTTTGTTGTTTACCAAAGATGTTACATTTTCTAGCAAAAATTCTTTTATTATTAATATTTATATTTATTTATTGTGAATTTTTGATCTATTATTTTGTTTTATTGGGTTGTTCATGGCCTCAATTATCTAAACTTGATCAGGATTTTACTGTAAAACCACCAAATGATCCATATCAAAAACCATTACATGTAATGTTTATTGCTGATACCCACTTACTTGGCTCACGTGAAGGTCATTGGTTTGATAAATTACGTCGAGAATGGCAAATGTATCGTTCATTTCAATCAGCAAGATTTCTATTTGAACCAAATATTATTTTTTTTCTTGGTGATGTAACTGATGAAGGTAAATGGTGTTCTGATCATGAATGGGAAACAACTGTTCAACGTTTTCATTCATTATTCTCTATTCCAATTGATACAAAAATATATGTTCTTGCTGGTAATCATGATATTGGTTTTCATTATGATGTATCAGATGGTCGTTTAAAACGTTTTGAAAGTTCATTTCATGCTCCACATGTTCGTTCAATAACAATTGATGATAATAATATACATTTTGTATTAATCAATTCGATGGCATTCGAAGGTGATCAATGTCGTTTATGTGCACGCGCTGAAAAAGAACTTAGCGAAGTTATTAATGATCTTAAACAATCCGGAGCATGGACTAAACCAATATTATTATCTCATTTTCCATTATATCGAGTGTCAGATGCTAATTGTTCACGATGGACACAAGTAAGAACAATCAATCCAATACTTTCATTAAATATTTTTCTTTATTTCTATAGTCATCGTCTTCCTCTTCTCGAATTATTCCACATAAAGAACGTTATGATGTTTTATCTAAAGATGCAACTGAACATTTACTAAAAACAATTCAACCACGTCTTGCATTCACAGCTCATACACATGATTTTTGTCATACAAGTCATATGGGTTTAAATGGTAAAGCCATTCCTGAATGGACTGTTCCATCATTTTCTTGGCGTAATCGTGATGATCCATCATTAATGTTATTATCCATTACAAGCAATAATGAACGTGTATCACATTGTTATTTACCACGTGAAACAACAGTTTTTTTGTCCTATGGTATTGGTGCTCTTCTTTTGATTTTATATATGTTATTTGGAGGAAGAAGACCATTTTTTCTATTAGCTTTTTGTTTTTTAAGAAGAAGAATTAAATTTTAAGAAAAAACAACGTTTTACAAAATGAACTTCCGTTAGATTTGTTAATAAATGCCAAATAATATATACATATATAGAAAATTATTCATGGATAATATATTATCAGTCAGTGTATAAACTTTCACTAATAGCATTAGGAATCTGTTATGTTGTTTATAGATATTTTGCGCAATACAATACATATTTTTATCAAACGTCATTTTTTGTCTTTTATTATGTCAAACATAATTCATTTTAATCTGTATTTTCATTTCTTATGCATCGGATGAACTCGTTTTTTTTTTAAATAAACAATAACAAATATAAATCATAACTATAAAAACAAAAGCATACAATTACGTATTGCGAATGAAAAAATGTTAGTTTATTGATTTGCTCATATGTATATCTTAACTTTTGTTTGATTCATCAGTTGGTTTACTATCATCATCTTCTTTCTTTCGTTTTCCATCACCTTGTCCAGATCCGTCCGTTAATGTACTTGCTTTCTTTGTACCTGAGACAATATCATCAATACGAAGTAATAAAATGGCAGTCTATAACAAAATTTATCATATTATTATTATTATTTACAAGTAAAAAAATATGTTTACTTCAATAGCTGTTTTTATTATTTGCATTTTAACAGAAATTGGTTCCCATATACCAAATTTATGCATATCAACTAATTGACCAGTTTCACCATCAATACCCCATGTAAATTGATCAGCTTGTTGATGATGTTTAGCACGAAGTGTCGTCAATTGTTTAACAACATTACCACCGCAATTCTGAATTAATGTACGTGGAATAATTTCTAATGCTCGACTAACTGCTTTGTATGGATATTTTTCTACACCTTTGAAAAATTCATCATTTGTTATACCTTCACCACTACTCATTGTATCCAATGCTCTAAATAGATAAAGAAAAAAAATAAGAATAAGAAACTATATTTATTGTAAATAAACCTTGATAGAGCCATTTCAACAGCACCACCACCTGGTGTTAAACGTGGTTCAAGCATAACATTACGTGTAACATTCATGGCATCATGGAAATTTCGTTCGATTTCATTTAAAACATCTTTATTTGCACCACGTAAGATAATTGTACATGCTTTTGGATTTTTACATTGTTCAAAAAATGTGTAGTATCTAAAATAAACCAAGTGATAAAATAATCTTTGTTTTTAGATCTATTCTTACTCATCACCAATTTTTCTTATTTCAAATAAACCACAACCTGTTCCAACATCTTCTTCTTTCAAATCAGCTGTTTCATTAACAATTGATGCACCAGTTGCTCGTGAAATTCGATTATTATCCGATTTTTTTGTACGTCGTACAGCTGATATTCCAGCAGCAGCCAAATAATGACAAGCAACATCTAAACAATAACTTTTCGAAATAAATTAAATAAATATTTTTTCATCTTACCAGATATGCCTTTTTCTGTCACAATAACATCTGGTTTAAGAGCAATAATTTCTTGACACATTGCATGAATACTTTCTTCTTCTAATTGTAACATACGTCTATTGAAATAATCAATAGAATTAACAATTACAAATATAAATATGCAGATTTCAGATGGCCGGAGTTTTAATTTCTAATTTACCATGTAAATAGTTTGATGAATTTAAAATTCAAAAAGATATAATTATAACCGCATATTTGATAGACAGGTGTTTCTTTTACACTTATTACAAATCTTAATTAATACGCATGTAATTTACATGTATTTCGTATAATAAGCAAGCAATCGAACTTGGACGAAAAATAATAACTCATTGTTCGCATTTAGTTTTTTTTCGCGTTGATTAAACTAAAACAATATACATTGTGAAATAGTAATGACGAGAAAAGATACATGCCTCACATGTAATAGAAAATAGATTGTAGATTATGCTGAAGTTTTTAGCAATAATTGTTGAAGTGTGCTGTTATAAACAACAAATATCAATTATTAGTTTTTCAACAATGAAAAAGTAATATGATTTTCATTATTTCCAAAATAGAAAAACTTTTTCTACTTACGTAAAATCAGGTTCACCACTAAATTCTAATGATGTTTGACTTTCACCTTTTTTATATTCAAGATTACAATCGAGTAATACAATACGTGGATTTTCAATACGTCTATATAAATAATTGAAAACAAAAATTTTCATTCAATAGTATAATTACCTTTTCATTTTTGGATGAACAACATCTTTATTAAGCATGACACCTTTAAGTAAACAACAATCCTCAATTGAACCACCAGGTATCTATATAAAAAAACATGTTATATAAAAAAAACAACAAAGAAGAAGATCAAGATATACCTTTTCAAAACGAGCATATCGTTTAAAATCAATTTCTCGTCGGCCATTGTCATCAACCATAACAGTCTCGATAGCATCAAGTGATATTTGACAAGCTAAATCACTCCTAAATTTATTTATTTACATATGTATAGAATGAATTAGTTTTTTTCTAATATACCATCTAGATAAATATTTTGTTCCAATACAACTTTTAACAACTCGTAACATTTCTTCACGATTTTTTATGTCAATTGGTATACTAGCTTTTGTTTTCATTATTTCAATACAATCTTCAAGTGCTTTTCGATATGCACGAATAACTACTGTTGCATGTAGACCTTGACGAAGATATTGTTCTGATTGAGCTAATATTTCACCAGCTAAATAAAAGATTTTATTTAGTTTTTGAAATAAAAATATGTAATATTAATTACCTAAAATAATAACACTTGTTGTACCATCACCAACTTCTTCATCTTGTGTTCGACTTATTTCAATCATTGTTTTACCGGCTGGATGTTGAACTTGGATCTAAATAATTTATAAAATTCGTAAATTTTGAGAAAATTTTCTAATTTCTATTCTATACTTCACGTAAAATAGCGTTGCCATCATTTGTTAAAACAATACCGCCCATTGGGTCAAGAACCATCTAAGACAACAATAAAATTATTAAAAGAAAATTTAGTATAGAAAAAACAAACTTTAAGCATAGCTCGTGGACCGAGACATGTACGAATTGTATCGGCAATTGTCTTAAAAGTGAAAAAGATATTGAAGACAAAAAAATTAACAAAATATTACTTTAGCTGCAAAAATATTACTAAATTGCGCTTTTTTTCCTTGATCTCGTTTTGTATTTGAATCTAGACAAAAATAAAGGAGAGTTTGCGTGTGTGTAAATACAAATCATTTTATTTACTTAAAACCATAACTGGTTGATAACTATTTCCACCTCCGAACATTATTTTTCAATTTTTTTTCTACTAAAAGTTTATCAGACCGACTGAAATGTACGTAAACAACTGAATGAAAGTACGAAGAACATTTTATTCATTCCTCCATTTGTCATAGAAATTGTTATTAGTAACAGAAGGACTGGATGGTTAAATTTTATTAACCTATCATGCAGAATACGATTATTAAGAAGTGACATCTGCTTTGAGATTACTATAGTAATAGATTTTCAAATTAAATTTTTAAATACACTTCACTTCGTAAACTAAAAGGTTTAGATTTCATTTATTTGTTCCCGATGTGATGAAATACAAATGTCATAATATTTTTTTTTGTTGTTGACAACCTCAAATGTTACGCAAAGTCTCTTATTCTTTGAAAAATATATTTTTAGTAAAAACTAAAATAACTTTCATTTACGTTCTTATATTAACTTAAAAAAACACAAGTAGTAAATATAGAAAATTATTACTTTCAAATCGTATATTTGACAAAGTATTGATCTGTTGGATTAGTTCATATAAATTCATTCAAACCAAATAATATGTCATAGGTATAACGAATCTATGAACACTCATAGAATCTAAATCAATGTTGATTCATATATATCACTAGATACTGTAAAATTCACAGATGCATTTAATAGATAAGAGATACATATTAAGGGGATATAATATATCTAGGGTCATGTTCTTATGGAAAGCTTATTGATTACATTTAAAATCGGAGTATGTACGAAGCTTCGATAATAACTGTAGCTTTTAAGAAGTGTTCAAATTTCTTTTTTGTCTCTCAGTGACCTCTGTTCTTGAAAAGAAGTTGCTTTTAGCTGCTGCCATGGAATATATCGTTAAGATGGTGTTCTTCTATCAACTTCAAGTTGCCAGAAGGAAAGAAACAAATGCAAACATAATATTGCAATATATCTATGCAATAATTATTCTACTTATAGTTTTTTATGTTTTCTGTTTTCATAATTTAGGTAGTGTGTAAAAAGGTGAAATAAATTGACAATATGGGTACTGCATCTTGTAAAAGTTTAAAATCATCAATACCAAACCAACAAAAAGAAGATGATAAGTAGGTCAATATTATTCATTTAGAAGAAAATTCTATAAACTAATTTAAAATTCTTCTCATGAGTAATTGGTTTCGCTCGATCTGCATAGTTTGAAAAAGAAATGTTCCATATTACTGAGTTTAAGTAACTGACTAGAAACTATGCTTGATAAATAGGAACATCCTGTTAGTGATGATCTTTTATTAATCTAGACCGTACACTAAAGTTTACTAAAATATGATTTGATATAACCTTGAAAAAATTCTCGTGATATACAGAATTATTTCAAGATCAGAACGCGCCTGTATTTGGATATTGTACTTAAAGTAAACAATCTCAAATCGAATTTCTAAAGTATATATGTATAAGTAAGAATGTAATGATAAAAAATAGAGTAATGAGGTATACCCGTTGATCGATTGCAATTAATAAGATCGAATTTTCAATAATTTGAGAAAAAAATATAATTGTGAAAATGATAGTATTTAAAAAGACAATAAATCTATCAAATTAATCTGTAAGTAAAAATTCAGATCAAACTAATAAGTTCATCGTTTCAGTATATCTCCTCTGATAGATATTAAACTTATAAAATGTTCAAAACTTCGACTAACAAACATTGATGAACACTTGTTCTTTTAAATATGTTCTTGTCTCACTAAATCTAACTGATTATACAAAATTTCTAGATCATTTATAGCAATATTTAAGATTTAATATCAGAAATGACTATGATTAAATAATGAGATATACAGTAGAGTTGTAACCGACCGGTTTCAGAAAAATGTAGATGTGAGTCAATTTAGGATAGGTTAAAATTTTTTCATTTGTACCGATTGTTTCATTGAAAAAAAAGTTACGATCCACTTCGAATTGTACATTCACACATTTTTTCTGATTGTTTATTTTCTTTCAAGTAAAATAATCCATCAGCCAATCTTTGAAATAAGATTACAATGGAGTTGTAATCGGTCTGATCAAATAGGTCGATTTTCACGGGCCTAAAAAGATTTCAAGACCGGCTTTTCCCCGACCGGTTACAACTCTGATGTACAGTTATAAATTATTTATTTAGAACTATCACCATCGGTGTATTTGGCCTTGATGATGCTGGTAATAAATCTCTTTTCACATATTTATTTTTCTCATATAGAATTTATTTAGGTAAAACATCAATAATTAAAGCAATTCAAGGAGGTAAAAATTTGATTTGATTTATTTTCTTTTGAACTAATTGTATCCTTTAGAGCCAACTGATAATATTTCACCAACAACAAGCTCAAAAACGATAACTATAACACGTCCACATTCTGTGAAAAATGATAATAGTGATAAAAACAAACTACAGCAACATGTACAAATAATTGATGTAAGTGGTGAAGAAAGATCTCGACAACAATCATGGTTACAATATTACGATCAAATACATGGCTATATATTTGTAATTGATGCTAGTGAAAGAAATCGATTCAGGGAAAATCAAGATATTCTAGAAGATTTACTTGAACATGATAAACTTAAAAGTAAACCAATTCTTTTGTAAGTTAATTTTGATTTCCATAATAATCAAGTTTTAATTTTTTTTCAAAAAAATTAGTTTAGCGAATAAACAAGATCAAAGAGGTGCTATTAGTAATGAATATGATTTTAAACGGAAATTTAATATTGACAGATTAAAAACAAAATATAATATTGTAAGTTTTATTATTCGTTTGAAGAATAAAGATTTAAATAAAAAAAATCTTTTTAAGGAATTTTGTTCAGCATTGCCACAAAATCGTAAAAATAAAGTAGATGAATCAATTGAACAAGGTTTTTCATGTTTAATTCAAACAATAAATGATAATTATAAAGAATTAAATTCACGTATTATAAAACCAAAATCTATTCGTATAAATCGACAATCCGAAGGTGACGAGAATAAAAATTTACGAACAAAAAATTCAAAAATTACTTCAGAAAAATTACCAAGTATTACTTCAAATAAAAATAAAGCCAAAACATACAGTGATGATGAAGATGATGATAATAAAAATAATTTATCTTCAATAAATGGTTTAAATAAGAAGAAAAAGGTAGTAGGTGCTCCTAATACTAGTGTTATACCCAAAAAGAATGTGCGTGATACTGAAACAAAAGCATTTCGTTCGACATACGAAGCATTTCCTGAAGAGACACCATGGTCAACACCATCAACAGCTCTTAAATCAGCAAGAAGTGATGATATATTAACAAGACTTAATACGAAATCATCGTTAACAGGTGATACAAAAAGACGTGATGTTAGTCCTCTTATACGTGATACTAAATCTTATACAAATAATTCAGCATTAAAACGAGATAATAATAGTGATGATGATGAAGAAGACTATAGTCGATTACAAAAGTCAAAAGTAATTATTTATTCATATTGAAATAAAAATAAAAAAACTTTTGTTTTAGCCAATAAGTCGATTTGATACTTCACCATATTCAACAAATAGATTTTCTTCAAATACTAAACAACCACCGCCACCATCAACAAGTATTTACAATGATAATTATAGTAGTACTAATAATCATTATAAGCTGACAACATCAAACAAATCCTATAATCATGATGATGAAGATGATGAAGATAATTATATAAAAAAAACCACAACAAATAATAAATCTATTAAAAGTTATTCACAATTAGCAGATCGTTCGAATCTTAACAAACGTTCAACATATGATCATGATGATGATTATTCAATATCTAAACCAACAAATCGTTCAAAATATAATGATGATGATGATGATGACAATACTAATCATCGTTGGTCATCATCAAAACCAACAACAGGTTCAAAATATGGTGGTGATGATGATGACGATGATTATCCATCTTCAAAAATGACAACACATTCAAAATATAACAATGATAATCGAGCTTTATCTGCTTCAAAACCAGTATCTCGTTCAAAATATGAAGATGATGACGATGATCATAATGATTATACAAGTGCATCAAAGAAGAATACTTATTCATCATATAACAATTATAATGGTAGTAGTGGTTCTCGACCTCGTGTTGGAACTGATGATTTTTTTACATCAAAAAATGAAACAAACAACACCAATCGATTTCGAAAAAATACATATTATGATGACTGAATTTTTTCTTTCTGCCATATTCACGTTTTCACTCAGTAAACTTTAATGTTCAAATAATAAAAAATCTAATTGAAATACAAATCTATCTATTCTATTCTTTTTTATAACTTTATTAACAAAAAACTAATAGCATTATGTTTATATTGAATGTCGATATTTTGATGTTCGTTTATGTGTACCACTATATCCATGATGTTTATGATTGAAATTTCTTGGTTTCATAACTTGATGATGATTAGTCCTACGTGCATCAATGAATCCATGATATGTATTGATGAATAACATAATAGTAAATAAAAGACCAAAAAGATAACGTTGAACATTGATTAACATTTTTATAGATTAGAAAAATAAAACTACAAGATGATGATTTCGAAATATAAATGAAAATTATATTAATGAGAGAGCGCTTAAATTTTATCGAAGAAAAAGCGGTTTTTTTTGTTGAACTAAAAGTTTATAAATTAAGATTATGACCATATGGTAACTATAGATCTGCTTCTAAGTTCATGCGCAATTGAAATAGTATGATGTGTGCTGTTTATTCTAACATGTCAGCATCTAGCTTGCCTTTTATCTTCCTTTCCTATATTAATAAATCAATCGATAGTCTCGTTGATTTTGATCAAGTTCGAAAACAGAAATATATATATATATTTCATCAAGATTATTATTATTATGAAATCCTGTTACTTATATATAATTTCCCGTGTCAAATAAATCTTTCTAAACAAAATAAAAAATATAGAAAGATATTTCTCTTTAGAAATAATCCTGCTGAACATTCATTATCATTGAAAAATGTTGTTTAGGCACGCAACTATCGCATGAATATAATCATTTATAACAGATAAGAAGTCCTTGTCATGTATCATTAATATGTCAATTGGTTAACCTCGAAAATTTCCTCTAGAAATAAAACCTGCTAATCTGACGTAATTTTCTTTAAACCCTAGATTATAATTATTCGTTATGTCATTTTCTTTTGCAAAATAAAAATACATATGACAATAAGAAAGAAAAAAATAAACAGAAAGATGTACAACCAATGGGAAGTGGATACATTCAAAGGAAGCTTTTGTTTTTTTTCTTGCATTAATAATCAAAGTGGGATTAACTTTTTCTTCTTCATCTTTTTTTCTTCAAGTAAATGGAGATAATAATTGACTAAGTAATTCATTTTTTGATAAGGCTCGAATAAAATTTTCTTTAGTTATAAGTCCTTGTTCATTACAATGACATGAACTAATAAAATGTTTGAGCAATTCAATCGATTCGAGCTCATTACCATTACCACCTAACATACGTAGTACATACTAAATATAAAATAGATTTTCATAATTAGCATTATTTAAATTTTGAAAAATACTTTAGCCATAACATCAATTTCTGTCTGATCAATATAACCATCTTTGTCTATATCTAAATGATCATAAATACATCTTTTTTTCTAAAATATTTAAATCAATGAATTATACCATAAAGTTGAAATGTATAATCAAGTTTTTCTTCCATTGTTCCTTTTGTGGTTAATAAAAAGCCAATGACAAATTCTTTGAAATCTATTTATATATATACAGAAATAAATTAGAATAGAATAATATTATTCTATGAATATGGTTTCCTACCGACTTTGCCATCATTATCTATATCAAATGCTTTATATATAGCATTAACAACATGTTCAACTTTATCCATGTCACATGTACTCAAATCTCTATAGCATTTTAACATATCTTTTTTTGTCATTTTACCATTTGGACAACGAGACTAGAAGAAAAAAAATTTTTTTTCATAATTAATTAATTTTCTCAATAGTAGATACGATCATAGAATTCATTATGAGATCTTTTGTTTCTTTTATTTTATTGAGAAGAATTGTGCATAACAGTTTCCTTCTCTTTTTTTTTTCTTGGTGTCAAAGGACAAGATTCAAAATATATTTTGAGTTTTGTTTTTTATCTTTGTTTTCATAATGATCTGTTAGAGAAGAAGAAGACGAAAAACATCTGGTGCAGTAAAATGCATTACTATTTTTCTTTTTTATACTATCAAAACAAATTTATAGGGTACTATTTTTGTTTGCTCTAAATTTCTTTTTCAAAAAAAGCAATCGGAAATTTTATCGTTTCAGTATAAAAAAAAAAAGAATTCAAGTTGTTGATCATCGGGCACATATATATATATTCTCTCTATTTTTACCTTGAGCTCATTGAACCAATCTGTTATTTCAGATGTTTTCATTTTTGTTTTACGTTTAATCAAATCCATCGTGGCGTCGTCCAGCGTCGCCGAACTAAAGTGTGTGCCCATGTATTGATCATTCACCGGAGAGGAAATATTCAATCTTGAAAATTAAAAAAAAAATCGATTAAAAATGTAAAATAAAACAGAATTTTAGGTACTTCACCAATTCATACTTAACTTTTAAGTCACGCATAGAATCTTATATGATATTGAAATGTATAGAGACAAAAGAAAAGAAACTTGCATTTTTATACGTATATTAGATTTGTGATAGAAGAACAGTACATTTCTTGTTTTTATAATATAGGCATATGTTAGAATATTAATTTGATCAAAGAATATGGTGACATTGTGTGTTTAGGACACCAGATTGAATCAAAAGTACGAATGTGAGAGGCGAAGAAGGAGAAGAAAATATTATATATAAAAATATCATACGCAGATATACTCATCTAATCATCAAAGTATAGGCTTATTTGCATTGAATAAAATAAGATTTATATAAAACTTCATAGATTTTTTTTTCATTAATATAGATCTATATACAATAATTGAAGTGATGAACGCACTTATCTTTCTAACTGAATTATTGATACGATAACGATAGTTCCTGTAAAACAAATAATCTACTGTTACTAATATTTGTATGGATAGAAAGATAGTAATGCTGTGGAGAAAAAAAAATAGAATTTCCTGAATAAGGAAGATCACTTCCCTTATCCATTTATGCTAGCGTTAGTAACTATAACAAAGCAGACGAAAAAGATGAAGAAAATACTGATGGTTTTTTTTTTAGACTTGTAATCAGTCAATGTAGGAGTGTAACAGACATTCTGACAGCAGCTTAGCGAAGCAAAATGAAGAAAATGACTGGAACAAAAAGAAAAAGGAATGGAATAATAAAAGAAAAGAACTACCGTTCGAGATAATCGAAATAAAAGAGCAAATAATAACTAGTTGAATGAATGATTAAACGGACTTCATTCAATATATATATATATAAATATATATTGAAGACAATTCTTTCTCATGTGGTATTGTTTTCTATTTAGTAATTTTATGCACATACATACTTTTACTATCGTATGTTCTTTTTTTTTCTTCTTCTTCTTCTTCTTTAACAGTTAAAAGATATTTACAAAGGAAGAATAGTCGAGGAAAAAAAAAAGAATAGAAAAGATATGATAATCATCATCAAGTTTCACTTCGGTTGCTACCATAAACCCACATATACATGAATGAAAGGATGTTGAGCGTAAAAACAAGAGAGAATGAGAGAGAGAGAGGAAAAAAATAAGACAACATAGTGCATTAAGAGAAGTTTCTTGGATGGTTAATGAGCATTAAAATCGTATGCAATGAATAGTAACTTCTATACAACTTACAAGATTACTCTTGTGCTTGAATTTTACGTTCTTAACTAAATAAGCTGTTTTAAATCTTTCTATTAACAGTATCAAATATAATTCTAAAAATAAAACTTTATAGGTTTTTCAGTTAAATTTTTAAACTGACTTTTCTATTATTATTTAACATTTATTATGCTATAATGATTGAAAAATATCTTCAAAAATATTTTTATATTCCTAAATATTTCAATACAAATTTTTTTTTCTATTGGAAAAATATTAATATTTGACTATCAAAAATTGAAAGAAATTCGTTTGTTTAAATTCTTTTTTTTCTGACTTATAATAAATTATAGGATTGACTGCTATGTTTACTCCTTATATACTGAAGAATACGATATAATTGAAAACGTCATTTTTAACATTTTAAAAAACATTCATTATCAATGTCAAAAAAAAAGAAAGAAAATTTTATTTTCAATTTAGTTACTTTGTCAAGATGAGTCAATTCTTTTTAAGTATGATATGAAATAATATTTACCTGTTGTTACCAAACGACAATTTCTTGTGAAAATTCTTATAAAATTGGATGAATGGAAAGTAATAATGTGAATGAAAAACATATAAGGAAAAAGAAGAAATGATAAAAGGAAAACAGAAAGAAGAACGCCACTAAGCAACCCGATCACCCTCGTTACTCGATCCAGCTCGACAGTTTTCCTTTTTTTTCCTTATATACTGTAAGCTTATGACATTTTTTGCATCATTTTTTTTCTGCACGCACACGCGGAATAAAGAATTATATACTTTTTTTTATTCTACCTTTCTTGATTAAAACTAAATTCTACATAGAGCGATTTGTCTAAAATCGAATGGATATAATAATTAAAAATCTTTTGTATGTTTGACATTATTTTTCTAATTTAATTTTAATAAATCAAAAATATGACAACAAATTCTATTTATTGTAATGAAACAAAAACATAACATTAGTTTATCAAATTATCATGTTGTGATATTTACGCATTAGGAAAAGATAATTGTTTTTTGAGATGAAAAAAAAAAAACAACAGCGCATGACATTTTTTTCTTGAATAATTTAATCAAAAATAAACAGTCTGATTTGAAGGTATTAAATTTAAATATAGACTTACAAAAACAAATCTCTTATATTAATATATAATGAAAATTAACATTTGATTTAATCAATATAAAGATTTAAAGAGATTATTTGAATAGAAAAACATATTGAAGTGAATAATGGATTGACAAATATTTATTTATTTAATAGAAATCTTTTGGGAGATTATTGAATAAATCTCAGTTAGAAGAAAAATAAGATAGTTATATATTGTCTATTAGTATTATTCATGTTTACTCTTTTAGAAAAATTTCATTCATAGAGGAGTTAGTTTAAGTATATCTTTTTTTAGAAATTAGTCATTATGATCTAGTTCATGATGTCTAAACTCAACGACATAAGAATCATTGCTTAGGACACATATAATTATGTTTTCTTGATTTAATCTACTTTTTTCAAAATTTATGTTGTTCTTAATAAGAAAACTAATAACATGTATATTGTGACTAATTACACCAATTAGTAGGATTAACTATTGACCTCTTCTTACAATAGTTAATGAAACTTTACCTGGAATATATGAAAAGGACTTACATTCAAAACAATAAACGACATTTTCTTTGTAATATCAATATTCAATATTTTTATTTAGATTGACATTTATTATTATCATAACTTTTATATTAAATAATCCCTTATATATTTTTTTTCCTTCGTTAGAATTTGCACTGTTTGACGTACAGCTGAGCATTATTAGTTAAAAAACAAGCATGGTAGATTATAATTTGAGAAACAAAAATAAACAGACAATACACCAACACAAAAGTGAATGACAATACAAATTTGCACATAAATGAGTATTTTGTAATTCATTTTTATCAACTTAGCCTCATTCCATCACACTAAATCAAAAAAAAGAAAGAAAGAAAGAAAGAAAGAAGACAAAAACAAAAAATGACTAGTAAGCTAAGCAGAAATAAATTGTCATACATAATTGCATGATTAAATTTCATATGTAGCTACCATAATTGTATAAATTCTACATTAGACCAATTTTCTTCACGTTTTTTCCAATAATTATGTGATGGATCTTCATTATTAACAAGATTAAATGAATCACCATCTTGTTTAAACCATTTTGGACATAGGCCAGTTGAAGAACGTGATCGTTGAGCTTGTTCAATACGAGCTTTTTCTTTTTCAGCTTGATCAATTTGACCAGCTTCAAGTAAACTAATATAGAAAAAAAAGAACAATAAAATTCAATTAGAAAATATTAAACAAACCGTTGATCTGGTCGAAAACGTGTATCTGTTGGTGGCAATTGTTGTCGAAGATCATCATTCAATTCATTTAATTCAATAGCAAATCGAGTAAAACCATAATATTGTTTAGAGTTTTCCGGTACAGCGCCTAAATAATATATAGAATGAATTATTCAATTCGACAAGCAATTTCACATGTCATTTTTTTTTCAAAGTAAATAAAAGCATATAAATGATCAACCATTCTCAAAATGATATATATATATATTAGTTCTTTTCATAGATTAAAAATCTATAAAGAAGAATGTCGATTTATATAATACTCTTAATAAATCAATATAGCATCTTGTTTGTCACAACAGAAAACAAACTATTGAAAAAAAGAATCGAATACATTAATAAAAGAATCATTTTATAGGTTAAGGAATTAGCGGAACATAGTACTCGATTATTGGCTTTAATATCAAGATATACTAAGTCATGACGTCATAGTAGTAATCAGTACGGTTGTATTTCTATTTCACACTAATAGTGTCGTATTATACTCATATAACAATGATAACTTTAATGAATTCCATTCAGAATAGTTTCTTTTTTTGACAATTGCACTTTTAGCTGTAGGAGGTTTATTATCTATTGATCATCTGATTTTAGATTCACCAGGAAGTTTCTTTCTATTACATATCTGTTGTATGACTCTAGATCTATAGAAAAATTATAGTTTTCAACCTTGAAGTGAAACTTCGAAATCTTAGCTGGACTAACTTTTATGAAGAAAATCTTTTTGAAACACCCACACCCTCCTAAAATATAAGGTGCATTTTTAATCTCTAAGAAAAGGTCGTAGGTATTAAAAAATTACCTAATTAGCGCGAAGTATTATTCAAAACTGCTATATGTTTTATTTTTGGAAATCATCTAGTTTCATACCTTCTTATATACGAAGGCTCAAAAGTATTATTTTTCAACAAGGTTTCATATTTCTATATAATAGATATTTAATCTCGCTAAATGGTATCAAATTATCTAAATTCTTTGAGCATTTTACTAGAACACTATTGTATTATTTATAGACAAAAGAAAATCGAAAGAGAACACTTAAAGATATTTTCTTCTCAATATTTCATTACTAAATATAATAAGAATAGAGTAAAATACTCATATTTAAACATCTATTCTTAGAAAAAAAGAAATGAACGCAGAGCGAACATTTTTCTCTGGGAGTAATTGAATCCTTTGTATTGAAATCAGACCATTAATGACACTTAATATCATTCTACATGTTTATTTCGTAAGATTCCTCAATCATTCTTTTTAAATATACTAATAGTTAATTCCTTTGTGACCTACAAATGTAATTCGAATGAACTTTTACAATCTTATGTAATAGTGCTGCTCACTTAATTAAATTGTTTTCACAAATAGAAGAAGTGCGTCACAGACACACACTTCTCCTTCCGTCTAAAAGCCTTTTATTGATTGTAGAATGTATTATATATTTCTACTCTACGACCTTATATATAAAAGATCGTTCATAAATACTCGTTAGTTATAATTTAATGACATCCGAAGTATATTTTTAAAATGTATTTATAACATACTCTGTCTCCAAATACATTTAGCTGTTTGATCATTTCCACAAAAAATATTCTCATGCCAATGACCAAATATTTTATGTACTACTTTTCCTGTAGCATCTTCAATATCACCAGCTGCATTATTTAAACGTGTTCGATAATCACTCTAAAATTATTTTTATGTCTTGTTCTTATTGTTAGAAAGAAAATTTTTTCATACCTGTATAAAACTAATTCGAGCTTTATTACCAAATGAACTCTCAACAAGAACATCACCATAATGATCAATCCATCGTTCTGGTGATAGAACATTATGTATACACATTGTACATTTATTCCATGTGATTGTTTCATTATATTTTGGAAATATTAATGTATTAGTTGAATCCGGAAAGATTTCTAAATTAATACAAAAAAAATGGTATTAAATTAAATAAACAAGAGAATTATTTTTACCCATTGATTTTCCCCAAAATTTAACTTTTGCTTGTAATTCTAAAATCATACAATCAGATTGTGTTTTTCATTTTCTTTACTATCTTACTTTGTGAAAATATAAAATTTGGTGAAATACAACTACAAACACTTATTGGTGGATGATGACTAACCTTAAAAAAATAGAATTTTATTTTTATAAATGATAATAAAAGTAACAAATTTACTTGTTCAGCAATGAATTTCCATCCTTTATCTTCTCGTATACATTCATATGTTTCACCTAATAATGGATTAAAATTTTTTCTTCCAGTTCGATAATAATTTGATGAATATGTCGAGACAATAAATGCAGCAACATAAACAAGACGTAAATGACCATCGTCAATTTGTGATGCACGATCAAGTAAATCTGAATATTCCATTTCTTCACATAATTTTTGTAATAAACCTAATGGTTCATTTAATATAACTGGCATAGCAACACGAGATAAATCTTTTCCTATAGCTTTACGCATAATATTCCATAAACCAATATTCGATGTATCTGGCGCATATGCTGGTAATGATGAACGACGCCATTGAATTTGTGGTGGTTCTAATTGAGGATATAAATCAATTATGATTTTTGTTTTTCGAAGAAAAATATTCAACATACTTAATTGAGGTGGAATAGCTGATTGACGAGATATATCATCTGCATGGCTTTCATCATCACCACAACTTGATGAGTCAGAATCGGACTAAATTTAAAAAAAAAGAGCGTAAAGATCGAGAAATTATTCTTTCAATTAGATGCATTAAGAAGACTAGACAGGAAAAAATAATGTTCTATTGATTTTGTTTTTAAAAGCTAATAATAATTAATTCAAATTCGATTCTTTTTTTATTTGTTTATATAAACATAGATACCATTGTAAATTGTATTCTCAATAGTTACAGAATATTTTTGTCTTACTTGAGTCTGAAAATCACTAAGGAAATATGGCATTCTTTTTTTTCCGATTATTTGCTTCACTGATTGGAATACTCTAAATACATTTCAAGCATTCTGTATAGTATATGAATGAGAATTAGGTTACAATTGATCTCTTCTACTTAAAAAGAAGTTCATTGAGATCAAAACTTCCGGGACCGGAATTGAATAAAAACATTCATCCTTATCTAAATTCGATTGAATATAAATCAGATAGCGTGAACTCGCTATTTCTTTTATAAAAGATTTTTTTTCCAATAAAAAAATCAATTTTTATGATTAAATAATGATTTAGGCAAAATATTAAATTACATTTCAGATATAATTATTTATACATACCATTTTCTCGATTTCATCTTTATCTTCATTTAAAATAAGACAACTAAGAGCTTCAGGCGCATCATAAAAAATCGATCCATGTCGAGACATAATCGTCGATGAGGATGATATTGATTGAAGAGTATTACTGGTTCCGATAGATGCTGAGTTAGTCTAAAAATTAATTTAAACATCTTTCTTCTATTTCAATTCTCACTTACTAGCTGTTGTTGTTGTTGTTGTTGTTGCTGTTGTTCTATAGCAAGAACAGATAATCGTTTGTACAGATTATTGAGATTATCAAAAACTGAAAAAGATAATTTCATCAAAATGTTTTAAACTATTGTGAATAAAACCTTTTTTGGACATTTCAAAGTAGTCTTGTCGTTGAGCATCAGGTAATGTAAAAGAATTTATACTACTTATACTAGCAGATGGTGTATGCCCACCACTTGTCTTCCCACCATCCTGCCAAAGAATAACAATATATAGTAAAGAAAATTGAAAAAAAATAAAAATCTAACAATCGATCTTGAAGATACACTTGATGTTGTTGTTGTTGTTGTTATTGTAGTATTGATCTTAATTTGTTCAAGAATATCCGATAGACTACTTAATTGTATTTGAATATCAGCAAAATCTATAATAAATCATTTTTTTTAAATAGATAAGTATTTGTATTTTACCATTATAAAATAAACGATCAGATGATGGTGTAGTATTATCATTTGATGATTGAATATTTGTATTATTTTCATTTTTTATGTCATCAAATGAATCTAATTTTTTAATTAATGGACTTTGTTGTTCAAGTATTTTTTGTCGATTATTCCGATGTATAGCTATTTGTTCAAGCCATTGTTCAAACGTTTTTTTATCTTTTATTTTTATATGATATACAGAATTTGTTTCATCAATATTTATTCGTTGTAATTCACGAATAAATGTAACAATACATAAACCTATATCACATTTACCATTATATCGTCCACGTTTTATCTATTACAAAGAAGAGAATTCTGTAAGGAAATAGATTTATTTTATGTTATTTATACTTCTTGTTCTGATTTTCCATAGATTAATGAACCATTTTGTAAAACAAAAAAACGTTTATGCCATCCTCGATATGGCCATTTACGTTTTTTCATCAGATAATTTGATAATGAAATCATAGATTTTGATGGATCATCACCAGAACCCATTGGTAATAATTCTGATGCGTATGTCTATATAGAATCAAAAGGTAAATATTTGATGATCATTCTGAGAAAGAAAAATTGTATTCTAATTTATTTTTTAAATATCAAATTTTGTTCTTTTATGAAAGGTTAAAAGCATTTTCTTTGAATCTCGTTTTTCTTTATATAGTACAATAAAAAAAGAACATTTTTAACCTTTCGTTGTTTTTGTTTTTTTTGTCCACTTGTTGTTATTGATTTTTCATTAATTCCTCCTGTAACTTCATCATCTGAATCATCGCCATTATCTGAATCAGTAATAACCTAAATAAATAAAAAAAAACATTATGTATGATTAATAAAAACAATTAGCAAAAAGAGAAAAAAAAAAACACTAAGTAGATTTAGTACTTGATCTTCTATATTATTCTCGTCATTTATTTTTGATATTGCTGCTGCTGTTGTTGTCGTTACAGATGTATTTAATTGTGATCGTCGTTTTTTTGAGAAAGGATTTAAATCATAAAGAGCATCATTTTTAATTTCATCAAGTGTTTTAAATTTTAAAGATTTTTTACTTTTATCGTCATTCATTGTTAACAGAAATAAATATTACTATGATTAAATATTCTATACGTAGTATATATAAAGTCGTGTGAATAGAATATTCTTTCGTTTTTTTTTCTCCGTTCTTTCCTATGTTTCTTTTTCAAGAAGACTAGACAAACATTTATATGTATACATACATTTTGACGAAGGACAGAGTTGAGTAAATCCATAAAAAAAATGTATTTGTTGCATTTTTATTGTTTCAATTCGAGTACTTATCATTGATTATGTAACAATAAAAAATACTTGAACTTCTTTTTTTATATAGTTATGTAAATCAATAGAGAATAATTTCTTGTGTTCTCTATTTTTTAAAGAAACATGTAGAAAATATTACATCGTCTCGGTAAATCAATATTTATATTTTATAGGTCAATTAAAAATCTACATTACTAAAATTTTAACACGAATAGTATTCTAAGAAAAGATACTTGTATAAGCAATTAGCGTACTCTTTAAATAGTTATATTTCTTTTGGCACATATTTTCAATAAACCTCTTATTGTCTAGAAACAGAGTCTCATATAATAAAAATGTTTTGAACGAGAACATGTCCCTGTTTTTTATTAATAAGAGAATATTTTCTTTAAACACGTTCTTGATATACAAGAATCAGTTTCTAACTTTACTATTAATAATACTCATGTCCTATATTTTAAAATCAATGTTTATCTTAACATATCATTAACAGAAAATGATCTTTCACCTTAGAATTAATTGTACGATCGTTACTTAATTGTGATTCATATGTCAATGGGCGTAAAAATGAATTAACGATCATTGAAAATGAAGATATATTATTATTCATAGTTTCTTTAAATGATTAATATTCCATACAGACAACAAATAGCATAAGAAAGAGTTTGTATTCTTTCCTTAAAACAAAAATATAGACGACTAACTACCTTAAATTTTCTGTTTTTCTTTCTTACTTTTTAAAAATAATTACTTTAAAAGAAAAAAAAAGCAATCAACTTACAGAGCGATTCTTTTGAAATTTTGCTGTTGTTGGTGTCGTTGATGGTTTATACATTTCTAATTTTTCCTTTGTTTAATTTAAAATAAATTTTCTATCATTTAAAAATATTTTTTTCTTCTTAGAATACACGTTGTTTATTACAAATGATTTTTTTTAAACGTTCATTCTGAAATAATAAGAAACTTGCTTTTTTTTTCTCCTTGCAAAACAAAGAAAAAAAAAAAAGAAAAGCAGAATAATAATCGATATAAATGATTACTTCCGGTTTAAGGCAGAAGTAAGCAAGTTAGAGATGAATCATGTTGTATTTCTCTTCCGAATGGATGGATTTATAATGGAACCAATGTATCCCTTCATTTCAAAGATGTCGCTTAGTTATTCAAGAGATTTTTGATTATAATTCTGTTTAGCATCAAAAACAATTAATCTTAAACCCAAAGGAATTGCGATTTTTTTTTCAATCAATACATACAGAAAAAAAGTTGAAAAATAATCCGATGGATTTCTCAATGAAAAAAAATAATTTTAGGGAAAATGGTAATTTGATCTTTTATCCGGAAATTATTTTTCAGAAAAAAATGAATATAAGGGTAAAAGGATATTTTGTTTTTCCTAGAGTATTATAGAGACTAAAGTGTTTTTTGTCTATTTAAGAATCCAATCAAACGATAGTTTGATTTACTATTTTTATATTGCATTTTTTTCTACATAGAAATCGATTTGTTCTGTAGTCTGTTGTAAACAAGCGATACAGTGACGGATCTAGGATTTTGGAAGAAGGGGGGGGGCGATTTTTTATTAGGAGAGGCGATACCTGGGGAGAGGGACGATTTTGACTAAGAACTATTTTTTGAGTCCAATCGAAATAGTGTGAACCTATTTTGGTTGTAAAAAATCGAAAAAATATGGCTAATTTTCGATTTATAGTTACAAAGTCTTATTTCTTACCGTGCATTCGAAACAGTTTTCAATAACTACAAGGAAATGTTTGTCGGATATGATTTCGTTTTATCGAAATCGAAAATATTTTCGATCATAGTATACCTTTAAAGAATAAACGCGGTAGATTTCATACTTTTCAGTTTGATCTGAAACTCATATATTATAAAATAGATGAGAATATTGGACTTCAACCTCGATTCACAACAATGTGTTAAAAAAAAATGCGCAAGCTGTTTCTTACATTGTAAAAAAAATTATTCTTCCTAATGTGCAAAAAAAAGAGAACATAATACTTGTCCTTAACTAAATGTTTGTCGTTCAAGATTAATATTCATATTATCACGAAATCATCCATATTTTAACTTTTTTTCAATTAAAAATCGAGCAACTTCATAATTTACTAATATCAATAAGAAGATATTGTGTTTTTCAAAGTATATTTTTTCATAAAAATCTTTTATTTATACTGACATTCCCACAAGTATCTATCTCTCATATTCATTTTATATAAAGAAGTTTTTCCAACGTAAGTCATAGATAATCAAAGAAAAAAAAATAATATACAAATGAGAGTGAGAGAAACAGTAACAACACTTTATACAAATGACAACGAACGAATATACATACATAAACGCACAAAAGAAAGAAGAAAAAAAGAAGGAAGGGTTCACTATCTGACACACACACACACGCGCAAACGCACACGGACATAAACATAAAACAAAAAAAAAATGAAAAAAGAACCTGAGAAAACAAAAGGACACTAAGCATATCGATATTTGCGTACTGAATCTGTTGTTAAATCAACACACAATACGCAACCATCACGTGTTGTTGCTAATGAACATGGACGTCTTAAACGTTGATTATAAGAATCAATAATACGTAATAAATGACCCTGATTATCATAAACTTCAATATGTGCATTTCCATCTTTTTCACATTTACCCGCTAATAGAAGACCATTTTTATCAACACATAGTGCTGTATAAAATCCTTTTAAATAAACAGAATTAAAATTAATAAACGAAAAAAATGTTTTCTTCATACCTCCTTTTGTTGTTTGAATATTATTCACAGATTTTGAATGTTGATGTATAGATGAAGATTGTTTATTATGATGTGATGCTATAAGATCAGGTGGTTCATGTGTTATATGTATATCAACATCAACAATTTGTTGTTGATTTATAGATGAAATTTGTCGTAAATATTTTCCATCATATGATAATATATGTATACGATGATCACCAATTATAATTTCATCTTGTAAACCAATTGTAAATGCTTTTATTGTTTTTATACCAAATGAACGTGTATCGATTTTATTTAATAATTCACCTGTACGATTATCAATAATTAATAATGTATTATTGTCACATATAAGTAACGAATTTAAATGTTGTTCAAATACAGCTATTTGAACTGGTTCATTAAATAATGAGCATGTTATTTGATGTGTTATATTAATCTGACTATTATTATTAAGAGATGTTAATGAAGTATTTTGATTTCTAATAGTAAATTCAGTTATAAATTTACTTTTCCAATCAAGTAAATAGAATGTTGAAGTAGATGGACGATAAGTTAAACCAGTACTTGTTGATTCAACAAGTGAGTCATTTGCTAAAAATAAATGTACAGTTTAAAGATTATGGAAAATAAGTATGATATTATTTTCAATGTTTTAGATAGTAAAGAATGAAGACTGAATATATAAACCTAGGATAAGATTAAGTGTCAGGTGTTAGTTTAATAATTCTCTATTCACAGTTAAGTCCTATCTGAGAATTATTAAGAATGTGTGTGTGTGTAAATAAAGACAAAAGGAATATCGTATTTATGAAGCGATGCAGATAGAATTCCGTGTGATTGGCTTGATACAGGCTACATAAGAAAGAATATGTTAATTTATCAACTCATTTTGATATATGACTCCACTTGAACTCTCTATAAAATTCAATTATCATATTATTCAAATATCTATAACTTGCAAGTATCTGATAGTATTGAGAAAAAACTTATCACTAGTTTTAAATTCGAAAATTAATCTTCTTTCTACAAACTAGTTTATTCGTTTTTAGCAATCGAAATCTTCTAATCACATATTATTCTTACCTAAATGTTCAATAAATTTTCCATCAACAGTAAGACATTTAATTCGACTATTTCCCGGATCGAGTATATATACTTGTTCTCGTTCATTGCAATCATCGACAATAACACTCACCGGCATTGATAGTTCATTTTCACCTCGACCACGTTTACCTTTAATTTATTTAAAAAAACAAAAATAAAATTCCCTTAACATTTCTTTATTTTTCTTACCAAATGACCATAATGGATTATTATGTTTTGTTACATCAACTACAAATGGTGAATTTGATATCGGACGATCAAAAATTCTTACATCAATTTTATGATTTCCACTAATTAATGGTCGAAATATAATTGTATATGATCCACTTTGTTTATCATGTAGATCATATTCACATAATTTTCCATATGGATCCCAAATATTAACTGTTAATGGATCACCACCATCCATACGTACATTTCCATTATAATCAACGGTTTCAATATGAATAGCACATTGAAGATTAGCAACAGGTGGTTCAATCTTAGCTCGACATAATGGTGGATAAGTTGATGATACACGTATACGACCAACACTATTTAATGATCGTGCTAAATCTTGTAAGGCTTGATTATGTCGAAATTCAAATGTCATAAAAGAATTTTCACGTGGTTCACCTAATAAAGCCATACGTTCAATACGATCATTTAATTCTTGTATACGTTGAGTTAAAATATGAATATCAGATGCTTGTTGAAATGCAGCACATTCATGTTCAATTTTAGATTTTTCATCTAGAGAAAAATATCGAATAGATTAACAAGAACATTGGAGAAAACAAAAACAATAATAATTTACTTAAGATAACATTGAGTTGATCATTTAAAACTTTTTGTTTATATTCTTTAGTTGTTTTAAGTGATTGTAATAGATTATGACGACGATTTTCAACATAAGTTTTTATTTCATTAAATGATCGATTGATAGCTTCAGCTAAGAAATAATTTTAATGTATAAAATTTCTTATTAATAAGTAATGATTTACCAGCTTTTTCCATACTACTATCAAGTCGAAGAATTTCACTGTTAACAAGTTCAAGTGCATGATCCAAACAACCAGTAGCTATTTTTGAAAAAGAAAACAAAATATACTATCAATTAAACAATAGCAAAAGAACTCTATCTACATGCAAAGTCTCAGCCAGAAAAATTCGAATGCATATGATAAATATCTTTAATTGAGTTTTATTTTAGTTTAAAATGAATATTTAAATAATACATATTTAGCATTCCGTCAAGACATCATTCTTTTTGTTGAAAAAATTGATTATGAATTGGCAACATGACGTGATACTCATAAATATCGTCTGTGATTTGACATTTCATTCAATCCTAATCGAACTTATTCTTTACGAGTAATTGAATTTTTTACGATAATAATCATAATAAAAATATTTTCATTCAACTAGAATAACTAAAAATATACGAGTTTTCTCTATTGGATTTGATTAACAACCTCTATTCAATTGAATCGATCAACATAGCAATATTACCACACATGACATGTTTTTATTCAATGGTTATTGAATTTCCAAAAAATATTTCAATTGCATAGAACATAAATAAATAGAGATATTAATAGTGTCTATTCAATTGCTTCTATCTAATTTGAAAACTAAATATAGTCGAAAACAGATGGAAGTGAATTCTTAAGAACAATGTCATATAAACAATCATTTTTTCTATGATTATACATTTCTATTTCAAAGAATATATCTATACAAACATAGTCCAGATGGTGTCGATATTATTGCATTATTAGTAAATAGTTTCGAGCTTTTTGTTGATATCAACTCTAAACTAGCATTTCTTAAATTCTTTTCAAAAGGATTTAGATGAGCGTTGTTCATATCTAACAATAAACTTAAAGAGATCCATTAGTCGAATCAAATAATGTCCATCATAGCGAATTGTATTTCTCCTTATTACAATCATTACTATAATCTGATTATTTTCTAAAAATTCCAAATGGAACATTTTTTATCTTATTCATTTATGATCACTGCATACTATTTTAATTCAATCAAGTGCCTTTTTTTTGTTTTCTCTCATTCATTGCTTAATAAATATATTGATCAAAATCTTACTTTTTGTTGCTTTGAAGGAAAGTATTTCATTCATACGTTTAATAGCTAATGAAAATGGTACAACAGTATGTTCAGCTGATATTTGATGTTGATCACATAATTGACAAAAAATTTTATCGCAAGTTTCACAAAATAATAATTCTTCATTGGTATGAGAATCACATTTTGGAATTACATCACGACGTTGACTAACCATTAAATCAAGTAATTGATTAACTAAAAATGATGGTGGAAATGATGTGACACCACCTAAAATTTTAATTATTAATTTTCTTAATACACAAAAAAAAAGATATTTTACCTCGAGGTAATAAAATATGTTCTCGACAAATAGGACCTAGAGATATAGAATAAATACAAATTGTTTAAATAATATTAACTATTAACATACATTTAATAGCATCGGATCTTGGTTGAGAACTAACAATACGTTCTAAACATTGACGACAAACTGTATGTGAACATGGTAATAATTTTGGTTGATGTTCATGTGAATCTGATGAATATTGATTAATACATGTCGAACATGTCAGAAAATGTTCGGTAAAATCTTTTGCATTAATGTTAATCGTTTCTACTAATGTTGAACCCATTTTTATATGATTATATATCTTTTGTCGTCATATCACATCTGAAGCTTATAATAAATATACATATATGATCAACATAAATTGACATTGATGCATGAGTCAAGATGAAAAAAAGAAAGAACAAGCTGACGGCAAGGACACATATAACCTTGGCTTTGGACCGTCGACACCATACTACTCGAGTTGTTCATGTACACATATATATATATATTTTTTTTTATATATATTTATAGACGATGAGCTAAGATTAACGAACTATCGTATCAATGATAAGATAAGTTAACTGAAGCTCAAGGAGAAAAAAATAATAAGATGGAAACATAACATGAAGGTTCTACGTCTCTAAGGACTACGGATAGGGAAAATTAATATCATGAAAATGCCAGATTTTCTTTTTCTCTAGATGTTGCTTATTAAATAGCTACTGAACGCATTGGTCTATGATGATTTTTATTTTTTTCATAATATTCACAAAAGAATTCAATAGTATATTTATAAAAGCAATAATACAATTAATTATTCTATTTCTAGACTTCAACCTGATTAATAAACAATATCGACTAGCCTTGACATTTGAAAAAAAAAGTCTATTAATTTTCATATTTGTTTGACATTATAGATATAAAAAAAATCACTAATTTTATTCGGTTATGATCTTTGAGTTACATAAATTTCCTTTCTCTCTCTTTTTTATTTCAAAACTCAGAGAAACTGTTTTATAATAGTATGACTATTGTCCTTGTCAATATGGCGTGAGTATACGTTAATGTTATGCGTGATAAAATAAACTTTCAATAAATTTCTTTTATAAAATTGAAAAAAAAAAGAACAAAGATTTAAGAACATTACACATTTTTTTCTATGAATTTATTTCTGCTAGACATAATACTTACTTATATTTAGTGATGAATGGATGCCCGCCGGAGTGTCATCTCATTCATTCATTCATTCACTCACTGACTAAGAGAGAAAAAAATGACGTTTATACTCTTGTTTGGTTCAGAATGGCATGGAAGAAGAAATAGGAGAGAGAAAAGCAGGAAAAAGGAAAAGGAAAGAATGAGAAGAACGATGACGACACGCCACCAATATTTTGCTTTTTCTTCTTCGTCCTTTTCTTCTCTATTCAACACAAATCGATTACAGATGAGACGATCATCTGCTCCTGTATAAAGCTATTGCCATTGTCCTACTTAACGGTAGAAGAAACAATAGAATAATTCAAAAAAAAAATAGTGAGTACCGCCCGAACAGGAGGGCTCGAACCCTGGACATTGCGGTTAAAAGCCATAAACTTTATCAACTGATGAGCTATCTGGGTCACACAATGATAAAAGAACAACATTTTTTAATCTTAGGCTTTCTATTTCAAGGATAAAGTCTAAATATAAAAAAAATCTCACGTCTAGTTTAGACTCTTAATGGTGAAAACTTTCAAAAGAAACAGTCTCATAAGACTCATTTATTTCACACCCTTACAAGCATGTCGTATTTACTGTCGAAGACATAAATAAAAAAAAACGGCCTTGTGCTATGTTATTCATTTTGATACTAGAATATTTTTTTCTTTTTCGAGACGACGACAATAAATGAATCAAGATTCATCATCGCCTCTCAAGGTTTGATTATATGAAAAAAGAAATCTCAACCAATATTATTAGTAACATAAACCAGACAAATCTGCTAACATTGATTACAATACATAACTCAAATTCATTCGATCAATCGTCCACTTATTCTCTACTGAACAACAAATACTAATATAATGAATTTCATTAGAAAGATAAGAGTTCTATGTAGAAATATATATATATATATCACCGACATCTCATATTACTTGTATTTAAAATTATAAAAATGAATAAAACAAGATTCATATGTTATGTTTTTATGACCTTTTTTTCCATTTGATTACTATCTGTAAATTAAGTAGACCAAAAGAATAAACCTAAATCCAGATGTGTAAAACTCTAAATAAATGTTACATGATGATGATAGAATATATATACATATATGTATATAGACAAGTGCAGGGAAAACCTTGAGAAACCAAACAGATGAGGAGATTGATTATTCTTAGCTAATTTTATCACGAACACAGGAAACAATAACTTACGAAAAAAATCTCTTGGGTGCAATATATGTTTCAAACCATCACCACTCTCATGTCGACCGAATTGCCCACTCTCATAGTCATTTTTTGATCTATTCTTTTTCTTTCTTTCATTCTCCTTCTGTTTTTCTCTACTTGTTCTTGTGCGTCCATACGCGACACAATGTTCATTTTTTTGTTCCTTCTCTCTCCCTCTCTTTCCCTCTGCTTCTAGTCTAGCTGGCCGAACACACATTGAACAGCACATGCAAACATATGCAGCAATATATTAAAATGAGGTTCGCCCCTCTTCTCTTTTTTCTCCACCGCTACCAAATAATAATCATATCAATAAAAGAACACATACACAGAGAGAGAGAGAGAATGTCGCCTCACGACTGTCGATTGTGCAAACGAGAAAAAAAAGGGGAGCTCGATTATCCCCTATCACATCGAACTTTATTCTTTGTATAATTACAGTCTAGAGAAAGAAAAAAGAAAAACGAGAATGGATCATTGTTGTATATTAAACAATTTTTTATACATTCTAAATAATAATTAAAGAAACGCATATTGAATTTAACATAATCCGATTATTTTAAAAGCAACTATTTGTATTAAAAAATATTCATCGTTTATGTAATAAGCGTCGTATAAATAAGATGAATAGACAATCGTTAAGTTAAATGCCTGTCAAAATCTCGACATAATAAACTTACAGAAATTTAATTCAGATTAAATCTGTCTTATCAAACGATTTACTTCTAATATTTCTCAGATTTGACATTACATATTATCGTGTCTATCATCTATTCAATTAATAACAAGAAAATTAAAACATTAGAGAAAACTCGGTTACGTTTGTTTATTTCGTTGGATAAATTTAAAACGAAAATCATACTTGACTGACTACAAAAAAAAGTAATGTTTGTATTCAAACCATTGAGACGATCATCACTTGTCTGATGGTTTCTAAAATTTCATCATAGATAATAGAATGAAATCTTACTATTATCTTACTGTTGGTACATGTCGATCAGGTCTTGTTGTGGGTATTGATGAAGAATGAACATGAGGTGAACGCAAATCATTTTGACAATTACTATATCCCATTCCTATACCTATTCCTGTTCCTAAGAAAACAGGCCATGGACGACCTAATGTTTTTTTCAAAAACAAAATAGTATTATTAATATTTTGAATATAATAAAAGATAAAAAAAATGTTTACGTTTGAAAAGAATTGCTGAAAAGACAATTCCTAATGCCAAACCCGATGCTAGAATGATTTTTAATTACAATAAATAAATAATGTTTATTTATAATATATTTCAAACCTGTTTTAACAACTGTATCTGTTAAACATCGATCCCATTTTTCACCGTTAACATCTTCAGATGCTACCAAACGATTTCGTGACGCCATCTGAAATATATACACATCATTAATTTAGTTTAGTTTACAAATGTGTCTACTATGGTAAATTAACTTATACAAAAGAATAACTTACTCACCCTAAGACAACTTATTCATTGGTTTAGTTGTTCAACGAATACAATAAATTCTATAACTATCTGTCGCTACTATCTTTGACGAATGTGTGTACGGCTGGGTAATCATTATATAATAAATTTTCTTTACTTTGATTAATGCAATATGCTCATGTATTACAAAAAATGGTAACAACGATTTTATTTCAGACATAAAAATTATTCTTTAGACAAAACACAGCTGAATATTAGATATTTTATTTTGATAGTCAAGCGATACATAAACAGATGTCTTATGTAAAGATTAGTTATAGTTTGACATCAGTATCAAATTTTATGTTTTTTATTCTTGAGACTTGACACCCTGGATGTCAATATATCTTGACTAAAACTCATAACAAGCAGAAATATTTTCCGTCTAAACGATGATTTTCACTTTAGTCATTAGAATACAAAATTCTACCTTTTTATAGTTAATTGTTTTCCAGGCATAAGTGATATTTTCCTCACTTACGGCATACTCATGCTATTTTGATAGTCTACTTTTACTTTATGACTTTAAATCCTTGTTGAACTATAGTTAGCTAAGTAGATTGTAGAGAATTGATATATCGATGTAAAGTTGATTATTAAATAAACAAATCACAAATGTCTTATAAATATGAATAATAAGCTCTTTTAAACGAACGAATAAGACAAATATAAAGCACAGACGATAGTTCTTGACATTTCTTTTTATCTGAAGAGAAAAAAAATTACAGGTAATGACGTAAAAAGAACTCTTAAATATTTTTCTATAAAAAAAGAAAACATAATTGCCACTACATTTTTGACACATCTGGTCTTCATATAAATTATTGACAAAACCTTAGAAGTCAATTACAAAGTATGGAATATCGACCGAAATAAATTCATACATGATTATATTAATTAAAAAAGATAAATCTGTATTGATGATTACATGTTTCTCAGTAAATAGAATCGATTGCACTCTAGCAGATCTAACTAACCTAGATAATCCGATTCAAATGAGATAATACGGAATAGTATCAGATGTCGATGAGCCGTTATAAGATCCATCGGTCTCATTGAACATCTGTTATTCGATAAACTAATTTAAATAGAGAACTATAGTAGCTATTTTGACTGCGAAGTTTCCGTAAAAAAACTATATGTGTATTTTACTAAGAGGTAAATAAGAGATGAATTTTTCTTTAATATTAGTACATACGTATTGTGATTTTCAGACGTCATAGATCTTCTTTATGTGTTTTAATATTAATCAGATATATTTATAAATAACACTCGCTATATATATATAGATAAGTAATAAATTATTCAAGAAGTTTTATCGTGATTTTTATATAGAACAGATGTTCTCAGGATTATGACTTAGTATTTGAGAAAATGAAATCATAATTTTCTTTGTATATATATTTTTGAGTTTTTATCAATCTTATAATTACGCACCCACGTACTATTGCCGAGAAATTCATTCTTTATTTTTAGAACATTCGGTGTAATATATCACGCATACGATAAACCGATACTTCAACAATAAAGTAGCAGATAATCATAAAAATAAATTAGATTGATTGATGAAGCGTTGAAAAGCATTTTTTACATAAAGAAAAGACACAAATGGTATATATACTTAGTCTTTGACTTTTTGTTTATATGTTACAAACTGATGTTAATTCTTGGTTGTCATCAAATCTTCTATCAATCTTGTAACTATATAATATTCTAAAGAAGAACCTGTCTTACAATATCGAATGAATAATAAAGTCTGATTATTTGTTTTTTAATTAAAAAGATCAGTCAATGAAGACTAACAAAACACATGAGATATTCTCATTGTTTTAATATGTATATCAATTATTTGACTAAAAATATGGTCTGACGTCAATATTATCATTAAATATTAAATTTTCCTATTGATTAGGTTTTCTTATTATTCTTCGTTATACGAGATAGAAAAATATCCTAATAGGCGGTTTGTTTCACTATCAAGCTAATTAATAGGAATAGAAGTTGTTTTTCTGGTTCCATATGGTATCATATACATACATCCTGACAACTTAAGTAACATTAGCATGTAGTCGGCTATAATAATAAAATTTTTTTCTGTTCTTCTTTTTGTCGGAGCTAAATATGTCACTATTTTGTATATGTGTTTTTTTCTTCTTCCAAGTATTCCTATACTTAGGATGACACAACAAAGCAAACCGTCGAATCGCAAAAGCGGCACGTTTTTTTCTCTCTCCCTCTCTCGCTCTTATATTTGTTCCGTCGCTTGTCTCATGCACTTTGGTTCTATGTTAGACGTTCCAAAATAATTCATCAAAGTTGATTTATTATTGGATGTTTTTTTTCTTCTTCTTTAGAAATAGTCAGAAACGTGGTACGACGATCAATGTAATATTTATATTTGAAACAATTCATTTTTAATATTATTATTACATCTTGTAATTGTAAATTTTCGTGACAATTATTTGATAAATTAGTTGCAGTTGTTAATTTTTAATATGCCTTTGGCTCAAAATTTCAAAGATGATGTATCTTTGTTAGAATCGGAAGCAACTTTAACAAAAACAACAATAAAATGTATGAATAGAGAACCTCCTGTTTTGCCACAAAGATTTCATATGAATATTCCTGTAAGTCGATAGATAATACTACTTATTTTTTTGTTTCATGAATATTCCTAAGAGCTTTATATGCATGTATATAGATATATCTGAAAATCTTATTAGTTTCTTAAGAAAAATGATATTTATTAACTAATAGTCATATTTTATTTCTTTTGAAAACATACAACTGTTGTAATTCTTTCTAGTTGACTTTGTTTACATAATAAGAAAATTTGTTTTTTCATTTTGAAAATTACTTAGTTTTTTGAGTACCAACATACGGTAGATATATTTTTCGGTAAATTGATTACTTATTAGATAGTATGGTTATTCTTAAAAATAACTTTCTTTACTATTTTGCCAAATAGACTATATACCCTTTGTCTGATGGAATTGTTTTTTCCTATAAAATAAATAAAATACTTTTTAGTTTATATTAAAACATTGAATATAGAAAATATGATATACAACAAATAATTTTTATGGATTTACCGTATTTAAAATAGTAATTATTTGAATATAGTAACAAGCTATTTGTATTAGTCGTTTGTCATAGCGTGTTATATTAATGGAAATTCTGATTTACATTGACTGATAGAAAATTTATGAGTTTTATTCATTTTTTTCTATTTATAGAAAAGAATTAAAAGATAAATATATGGTGATATATGATGAACCAATGGCGGTTATATATAACTTTTACTGAATATATCTTCGAGTTTGAGTAGTCGTGATAATGAAAAGATTTCAAGTAATAATAATTATTTATATATGATAGCAACTGATATTCATAAACTTATGAATATTTCTTGACAACAACAGATGAAGTTCAATATGTTAAATTAAAAATATTGCACTATTCAAATGCAGTCTTCTTTCATATTGTTTATGAGACAAAAAATGTCACAAGTTTTATAGACGAAGAAAGTACATCAATTAAATAAGGAAAAAGAACATTTTATTATAATGAAAAATGTCCTTACTTTTTTATTATTATTGCATGTGTTTTTTCTTAATCACTTAACGAAATGTTACAGTAATAGTTTAAGACATGTGCTTTAAAAATTTTCATAGTTAATTTATTAGTTATGTTTTATTATTATTGAAAATAATGCTTCGTTTATCAGAAGAAGAAAAAAAACAGTCCGATTTATATGATTTCCCATGAGAATGTTAAATACTTTCCCATTACGAAAAATTTTTATTTATTGGTATGTTTTCTTAAGAAAACATATGTTTACGAGTTTTTCTTGTCACGTTTCTTTTTTAGGTCAATATGACCTGTATGAAAGTAATTTTTTATGCTTCCATTGATAAATTTTAATAAACTATAAGAAGTCTTTAGCTCTATTTGTATTTTTAGCGTGGAATTACGTTTATTAAACATGGCGTGTCGTCGAATACTACAACAAATAATAATAATATGTTAGCCGACGATGATTTACCCGATATTGATTCTATTGTAAGTAAAAATATTTGTTTTTTAGTAGTTATTAGTAACTATGAAAAGATTGATAACATAGTTTGTTCACGTTGTTATAAATTATTAATAGAAAATAAATATATTTAATTATTACTCTTATTTGCTATAAAAAATTATTTAAATAATTCTTGTAAACATCAATCATTACGTAAGAGATTTTCTCGTTTCACTGTAAGAATAATCTTTGTTATTAAAAAGAAATCAATGACGTCAATAACTATCATTGTAATTGTTCGGTTGAATATACTTGTCTTTAATGACGACACTGTTTGCTTATAGACGCCTAGCATCTGTTGTGAAGTAATATAAAGTGCATTTTTTCCTTTCTCTCTCTCTCTCTTCGTTTTCTTTTTTTTCTTTGCTAAAAATTTATTCTCCTACTCATTTTCTCTCTTTTCTATCTCTCTATGCTCTGATCTTTTCTTTTCGCTTGTTGATAATATGTCATACATAAACAGTGACCATGTACTTTAAATATAACCCACAAATTTTCTGCTGATTTCTTCATCGTTTTGATGAAAGATATTTTATTAAAGCATAACATCTGTATGGAGTCTCTTGATATTCCTCATGCCGATGATCGTCATACATTTTATTTGAGTTCATGTGAATCAGGTACTGGTATTGATATCCAAGACTCAAATCTATCTTCCCGACATTCATCAACATCATCTTCATTTTCATCATCAAATGTTGAAGTATCAACTACTTCATCTATTCATACCAATATGTTTTTGGGTATACTTAAAAGTTTACATTGTTTAACAATTCGACGTCAAAAACATGGCCGATATAGAGCACTTTCATCATCTTTACATCTTTTCTTTAAAAAACATCATCATTCTTCGATAAATCAATTTTGTAAATCATCATCTACTTCGCAAATATCAACAAATACAGACAATAATCTTATATGCAAAAGAAGCAATAGTTATCATCCATTACTTACAATCGATACTAATAAAGATAAACATTGTCATTTTAAAAACAATGTTTTTAATAAACGAAGATCATTATTACGACGTTTAAGAGGATCAAATAAGACAGTCAGTGAAGATAATAATACAAATACAATGAGTTCCTTGGATTTAGCTACAATACCACCTACCTTATTAATTACAGATTCATATTCTTCACTAACATCTATGCAAAATATAGTACCTATTGATACTAACTGTGTAAGTGAATTCTTTTTTCTTATATAACAAAACATTCTTTACATATTTCTGAGTAACTAGAATAATATTATTTATTAGTGATATCTCTTCCTATCGTATAACATTAGTATAATCTATAGGCAATATCTTATTCTTTTTTTTTTTTGAAATAAGTAACGATTCTTTAGCAAAAATTAGATCAAATTTCTGCTTTTTGATACTGAGAAAGATATAAGTACGACACATCGTGTTCGATTTCCAAGTGATAAAAAGCAATCGTTTCTTTTTTCTCATATGTAGGCGCGTGCTGTTACATAAAACGTCATCAGTACCACCCACCATAACACGTGTGTTTTCGTTTCTATATACACACAATACCACTTATTGAATATAAATGTCTTTGTATTACCATATATATTGATGGTCTATTGTATATGAAGAAAAAAAAGAAAAAGAATGCGTAGGATATAAAACAGTGGGTGTTTTTTCTTCCTTGTAATTTATCCTATGACAAAGGCGAATAGAGGGTATCATTAAAAATTACAAGAAGATATAAATACAGTCTTATTATATATATATTAAATTTTTCATAGAGCTAAAAAAAAAGAGGAAAACATATATTTATTTCTTCCAGTTTCTATATAACAATTTAGTGACGTTTTCTTTTTCTTTCTCTTCTATATGAAGTTTCTGGTAATAATGGATGGCAACGGATGCCAATCTTATTTTTCTATTAGAGTTGTTTTTGTTATTATGTTGTCTTATTTTTTCACCTTGGAAATATGCATCAGTGCACATTAATATTTTTGCATAAAAACATATAGAGTAGTGAGAGAAAAAAAACTTAATTGCAATTTTAAAAAAAAAGAAATTGTCGAGACTAAAAATCATATGATACACTTAAAGAATATCACATGGTTTTGTAATACTACTATTAGTAGATGATTAAACAAATACATAAATGCCTAAGTTTAAAAAAATGAAGAACGAAAAAAAGAAAAAAAAGAAGGATTTGACTTGTTAATATTCTTTTTGCATATGAATGAATGCAGACAGTAGCCGTCATTATGATTCTTTTGTTATACATTGACGTGAATAAAGTAATAGTCAGTGCACATATGAAGTAAAGCATGCATTTAAAAAGTCAGGTATCTATGCTTTTCGTTCTTCATATGACACATATATTGATCAAATGAAACGAAAATAATAAGAATCCGCTGACTAAATCATGCATATTATATTTTCTTTCTACTAAATATCACCTGATATGTTAAATACATTATTTTCGTTTGCTTGGAGTTCGTCTGGTGACGAACGTAAACGTCAAATATCATTAGAATATGATGTATGATAGCTATTTTTATTTGAATAGAAAAAATAAATATTTTTTTGATATTATTTAGGATGAACAGAATGGTAGTGAACATGAAATTGAAATTACAAATATTACTAAAGAAGGTTGTGATCGAGCTGATTCAACTCAATTTGAATTATTACAAACACTTGGTGCAGGTTCTTTTGGAAAAGTAAGAAGAATTTTTATAAATATATTTGTTTGTAATTAAATTATATTTTATTATTATTATATAAAGGTTTTTCTTGTTCGTAAAACTCTTGGTCCTGATACAGGTACACTGTATGCGATGAAAGTACTTACGAAAGCAAGTCTCAAAGGTTAGTTTTCTTTTCCTTTTTTTATTATTTACTTATTTGTTTTTTCTGAAATAGTTCGTGATCGTCAACGAACAAAAATGGAACGAGATATACTTGCACAAATTTCTCATCCATTTATTGTTAAACTACATTATGCTTATCAAACACAAGGCAAAGTTTATTTGGTGCTGGATTTTCTACGAGGTGGTGATCTTTTCACACGTCTTTCGAAAGAAGGTATAAATAATTATATTTAATCCATTCATTAATCAACAAATATATACTTTTTTTTAGTGATGTTTACTGAACGAGATGTTCAATTTTATTTAGCTGAATTAGCTCTTGCACTTGATCATTTACATTCACTTGGTATTGTTTATCGTGATTTAAAACCAGAAAATATTCTTCTTGATTCTGATGGTCATATTGCTTTAACAGATTTTGGTCTATCAAAAGAATCCATACCAACACAAGATTCAAAAACATTTTCATTTTGTGGTACAGTTGAATATATGTCACCAGAAGTTGTGTCACGTAAAGGACATTCACATGTAGCAGATTGGTGGTCATTTGGTGTATTAGCATTTGAAATGATTACTGGTCATTTACCATTTCATGGTGCAAATCGAAAAGAAACAATGAATATGATATTAAAAGCTAAATTAGCTATGCCAACATATCCATCAGTAGAAGCACAAAGTTTATTACGAATGTTATTTAAACGTAATCCAGCTAATCGATTAGGTGCTGGACCAGATGGTTTTCGTAATATTCAAAAGCATGCATTTTTTGAATCTATTAATTGGGATAAATTATATAAGAAAGAAATTGAACCACCATTTATACCACCGATTCATTCCGACTATGCACATTATTTTGATAAGGAATTTACTTGTAAAACACCAACAGGTAAATTTTTAATTTTGTCATTTTATTTGTATAATTTAATCTTATTTATATAGATTCACCTGGTATTCCACCTAGTGCTGATGCTAATAAAACATTCCAAGGTTTTAGTTATATTGCACCTGATCTAATCAATGCTCGTCAAAATGATCCAACATATGCCAGTAATATTGACCGACGTTTAAGTTCAATTATTGGTGTTAAATCAACACCATTTAACGATGAATATGAATTAAAAGAAGCATTGGGTCAAGGAAAAACTTCTATTTGTTTTCGTTGTATACATAAACAAACACATGTTGAATATGCTGTTAAAATAATAAAAGATGCTCATATGCATGATCCATCAGATGAAATTGAATTATTATTTTGTTATAGACAATTAACACATATTATTCGAGTAAGAAATTGATTAGAAGAAAAAACAAAATTTGATAAATTCTTTTTCTTTATTATTTAGATAAGAGATGCTTTTTACAATTCACCTACAGTATATATTGTCACTGATTTAATGCGTGGTGGTGAATTATTTGATAAAATTCGCCAAGAAAAATCATTATCAGAACGTGAAAGTGCAAAAATTATGTTTGTAATTATTAAAACAGTCGAACAATTACATAGAAATTCAATTGGTAAATTTTCTCATTGTTTTTTTTTTTTCAGTTTCATTAACAATAAAAAATAACTTTTATTTTAGTACATCGTGATCTACAACCACGAAATATAATGTTTCTTGATGATAGTCGTCAAGCATCATCATTACGTATTGTTGATTTTGGTTTTGCAAAACAACAACGTGCTGAAAATGGTTTATTGATGACACCATGTTTTACGAAAGAATATGCTGCACCTGAAGTTCTATCAAGAAAACAATATGATGAATCTTGTGATATTTGTAAGTATATTATTTATCTGAATTCAAACTAACTCTTTTTATTTAGGGAGTCTTGGAGTTCTTTTATATACTCTACTATCTGGTAATACACCATTTGTATGTGATCGAAATGATTCACACGAAACTATTCTTGCTCGCACTACTGTTAAATTACAACTCACTGGACCTACTTGGGATCGAGTCACTGATAATGCTAAAGTAGTTTTTATAAAAATAAAGAATATTTTTATTTTTGAAATATTTTTAGGCACTTGTAAATGCAATGCTCGATACTGATTCAAAGAAAAGACCAACTGCACTTCAACTTTGTAAACATCCATGGTTTTCTAATATTGATAATTTGCCTAATATCAAATTGAGTAATATTCAAGATTATAATCTCGTACGAGTATGTTATTTTATTCTATTAAAAGAAAAATATAAGAATTTTTTGTTTTAAAGCAAAATCTTGATGCTACTTTCAATGCAATAAATGTTAATTCAAAAAAAACATTAGCACTTGGTCCAATTGGTGATTCAAATTTATTTAAACGACGTAATGAACGAAGTGTTCATCAACAAAAACTTGAAATAGTGAAATGATTTTGTTTTGTTTTATTTAAAATTTTTCAAAACAACTGATATGTGCTGTGTTTCTTTTTCTTTTTGTTTTCTTCTCGGTGGTGTATATTTGCTTTCAGGATATCTCTCAATTGAACAGTATCTTTATCTCATTGTTGTTATTTATCTTATTGTTGTGCGTTTTGTTTTTTTTGTGTTATAAATGTTTTCACAATGCAAAGCCTAACAAAAAAATACATACAGACAGTATTTCACTGTTCAAATTCAATGAATGTTTTTCCTTTTTCAAGAGAGAACACAAATGGTATATTATGAATGATCATCTATTTTTGTGGATGTACTCTTTTGAAGCAATGAGCTATTGTATTCAGTCGAAAATACCGATAGAAGTAGATTATGAATAAAAATGTCAACGAGGGGTAATAATTCGTCAATTCAACTATGAATTATATTTTTTAATGTTTTCAATGTAGTCATTTCTTTCATTTAATCGATATAAAATAGATAAAATTTCTATGCTATTTTAGTTATATATTTCCTTAATCAAACCATGAGAATTGTAATAATATTCTTCAGAAACAACTATTTGTTCAATGGATTTTCGAAAGTTAGACAGATCATTTCATCTTGATATTAAGTACTATGATCAAGGCGGAAAAAGCAATTTACGATCTAATAATTTAAAATGAATTAAGGTGATTTTTATGACTTAAATTGAGCTTAGGTGATTGAAAAATCACGTAAATGAAGTTCCACAACATGATTTTACAGTGGTATAAGATTATTATTTCCTTAGCAGTATGCATGAGTCATACCAAGGGGGAAAGAGCGATTTGTGATTTTTGTGATTTAAATGATTTAGTTTTGATTTTTGTCTGTTTCAAATCAGCTTTTTCTCCCTTGCATTTGGTTTTATCTTAAAACATAACAGATTCAATCTGTCAAGTCATCCTAGTCGAGTAGAATTCGTTATCAAATATATGATTTTCTCTAATGATTGAAATTTTGCCTTTATTTTTAACATATTTTTGATAATTCAATAGTTGTTATTATCATAATTGTCTTCGATAAAAAAAATTGTAATTTGAATGCCACAATGCTTTCTTTTTATAAAGACATGATTAAAAAAATCTATTTTTTTCCTCCCAGAAAGCTTCATTTCGACTCTATTGCCAACAGAAGAACCGTCTTAAAAGAAAGAAATAATAAAAAAAAATTTCAAGCAGTTTTCTTCTGAATGATTCATAGGCAAAACTATGTTTCTAATCTGCTTTCAAGATGTTTTTGAGCTAATATTATCAGGAGTGTAGATGTGAAGGTATTGAGGATAACAAATAACAACAAGAGTTACATCCACACCTTATAAGTAAGAGCAAAACGAAATATATATGTAAACTGCATAGGAAGGAATAGTTTACGAAGTAGAAGCTGATTCACGGATCCGATATATGGTGATACGAAATACAGTAAAACCTCCCAAAATGAACACCTCTCTATAATGAACACCTCTGGTTTGAACACATTTTTTGGTCCCCCCGATCGATTTTTGCTGTAAATAGACCTCCGCAAGATGAACACCTCCGACCTCTGAACAATGAACGCTTTTTTTAGTCCCTTCTGTAAAAGAAAACCTCTATATAATGAACATATAGTGATTAACTGTACGTTTTTCTATGAAACACAGAGCTGAAAAAATATGCTGTTCATATTAAGGAAATGATAAATCAGTTTTTGACGGTCAACTCATCATAACAAGCTCTGTCGTATGTATGGATCAAACAAAACAATGTGATTAATCGGCGATGAGTTAATCGATTCTATATGATAGGACAACATGCATTCTATCTTCGATTGTAAAATGAAACAGAACACACACGTTAACTTTGTCTATAAAAATGCAGTTAATTAGTGAAAATGAAAATAACGCTTCATATCGTACAATTACTGCGAAGTACAAAATCTCGATCGGTAGTATCTCAATTACCGACTTTTCTTAGAAAATATAAATAGATGTGAATAATAGACAAAAATGCTTTCTTTTACTAGTTTTTATTTAAAACAAAATAGATCTTTAATATTTTAAAGATAAACAAAATGTTTTTTTTTTCTTTTTCACTTGATAATTAAATAAATATGTGAAATAATTGAAAAAGATAGTGTTTTGGAATTAATAGTAATAGATTTTAATATCAAGATGCATAGCTATCATTTGTCCATACTAATATTATATGGTGTATATCTAAACCTTTATTTAATATGAAACCTCTGTAAGATGAACACCTCCTCTAATGAACACTTTTCAAGCGGTCCCATTAGTGTTCATCTTAGGGAGGTTTTACTGTATAAACAAACAATAAGAGATTTTTTCAAATAACAAAACATTTTTAATTTCAAATTTGGTTTATAACATTCAATGCTTATAGTTACATTAGTATCAAATTCACTGGTATAATCTAAACTATGCGTGATATAATAAATAATGGATTTTAAAGAAAATCATCACTGATTATCGAAAATTACTCAATTTTTATATTATTTCGAAGACATTTCTGTAATAATGTAGTATAACATATGTATATTATTGATTTAATAATTTTCTATTAATTTGTTTCTTAATTTCAATATTAATAGTGATATAAATTATTATTATGAGAAAAAAATTTCTATTAAATAACAATGCAATGATCTTTATTGATTTAACCAATGAAAATTCTTTAGTTTAATCATTTTCAGAACACTTTATTCATTTTATCAAAGATAAGTAAAACTTAATTAATAATACAATCTTTGTCATAAATCTATGAAGTAATTTTTTACATTAAAACTAAGAAATATATTGTTGATTAATTTTTATTTTTCAAAATTAACTGAAGCTAAAGGAGTATATAAACAAATATGTTGCTATATCATTATTTTTGTTAACTGTTGAATTACATCAGCTGATTGTAATATTCATTGTTTCTTTATATAAAAACAAAGAATTTCATTACTATTAAATAAAATACGAAATTGTCATCCTAAAGAACTCGAATAGTTTAAATATTTGTTAATAAACAAATTTTAGTTTTTTATTTACTATAATGCGTAAAGATCGTTAGAAGTGTCTATCACTTCTAGGTAAAACCCCAGCACATTGAAAGAATGTAATTATTAAACTAAAATCGTTGAAATATTTAGTTAGCAAAAGCATTGAAAATAAATTGTTGTCATTGATTAAAATAAAAGAAGAATTAAATAAATATTTTTTAGAACAAAGAATATTACTAATTGTGTTTTCACTTTGACGTTTAGTTAACACCCAGAGTAAGAGAACTAGTAGTCATATATCTAATTAAATTCTTCTTTATCATAGAGTTTAATAACATATGGATTATAAATAATTGCATACTTGATATGATATTTAAATAAAAGAAAGTCATATATAAAAGGACAATTCTTTTTCTGCTTCTATACTAATTACAAAATATTCTTCATCTGCGACAACTTCGCAGACGTTTGAGAGGAAGCCTAATATTATTTATTGATAAAGCAGAACAGTAAAAACTTTTCTTTTTGTGAACAACATTTCGTCAAATTTCAGGTATTTTTTTTCTATATTTTAAGAGATTTCTATGAGTATTTAAAGTGAAAAATATTATAAAAATCTAAATCCTAGACCTATCAAAACATGTTAATATATTTGATCTACTCAATAGTTTTTTTTAAATTTATCAACAAAGAATTATTTGATGTTTATTTTTAAATCTTATAGAAATCATACAGCTATCATTTTAGATGCGTCGTTATTGTGAGATATAATGATTGTAATAAATTCAATATGCTTTGTTTTTTCTTTCTGTTTCATAGAGGCAAAGATTTTTCTTTAAAAAAAAAGAAAATATTGAAATTAAAAAAATTAATTTTTAAAAGAAAAGTAGAAGAGCAATATATTAGATGACGACAATAGTTATACTCTAGATGAAAAGAAAAAAAACAAAATTTTCTATCGATTACAATAGATCAAATCTAAATAAATCAATTTGTTTATATCAACAAAAAATATTTTAAATAAGACATGAAGTCCTATTCGATTTTTTTGTTTTGAACTTAGTTTTTCTTGTTATATTTCTCTCGTCAGTGACGTACTATATAATACTTAACAGAAACACAAACTACTCAAGAGTGTACTTGATTGAATGGCATATTAATAAGTAGTTAGACGAGATTCTTATCAGTAATCGTATGATCTTTTGAGAGAATTAATTCTAGTTTAAATCAAAAATATTTATTAAAAACTGTTTAGTTTAACAAGAGATCTTACTGACAATGTAATTGGACAATTTCTTTTTTTTTGTCATATATGAAACATGAAGACATTCTACGTCATCAAACGATATATTTTAATCAACTTAAAATATCAATACACATTCAGAAGATTATTATTTCGAAAATAAACTATTAAGATATTTAATTCTAATCTTCATTATACATGATCATGACTTTATTTTAAAGTTAAGAAAAGAAAAGTTTTCTTCATTTATTTATCGTTCGTATCAAGTACATCAACTCTAAGGACATTTTATTAAAATTAAAAAAAAAAAA